TGGACAGCCGCACATCAAATCGCCCAAGGCGATTGTGGTGATGGTCCCCTTTGGCCAGCTGGACGACCGCGCGTATCCGCCCTCGCGGCTCTTTGGGGCCTTGCGCCAACACAAGCAAGTCTACGTCCTGTCCTACGAGGTATGATCTGCACACACCATACGATGCTCACGACACGCACACGCACACGCACACGCACACGCACACGCACGAACACCACGCGATACTGACCGAGGCCAATGCGCCATTGCTCAGGCACCCATCACGCGCGACGACTTCCGGCGGGCGGGGGCCGAGACGGCAGCCAACGTCGTCATCCTGGACCAATGGAGCGGCAAGGACGCCGACAAGAAAAAGTGCATAGCCCTCCCATATTCAATATATTATTTTAAATTTATAATTAATATATTTTTGAATTTTGCAGGGACGTCGAGGGGATCATCATGTACCGGCTGCTGGCCGGGCTCAAGCTCGCCGGCACTCCGCTCATCTCACTGGGTGCGCACTCATCCCGCTCTCTTAGATATATTCATACCTACACAAACTGGAGAACTCACTGTGCGTGTTGCATGTGTGCGTGTGCGGTGTGTGCGTGGGTGTAGAAACGGCATCGAGCATTCACTACATCTCGCCGCGGAGCGAGGGCAACGAGACGCGAGAGAAGTGGTTCCGTAGCGAACTCTACGCCAGCGGCGGAGTCGTGCTTTCCGAGAGTCAGGACACCGTCATGTGCCAGGTACCACCCTCCTTCACCATCATCACCACTATCGTCTTCATCGTCTTCATTGTCACCATCATCGTCATCATCAAACCCTCGGCTGATCGTTTTTGGTTGGTTCTTCTTTCTTTGGCCCACCAGGCCTTCCGCATGCCGGAGGTGGTCGACTTGATCAGATCCATCTCCCGTGGTATCGTGCTGCAGCTCAACGTCACCACGCTCACCCCCTTTGCCAAGGTTAACCAAGTCCCTGCTGCTCTCCATTCCGCTCGCATTCCTTGCGCGTTTTTCTCCCGCATTCCGCTTACATTCCAAGGTATATATGTGCGTTTCTTCCCTCCATGTATATATGTACATATATTGTAGGGCATGCTCTATCGCGACTTCCTCTGTCTGGTCGTGTCAACCACCGACCTCATCCCGCTCGGGCTCTATCGCACCGACAAGGAGACGACCCTCACCGTACCACTCGCCCCCCTGATCTGGCTACGCTCCGGGTCACGGCCACATTCCTGAAATTGTGTGTGCGATGTGCGTGTGCGGTGTGCGTGTGCGGTGTGAAGAGCAAATCCGGATTGTCGGCGTTGGCGGAGCTCATGCGCAACAGCGGCGCGGCCCTGCACGGGGGCGAGGACGGAGGTGGAAACGCACACATGCGGAACCGAAAGGGTAAGCTAGGCCTGCGCAAGACCCACGCCTTCCAGGAGAACGATAGAGAAAGCGAAACCGAAAACGAAAACGACAAAGAAAACGAAACCGCCGGTAACGGCAGTCTCGGCTCGGGCTCGGGCGCGAGCAGCGCGGGCGGGAAGCGAAGCAGGCTCCTGGCCAGCTTCGAGAAGGGCAGCAGGCGCGGGAAGAGGGAGCCAGCTGAGGAGCGCGAGTTCAAGTACGTCCTCACGCACCCGCCCTGGTACGTCTCGCAGCCTCTTCAAGAGTGTGTCGCCTTGGTGATCAATTAAGCTCACCGCACACGCACACGCACACGCACACGCACACGCACACGCACACGCACACGCACACGCACACACGGCAATGGCACGCAACACAACGCACGACACGCGCGAACAGGGATTGTCGCCTGCAGGAAACGGACAGGGTGTTCCTCCTGCTGTCTGATTCCGAGACGTGGGAGCGCATGCGCAGGAAAGACGAGTCACAGGGTACGTGTGCGTGCGTGCGTGCGTGCGTGCGTGCGTGCGTGCGTGCGGCACCAGTTTCGCTCACCACTTCCCCCCCCCAATCGAGCAGACCCGCACGAGGTGGTCCACAGCGCCACGCCAGCAGAGCGGAAGATCATCGAAGAGCAGATTCTCCAACGGTCCGCACACACACGACCACACACAACACACAACACACAACACACACACACACACACACACACACGGTACTCACGCATGTATGGGTGCGTGCGGCGGGGTATAGGTTGAAGGGCGAGAAGCGGAAGAAGCGGGAGGTGGTGCAAAGCCTGAAGGAGATCGCGAAGAAGGAGAAGGAGGACAAGGAGCGCCACGACCGACGGCGCTTTGTGCCGTGGCGCAAGGCCAGCGCCCGGCCGTGGCACAGCCGGAAGCACAAGAACAGGGATGCGATCAACAACAAGAAGTCGGACGATGATGTGAACGGCATGTTTGCAGCGGGCCACCACGAGGCCGTGGAGATGACGACGCTGCGCGAAGTCGAGGGCGGCGGTGACGATGGAGAAGACGATGGCGGTGATGAAGAGGAGGAGCTGCAGCGACCAGACGGGATCGACAGCGATCAGTCCTCCGAGAGCGAGAGCGAATCGTTGTAATTCCACAAAGGCAGCATTCCTGGCTGCACGTGTGTGAGTCGTTGACATATTTATTGATTATTTGATAAATTGATTTTTTTTCAGCTTACAGCTCTTTCTGTTGATCACGAATGTTGCGGAGGATGGCCTTGAGCGACGTGACCGAGCGCTTGACGTCGGCGCTCGTGGCCACGTAGCGATTGAACGCAGTCTTGAGCGCCGCGTACTGCTGGCCGCGGTTGAACACCTCCGCCTGCAGCGCGATGTTGTCCTCCTCCGTGATCCCTCCCTGCGCCGCGCAGTCGTCGATCATGTCCAGTATCTCCCCGTCCAGGTCTGACCCGACACCGGCGGCGGCTGCGGCGCTGGGATGGGCCAGGCCTGGGCCGAGGACCTGCCGGCGCTGGGCCAGCTTCTGGCGCAGGTCGGCCTCGGCGTGCTTACGCGACCCTGCCTGGCCCACACCCTTGCCTTCGCCCTCGAGGCCAGTCTCAAGGTGCCGGATGACGGTCTTCCAGACCACCTTCAGGCCGTGCAGCTGGACTTGCACCCGCGCTTGACAAGGCTCACCGTCCAGGTCCATGTCGTACTCTTGATTGGCCCACTCGCCGACCTGCGTATAAAGAAAAAGAAATGAATATGTTATTGATAATAACTCATAAAATAGATGGTTTTTTTATTGACAAAATAGATTGATTTAAAAGATAAAGCACCTTCTCGAGGAGCCTGATGACGTCATTGAACTGTGCTTGGACTGCGGTGGCGGACAAAAGAACCACGAGTGCGAGGGATAGAAGAGTGCTGGCCTTCATGTTGCGGTGGTGGATGAATGTTCTGGTCTGGCAAGAGCCGCCATTAAACTTGCCAGTGGCATGAGCTGATTGGCTCCCCAGGCTGGGGCTCGGAGTTAGGGCTCGGAATGCACGTCACCACCTGTACGTAGTCCCCTATTGTTTTTGTTTGCCGCGACAGAAGATGGAGCAGAGCGACGCACCCCGTACAGTCCACCCCCTCTACTTGAAGTTACTTAGACTCTCGGACTTATCGAAAGTTACATTGGTCCACCCACAGAAGAAAACGTTTATTACGCTCGCCTGGGCGTGGTGGTCAAGAAGGGGCAGGCCTACTGCGTGTTCTGCCCCAAGCGCATGAACAAGGCCTTCGACAACACGCAGGGCGGTGGGAGTCACGCCCACTTGTCGAAGACGCACAAGGAGCACTTCAAGGCGCCGCTGGCCGAGAACGACGTTGAGCTCGCAATGCAGGGGGTCGTGTGGGGCGAGCGCAGCGGGTGGCGGTGCGTGCCCTGTGGCGTACAACTGAGCAGACAGGAGCTGCTGTCGCACCTTGCCGCCGCACCCCACACAACCGAGGTGAAACGCTGGGACATCAACATGGACTACAACATCTCCTGCAAGGTACAACTTGCACCCGCCAAAATATGTAAGCTATCAATAATAGTGTTATTTTTAATTCACTTTATCCTTATTTAAATACCATTTAATTGTTGTTTTTTTTCCACCCTTGGGCTGGGTGGGGCGACAGAAGAGGAAATCGCAGGACGTGCTTCCTCCAGAGCTGGTCGATTGGCTGGACGGCGTTCTCACACCGGACAGAGACGACGGGGGACCGACGAGAGAAGAGCAGATCGAGCTCTCGAACGAAGACTGCTATCTAGCCGAGATGGAGGAGGAGGAGGAGGCCGATGTATGGCTGCCACGGGGCGCAAATGTCCCCGCCGCCTTCGGCCACAACGCCGCCGTCGCCGCCGCCCCGTCCCAGCCGCTACAGCCCCGCCCAGTGTTCGCCCCTGCCCAGGAAGAAGCCACCAACGCCTCATCAGCCGCATACAGCACCTGGAATTGGATCTTGATGCTGCTGCACCTCCGCCACCGGGTGGACACACTCGAGGCCCGATTCGACCGGCTCGAGCGCGCAGGCCCCGCTGGCCGTGGTGGCGCCAGCGGCGGCGGCAGCGGCGGCGGTAACCCAGGCTCGTCCGGCGGTGGAGGCGGACTCGACCCGGGCCGGTACGGCGGGGGCGGCTTCGGGGGCTTTGGCGGGGGGCTGGACCAGGACAAGGACGCAGGCGGCGGCCAAGGGGTACAACAAGGAGGAGACTACGTCTTCATGAGCTTCACCTTGTGCTGCGGCGCAGTCAACTACACGCTGATGCTGGTCCCGGCGCTCCTGGCTTGGCTTCACGACCCGAAGAAGATGGCCGCGTTACTCTTCGTGGTGGCCGTCGCCGTGTTGGCCGCGACGTGGCGCAATCCGGCACAGGCCGCACTGGTGCTTCAGTCTCCAGCGACATCCACCAACCAGTCGTTGGCCACGGCCGGAAACCGCGAGAGTTCGCCAGCCGCTACTGTCGAAGAGCTATCGCGCCCAACCAAAGGTGCGATTATCGTGTACCCTCCATTGTGCCACCTTCGCCGTTGCTCAACGATCTCACTACTGTTCGCTCTTCTCTGTTTTTGTCTCTGTCTTCGTTCTTTCTCTTTTCAGCAGATCCGGTCTTGGCCGAGTGCAAACGAGACCCTCAGGCTGGCAGTGCCTGGGACAGACTGGGTCGGTCCGATTCGTCCAAGTACCGGTTGTATGCCCCGTGCGCATAGAAGGGCAGAGCGACAGTGCAAGCTGCCCCCAACGCTTCGCCACGAACACCGTCTACAAGAAGAGGGGCCTCGGTAATAAAAGAACGGTGCTCACTTCTTGTCCTATTCTCCCAGTGAACTCTGCTCAAAACCACTCAAGTGCAGCGAGGGACGGATGGCCGAGCGGTCTAAGGCGACAGTTTAAGGCACTGTTATCTTCGGATGCGTGGGTTCAAATCCCACTCCGTTCACTCTCCTTTTTGCTCCCTTTCTACGTTTTGACTTTTTCTACTTTTCAAGTTGCAGGAAAGGAAACGGCAAAAGAACGAACACATCACACGAGAGCACATCGCCGCGCATGTCCTACCCCTACCAACAGCAGTATCCCTCCCAGCCCGTTCAAGGTTCGTGTTTTTCAATCATAAACTTACATTTATTACTTGTGTACAAAAATCGATCAAACATCTTCCACCCCTGCCAGGCCAACCACCAACCGGTGGGGTCCAGCCCCAGCAATGGGGCGGACAGCAGCCGCCAGCCGCGGGCCAGTGGGGCCAGCCCGCTGCTGGAGGGCCGCCGCAGCAGTGGGGCCAGCCGCAGCCGGCAACCGGTGGTGGTCAGCCGCCCCAGCAGCAGTGGGGCGGTCAACCGCAGGGTACTCGCTCGCCCCTCGAATCGCTGGGCTTGGGTTCCACTTGGGGGCTTACTCCCAACGACCAACGCAACAGGCTATCCCGGCGGCGGTGGTGGTCAGCCCCAACATCAGTGGGGCCAGCCGCAGCCGGCAACCGGTGGTGGTCAGCCACCCCAGCAGCCGGGCACGGGCTACCCGGGCCAGGCCGGCGCCGGCGGGCCGCCTCCGCAGGGCCAGCAGCAGCCGCCCGGGTCCTACCAGCCGCCGCCCACCCAGCCGCCCTCCAACTTCCAGGGCTGGGTTCGATTCCCCGCCCCTCCTGCGCATGTGACCCGACACGAGATCGGGGAGAGTGACGATTGTCGTGTCGTGTCGTGTCGTGTCGTGTCGTGTCGTGTCGTGTCGTGTCGTGTCGTGTCGTGTCGTGTCGTGGAAACAAACAACAGTACACGCAGTACTATCATCAGATCAGCCCGCAGGAGATGCAGCAGGTGCGCCAGTGGTTCATGAGCATGGACAGGGACAGAAGGTACGTAGTGGTAGCAGTAGTAGTGGCCCTCCTGTTCCGTACAACGCATGGAGTGCCCTGGGGCTCACCCGCATGCTCGTGGCGTGTGTCGTGTGTCGAATGATACCAGCGGGTCGATCAGCGCTAACGAGTTGGCCAACGTTGCCATTGGCGGCGTGCCGATCGGTAACTCATGCCCTCCTCCTCCTCTTCGTGGCTGTTTGTTGATGGTGATGGCTGACGTCGGGTCTCCGCAGGCTTCGAGACGGCCGTCAAATTGATCCGCGTGTTCGACGTCGACAAGAACGGCACCATCGGTACACACCGGCCCTGAGGGTCGTGTTCTGACGCATTGCTAACTCCCCGGTTGGCTGTCTCTTTGTTTCGTGCGAAGACTTCTACGAATACGGCGCCCTCCACAAGGTTCAGGACACGACACGACACGACACGACACACGACACGCGGCCACACACACCGGCATGACTCACGCATGATCTTTCAGTTCCTCCTCAGCATGCAGGCGCTGTTCCAGCAGCAGGACAGGGACAGGAACGGACGGCTCGACGCCAACGAGATCGGCGCGGCGCTTTCGGCCGGCGGTTTCCGATTGGGACCCGTGGCCACCCAATGTACCACGACACACACACACGCGCACACACACGCACACACACACGCACACACACGCACACACACGACATACGCTAACCAACTTCGAATTCGCTCTCTACAGCTATGTTCAGGAAGTACAACAAATCCGGCTACGGCATCTCCAGTACCATCCCCCCCCCGCGCGTGCTCGTGGTGATGCGTTGCATCAACCCGTTCTTTTCGGTCGAAACGAACTGACGAGGCTTTGCGTGCTACGCGCTTTTTTTTTTTTTTCCTGCTGCAGCCGTCGAATTCCTCGGCCTGGTGGCTCACGTGGCGCAAGGTCCCCACCTCCCCCTCGAGCGCAGCCAGCGTTCTTCGCACAATAACACGTGCGTGTCGTGTTGTTGTTGGTCGTGTGCGTGGCGTGTGCAGTCAAGTCGCTGTTCGAATGGCGCGACAAGCAGAAGACCGGGCAGGTCACCCTCGACATGGACTCGCTCCTCGAGATCACTTCCGACTTCTAGCCTCCCGCTTGCGCTCTGTCTTTTGAACCAAGAAAAAAAAATAACGACAATAAAAATGCCAAGATAAAAAACAATGTTCTTTTTCTTTTCTTTGAAAATCGAGAGAAGATGGAGGAGGCTTCGCCTGCTGCTGCACTACACGCCCATGAAGCTGTAGTGGTCGATACGCCATGCTTTGCTCGCCATTCACGGCCTTTTTTTTCTTTTTTCTTTTTTTCTTGTGCAGTGCTCTCCTCTGAATACAAGGCGTATGTTCTGCTTGGGGGGGGGGGCGCACGACAGCTGCAGGAGGGGGTGGTCCACCTGAAGGGCTTCCTGCGGCCGGACCAGCAACGCGAGCTCTTCGAGGGCATCCAGCAGGCCGCGCAGACCTACACCCCTACTCGCGCGCGCAACGCCCTCTCCAACTTCCAGAAAATCATGTACTACAACTGTAAGACCACCCCTCCCCCACCGCACACACATGACAACACGACACGACACGACACGACACTCACTCTTTTCTCTACACGCAGGCAAGTCGCACAAGCACCTGATTCCGTCGTCGTTTCTGTGGCTTTCTTCGGAGGCTTGCGCGGCTGCGTCGGACGCGAGCCCCGACCACATTCCGCCCAGCTACAGCCCCGACTACGCCACCTCGTTCCTGTACCCCGAGCGCGACGGCCGCCTGACCGGCCACGTGGACAAGGTGTCGATCTCAAGACCTGAAACGCTGATTTCTCCCAGTCATGTCTGAATTGAGTGGCCGGGTGCTTAGGTGACCGGGTGGGTGGTGCTCTTTTCGCTGGGCTGCACGGCACGGTTCTTCGTCAAGGGTCCCCGAATGGCCAAACGGGAGGGTACCCGTGCGTGTCGTGTCGTTGGTCGTGTCGTTCGTGCAGTGGTGTGCGCGGTGGTGGAACACACTGATGTGTGCGACACAGTTCTTGACTTCAGGTCGGGAGATGTGTTGGTGTTCAACGGCGGGACAGAGTGGGGCATATACCACGGCATCGACACCGTCGTGGCCGGCTCCACGCCCGAGTGGCTGCCCGAACTCGCCTCCGCGCGGCTCAGCCTCCAACTCCGTCAATCCGAGCGGAACGACAATCGACCGCCTCCCAATACACGACCGCACACAAACTACGCTTAGTTCTGCAACATATCACTATTCAAGTGTAAATATAATATATATATATATATATGAATATGTAGAAGGAGGAACAGGATCAAAATATTTGGGGGGCTTTAGAAGAAGGCGAAGAGGGGCGTCGACAGGGCCGAGGCGGCCGAGGAGTCGCCGCCGCTGCCGGAGGTGACCGGCTCGACGCTCCACAGGGCGGTGAACTCGACGTTGGTGGCGGCGTTGAAGGTCATGGTGTAGTCGACCGAGCTCGAGCCGCGGCTCACGGCCACCGAGGCCGGGGTGTCGGTCGCGGCGCTGCTGCCGGTCGAGGTCTGGGCAAAGGTGATGGCCGCGCCGTCGTCCAGGCGGAGCACGGGCGCGTTGAAGGTGCCGGTCCTGCTCGGGGTGTCGAGGCGCACGCGGATGGACATCGAGTTGTTGGTGGACTTGATGGGCCAGCCCTGGAGCTGGTAGAGGAGGACCATGTGGTCGGGCGCGACGTTCACGTTCTGGTTGTTGAAGGTGATGTTGCCCTCGGCGGTGAAGACGAAGAAGGTGGCGATCAGCGTAGCGCCCGAGGTGGAGTTGTCGACGGGCGACGCGACGGTGATGCTGGCGGTGAGGCTGGCCGACGTGGCATTGACGCCCTGGAAGTCGTTGTTGACGGTGGGGGTCGACACGGTGAAGATCTGGCTGGCGAACGAGGCGACGGTGTTGACCAGCGCGCTGGCCTGGTCAGTCTCGCGCAGCTCGGCAAAGGTGTGGGTGAAGACGCGATCGGTGTTGGCCTCCCAGATGTCGACCGAGCCGTCGGCGGGGTCGATGCGGGCGTTGAGCTGCGAGCTGGAGAAGGTGACCGGGCTCTGTTGGGCGAGGGCCAGCGTCACGAACAGCATGGCGCAGAGTGCGAAGATAATGGACTTCATGATGTGATGTGTTTTAAGTCCGATCTGTGTTTAGGTCCGATGTGTGCTTGAGCTTGTACACTAGAGGTGGTTGATGAGGATGAGTGAACAGGCTTGAGGTTGGCTGGTTTTATAGTTGTCTGGGGCAGGAGGTGTAGGAAGACAGGATTGGCGGGCCGGGTGCCTTGACGTGCTGTTCTAGTTGAATTTCAGGTGAATTGACAAAGCTACACTTAATATCTGGCAGTTCTCTGGAAAATCCATCCAAAATAATCGCTGGCGTGGCGTGAGTGGCTGATTTTAACTACCGCCCAATCAGGAACTAGAATCGAAACGTTGCTGGACAAAAAGGAGAACTTTAATGGTGCAGTGAGTGTGAAACTAAAATTGTAAAAACAAGAGATCCATAAAAAAGAGCATAGCTACTGGGGACGGCACAAAGCATAGATCTCTGGAAGGGAGAGTGAAACTGAAAGTGGAGTGCGGCTGGTGGGTTGTCGTTCGGTCAAAGAGAAAACGTGATAAATCTGCCCAGTCGCGTGCTTGCTTGCAAGTGGTAGTTTCCTGTACTTGCTCTTACACCGTCTTGGTGCTCGACACGGCGCCCACGGTGGTCGTGCCGCCAGTGGTGCCCACGATCGCGGCGGCCGAGGTGGTCTCGGGAATCGAGAGGGTCTTGGTGGTGGTCTGGGTCTGCTCGATGGCCACGGGGGGCGGAGTGACGGGGGGCGGGGTGACGGTGAAGGCCGCGGGCTGCACCGGCGACGGCGTGACCGTGAACGCGGCGCCCTGCACAGTGGGCGGAGTGACGGTGATCGGCGGCACCGAGATGGCGGGCACCTCGATGGTGATGGCGGCGCCCTGGAGCGGGACGGGGGTCATGATGATGTCCTCGATGGTGACAGCCGGCGGCTGGACGGTGATGGGCGCGAGACTCACGGCCGGGGGGAAGATGGTGAAGGCCGGGATCTGGATGACGATCGGCGGCACCGACACGGCCGGCAGGTTGACCGTGAGCGGCGGCACGGCGATCGGGGTGAAGGTCACCTGCATGTTGGATCCCTGTTTGGTGCAAAATGGAGGTTAAAAAAACGAAAGAACGAATGTGGCAAAGAGCGAAAACGAAATGGGGGGAGGAGGACGAACCTGGAGAGGGGCGGGGGTGACGATCAAGGGGGAAGGCTGCACGGGGGGCGGCTGGATGGTGAGCGGCGGGGGCTGGACGGGGGGCGGCAGCACGCTGAACGGAGGAACGTTGACGATGCCGGGCTGCACACGCAGAGCAGGGGGCTGCACGGCGGGCGGCTGAACCACGATCTTACCGGGGATCACCTCAGCACTCTGTGTTGAAACAAAACATCAACATGTTTGGGTATGTTTGTGTTAGGTATCCGCCAATCATGTTGTGCACAAACATCTGAATAAGCGTACCACAGCGCCTGTAACTCCGGTCACGGTCTTGGCCACATCAGCAAGCCCGCCGGTGGTGGTGGTCGCAGCGATGGTGGCGTTCTGCGCCGAGGCCATGGTGGCCACCAGACACAGGCAGAGGAGGATGAACAGCTTCATTGTTTTTGTTTGTTAAGTCGCTGGTTGCGCTGGAAGCTGGAGATGGTGTAGATTGTGGAGCTGATGATTAGCTTCAATGGGCCAAGTAGGATTTATAGGTGAGTGCTCAGCTCACCATTGGCCGAACCGCTACAGGCCACCCAGAAAATGACCCCCCACCTTCCCGGTTTTCCACCAAATCCAGGCCTCCACTCCCCTCTGCCAATAAAAATCGCCACTGGCGACCTGGCGTCGCCGCCGTCCGCTGCGACAATGGTCGAAATTCCATCGTGACGATACAGCACTTGTGCCTGATCCTAACGACAGCAATCCTTGGTCGCACCTCAGACCTGTGTTAGGTGCTACACACAACATGCAACAATATTTTTTTGAGAGCCCACATTTCTTTTGTATTTCTCTTTATTTTTCTTTCACGTTCGAGATGAAGAGAGTGCGCATGCCGATGCTGCGCTGCTGTCCACGATCGAGCTCCTGGTCTGCCGGCCTCTCGTGCACCTCCTCTTCATCCTGGCGCTGCATTACCGCCACCAACTTGCGGTTTGCGCGATCAACGAGCAGCATCACATCCTCAAACCCGGCACAACCACCTGCGCCCCCCAAGGCATCATCAAGTGCTGCAAATCGCAAGGGGAAGAAGCTAGCAAGCGTGTTCCAGTACTTCGCCGCTCACGACCCGTCCTCCAGCACTGCTCTCCCCGTGCCGCCAGCCACCGTCGACTTCGTACGATCGATCACGGATGAGGAGCGCAAGGCCGCCCACGCCTTCTTCACCAAGAACGCCGCCTTCCTCGCCTCCAGCGTCGCCGCACCCAACCTCCCCGCAGAGGACCAGCCCGAGGTGCGCCTCTTTATTTGTGCTTTTTCTGATTTATTATTTATTTATCCTTTTATTTATCCTTTTTCTTTATGTATTTATTTACTTTCCTGTTGTGGTCGCAACAGTTTGCGTTCGTGGGGAGGTCGAACGTGGGCAAGTCGTCGCTGCTCAATGCCCTGCTGTCCAAGCCGCTCGCCCGCACCTCCAACACTCCCGTACGCCTCTTCTCTTTCGCGGCGAGAACGCTTTCGTGTGGGTAGCGAACAAGACGCTGATCATCGCTACCGTCGGTGCCTTGGCTTTAAAAACATGCATCGTTCAGGGACGCACGCAAACCATCAACTACTACCAGGCCGGCAGCGTGAAGCTGGTCGATCTGCCCGGTACCTTCATCCTCTTCTTCTTCTTCTTCTTTCGTTTTGCCTGTGGGAGATCTGTCACTCACCCCAACTTCCCCACCGACGTCGTGTGAAGGCTACGGCTACGCCAAGGCGCCGGTGCGCATCGTCCGAGAGTGGCAGCAGTTCGTGAACACGTTCCTCACCACGCGCAAGTCGTACGTCTCTCCGTCTCGCTCGTGGTTGCATGGGGTCGGTTGTGTAGTCCGCGTTGTCATGATCATCATCATCATCATCTCATCGTCTCCGCGCAGGCTGTACAACACGAGCGTGCTGGTCGACTCTCGACGAGGCATCACGGACAAGGACGCGGAGGTGATCCAGATGCTCAACACGCACGGGCTGCCGCACCAGGTAGTGCTCACCAAGGCCGACAAGCTGTCGCGCCGGGAGATCTTCGTAGTGCTGGCCGAGACGAAGGAACGCATCAAACGATCCCCCTTCTGCTCGCCCATCATCTACATCACCAGCAAGGACGGCCTGGGTGTCGATGAGCTGCGAATTGGATTGATGCGAGCAGCGAAATCAAATCAAATTTAAAAAGCGTAAGATTTGAGATGAGCGAGCACAGATGGGGGCAGTAAGGTTTATTGTCTCTTGGTGGTCGAAGAAACATTTACGAGGACTCGAAGCTCTCAACGAGTTCGGGCACGTCATCATCACCACCCTGCGACAAGGAGAAAAAATCAGATTAGGGTGAAACAGAAAATGGACAGAAATCGAGATGGCGGCAGATCGCAGCGCAAATGCGGCCAAATGTAGTAGTACCTTCTTGGCGGCAGCAGCGGCAGCGGCAGCCTGGCCGAGAGCGGAGTTCTGGAGGAGGGAAGGAATGATGTCCTGGATGGTCTTGTTCTCGGCACGGCCGCTCACGACGTACATGGTAGCTCCGCTTCCAACGTGGAACTTGGGGTTGTTGAAGTGAATCACGGTACCGTCATCCTTGTACAGGTTGACCTCCTCAATACCTACAGCCGGAGTGTGAGCATTCATTGCGACCACGGAAGCGCACAATGCGACGATCCAGTGTAGAAAATGAGAAACGGGGATGGAAAGAAGCGGCAGGGCTCAGGGAAAGAGTGGTAAAAATAATTGAAGCATTTAGTGACAGTACCCTGCATGGGCTGGCAGCCGAGCTTCTGGAGCTGGCTCTGCAGCTTCTTGTCATCAGTGGTAGCGTTCTTCTTCCTATATAGCGCAGCCGAGCGATTAAATGCCGGCCAAATGAAGCGGGAATGCGCGGCGCACGCCGGTAACCGACCGTAATTCAAACATTTGATTTGATAGCGATCGGTGGCTCTCCATCTACGCTCGAATTCTGCCGCAAGCTATAGATGATGTGATGTATTACCTGGGGGCCTTGTGCTTCCTCCTGGGGGTACCCTTACCACCGATCCGGACTCCCTGCTGGAGCTGAGCGAGCTTCTGAGCGTTCATGATTGATCCTCTCGACGTGGGGGAATTGATTACACAAAGGCCGAGGTGGAGGGAAGAAGAAAGGAAAGGACAGCCTCTCGGTAGACGCTCCTCAAGTACGCGGCCAATTCTCCGTGGCCCCTTCCCCCCTTTTATCCGCCAAATATCTGGGATTTCAGTCCCTTGCGCCACCTTAACCGGGTGGAAAGAAAGAAGTTTTGTCGTGGAAGCACTCATGGAGGAACCTGAGGGAGGATGCAACTTGTCTCAGCATGGCCAGGGTAGGAGCAATGGCAACCATAAGAATGAGTGACTATTTGCAGGAAATTGCAAAAGCAGGTACCATCACTTACTCATAATGAATTCTGTAACACAATTGGATTGAGATTGATTAGGTCCTTTCCAAAAGAACCTCCTGTGCAGCACATGTGGTGTTTCTTGTGCCCAGGTGTACTGAAATGACCAATGTCTATCACATACAATTACACAACAACCAAAAATATATAACCAGCCACTATATCATGTAAGTGACAACTACATGACAACTATGCAACCAAAAAACCAATTTTGTTATGTGCACATCCCTGAAGTGCAGCAGGATGACCACCAACATGTGGAGGACCCTGAGGACAGAGCAGCACAATGAGACCCTGAGGACACAGAGCAGCACTGGAGGTGCTCAAGAGTGAGGGAGGAGCCCCACTCAGTGAAGAGCTTGGTCAAAGTTGACAGGTTGAAGGCTTGACCATGTTCAATCAGGCAAGTAGTTTAGTTGTGCACAAGTGTGTGCTGGAGGTGACAGATGAGAGTCAAGAGTGGGTTTTTGGTCCATAGGCTCATAGAGTGTGTTGATGGTAATAGTTTCACCCTCCTCTGCAATTGGTGGTTGTAAGATGAAGCAGAGCAGGAGGATGACATTGTTCCTGAATGGCCAACCCCTGCATCTTCTTGACGTTCTGCTGGACCCATACCACACCCCTTCACCACCCATGTCCAGGCTCCTGTGGACTCCAACCCCAAACCAAGTGTTCACCAAAAAGGGTCAATGACTCTTTTTCACTAACTATCTGGCAGCACTCCCTATGAACCTACCTACGAAACTCTGTGCACTGTTGGCCAAGCTGTGGACCTGGGTGCAGAGAGTGTCCTGCTCATTGTTAACATCCCTCTCCATGCTATGTTGTTGGTACACAGCAGGTAGTGTAGAAATCTCATCTGCACCATTAGCATGAACCCAACAAACATTTTTATGGCCTTTTTGGCGAATTAATATGATTTTCCTTTCGTTTGGGTTAGGCCATCGCTCGGCTGAGTCCTTGACGGAGGGTTTCAATAGCGCTCATTGGCTGGTCGGACGTTTCCTATTGGCCCGAGATAAATAAGAAAAACATGGAAATCCGTGATTCTTGTTTCCGGGCGCGGACCCTCCTTCCTGCAAGATTTCCACACAATATCAGCCAACTAACCCAATGGAAAAACGATATCAGACCCCCTCCAACCCCGGCCTCAAGGCCTTGGGTATGGCCATACCCAATCAAAAATCTATCTTTGACACTCCTAGACCCAATCAGCTTTTTCCTCCAGCCTGCATTCACTGGATGTTGGAGCCCGCTACCTTTACGGCCACGTAGAAGGCCATTACGTTTTGCACCGCCCACGATGCAGTACCCATTCACCACTCCGGAACGCTTGGGCCTGTTCATCTTCGCCGGAGTGATGATAATGCTGCTCTTCTTCTTCACTCCCACTTCTCCCTTCATCGGGTCTTCGTCACCACCCCCTCCACCTCCCCCACCCACCGCATGGCCCTCCTCAGATCCACTCCCTCGGCTGCTTCCCTTCGCCTCCTACTCCCTTCCACCTGGCAACAACCCCCCGGCGCTCCCGCGGCTGCTTCACTTCGCCTACTGCCGTCCGCCTGGCAACAACCCCCCGGCGCTCCCTTTCGCCAAATGGATTGGCATGACCTCGGCCGTGGCCCAGCTGCGACCCACGCGGATCCTTCTCCACACCGAAGTCGGTGCGACGCCCTTGGGCTTCTGGTGGGACCAGTTCGCCGAGGCCCACAAGGAGCTGCTACAGGTGGTCGAACACGACCCGGTGACGTCGGTCTACGGCCACCCGGTCCATGTGATGGCCCACAAGACCGACGTGCTGCGGCTCGACGCGCTCTACAACCACGGCGGGGTCTACCTCGACTTGGACGTACTCGTCTTCCGCGACTTCCTGCCGGCCCTCAACGATCACCTGCGACAGCACCCGGAGCAAGACGCGGTGCTGATACAGGAGCGCGACGGGCGCGTGAGCCTAGGCAACGCGATCATCATTTCGCGCCCGTTCTCCAAGTTCATCGCCCTGTGGAAGAGCAACTACCACGACTTCAACGACAACCAGTGGTCCGCCCACTCGACCGCACTGCCGCGCAAACTGGCCCAGACCGAGCCCGGCGCGAGCCTGCTCCACCAGCTGCCCAGCACGGCCTTCTACAACCCCGACTGGGACGAGGCGCTCAAAGACCAGGTGGGCAGCAAGCTCTTCCTCGAGGAGCTGAAACCTGGTGAAGCGGGGCGCTATGACTTTGAGGCCGCCGGTGCCTTGGGGTGGCACTGGTGGGGCCACATCATCGCTCGCCAGCTGGACACCTGGACGCCCTGCCTGCTCGTTGCGCAGGCCAACAGGACTGTCATCAGCCGTCTTATGGGGCGCTATGTCAGCGACGAGCTGTGCCAACGCTGGCGGGCATCGCAAAAAACTGCATAAAAAAATAATAATATCGTTGCCTTGCTGCGTTACAAGTTTGTTTTTAGGTTTAATTAATTATAACATGTTAACATGCTAATTATTATTACTTACGCGGTGTGAGGGAGAGTGCGGGGCGCTTGTTGAGGAGGTCGGTCTGGCTGTGGAGCGGCAGGTCGACGCCGCGCACGTCGAGGTGGGCGAGGTGGACGCACTTCTCGAGCAGCGCCAGCAGCGTGGGCGCGCCCACACCCTGCGTCCGCGCAATGCACAGACGCCGCAGCTCCGGGCATCGGTCCGCGATCAAGTCCAGGAACACAGCTCCTGCGCCCAGCACCACACCACCGAATTACATTCAACACACGCCACACGCCACACGCACCACCGTACACGCGCACATTCAGCCCACGCAACACGCACGACACGACGACACGACACGCGCATACCACCGGGAAATATGTGGCCGGAGAGATCGAGCGAGGTGAGGCTCATCGAGTGCCGCTTGTCGTCGCCGGCGATGTGGTCCACCACCCACTGCCGCCTCTTCGTCTCCGCCTCCGCCTCCCGCTGCTCCGACTCGTCGCCCGCTGTCGCCCGTCGCCGCCGCTGTCGCTGCTGGGCCTCCAGGAGCACCCGCTCGCGCTCGCCGAACTTGCGCTGGCGCTCCTCGTAGTAGTCGATGGTGCTGCTTCGCCACGGCAGCTGCGGCTTGAGAAAGGCCGGGTCGGTTTCGTCGCGCGTGTCGCCCTCGCGCCGAGCAAACACGAGCGTGTCGAGCCGCGGCAGAAAGTGGTAGCACGAAAGCAGCACGTCGCGCAGGCGCGCGTTGGCGTGGGAGAGGTCGAGGCGCCGCAGGGCCGGCATGGAGATGAAGGCCTCGATCAGGCTGAACGGGCTGGCCCACTCGGTGACCCCCAGCGTCAGCGATTCGAGCCCGCGCAGCACCTGGCGGGCCGGCGCGTTGGCCTCGAAGCGCTCGATCGACCGCAGGAACGTCGCGCGGTGGGTTAGCACCTTGTCCAGCTCCAGCTGCGTGAAGACCTAATCGCGACATATATAGCAACATATCATCAATATGTTAGCAATATAATATGCGATGAATATGTTGGGAATATGAGTGTTGTCCGCACCTTCGCCTGGTCGTCGGGCCTCTTGCCGCGGAGCAGCTGGTCACGGATCTGGGCGAGGAGGGGTGGCAGATGGGCCGAGCGGATGGGGAAAACGTAGCGGCAGCCGGGCAGGAAGGACAGGTGGCTCATGTCCATCTGCGTCACGCCGCGCAACGACGCGTGCGGCACCATCGAATAGTGGAACGCCTTCAGGCTCGGACACTGTGGCAGCACCACCTACGCACGCACACACCGCACACGCACGTATCGCACACATTCTTGAGCACGCCACGCTCCATCACGACGAAGACGAAGACGGAGGCGATCGATGAAGAAAAGAGGAACCTCTTCGAAGGTGCCGTTGGAGATGCGCGGGCATTGGCGGAGGGAAAGGAGCGTGAGGCACGGGCAGAGCTGCCCCTCGAGCGGACCCAACAGGTCTGGGATTGGGGTTGGGGTTGGGGTTTGCGTTTGCGAGCAGAAAGCAAGGTCAGCCGCGGGCGTACCCTGCAGGAATTCGCGCGTGACGTAGTTGCACCCGTCGAGGATAAGCGTCTCCAATCGCTGATTGGCCAGTCTACACTCACCCACACACAAACACACAAGACACACACACACGACACACACGACACACGACACGACACAAAAGGTGGAAGATTGTGATCAGCATGAGGTGCACGTGGTGAGAGTGGCATGTGGTGAGCGTGTGGCATGTGACGTTTGCTGTGTGCGCTATGGAGCACCTGTCGGGTGGTACGGGAGGGAAGTCGCGGTTGTTGGAAAACAACTTGTTGCCAACCTCAGCCGCATCCAGCACCTGTAGTGGCGCACGTTCGATTCTTACTCCTAACTTTTGTCTTTCTTCACATCTTCCACTGCAAACAGGTGCGCGCGCGCGTACCTGGAGTCGTTTGGCCAGACGCGCAAGGTCGAGCAGGCCGTCCACGTGAATGTTCGTACAGCCGGCGATCCGCACCACCTCCAGCTGGGTGCAGCGACGACCTGCTCGACGTGGGCCAGGCGGTGGTGAGGTGGTGAGTGGCGGAAGGAAGGAAGAAAGAAAGAAAGGGCGACGGGGATGCCGGGGGGGCGGGGCGGACCGAGGAGGTGGAGGGCGTTGTGGGTGACGCTCTGGCAGCGCCTGGCGGAGAACTCGGCCAGCTTGGGGCAGCCGTCGGCCACCACGGCTACGCCCATGTCGCCCACTTGGGCACAGTCGTCGATCACCAGTCGAGTCAACTTATGAGTGGGGAAACGAAGGAAGAATTTAAGTCAGGCCACGACACACGACACACGACACACGACACGAACCTGCAGACACTTGGCAATGCTTTCGGATAGGCTGAAGTTGGTGATGCGGACCGCGCGGCTGAGGTTGATCTCCTTCAATCGCGGGCACAAGTGGCCCACCTGCGTGATGTGCTCGTCGCGCGTCTTGTTGGCCTTGCTGCTGCTGCTGCTGCCTAACGACCGCGAGGAGACCAGCCCGGAGAGGTCGAGCGAAGTGAACTCGTCGTCGAGCAGCGCGCTCAGGTGCTCGGGGAAGAGCAGGTGCAGGTCGGTCACCAGGTAGTCCAGTATCTTCTGTCGCATCTGCAACGGGTAGCCCGCCAGGCTTTCGTAGCGCAGCAGCGACTCGCCCAGCACCTGTCACACACACACCACACACACACCACACACACACACCACGATATACACGCATTGTTTGCATTCTGTACGTACACCACCGCACACGCATCACCGCACACACACGCATACGTCTACCCGCCACCGCACACGATCTGCGCATGCAGGGTACTGACCTTGACGCACAGGGTGTGGAGGGGCTCGACGTGGGTGGAGCGGGCGCCGGGCCGGGCCTTGCGCAGGGCCAGCTTGCGGGCAAACAACTCCTCGATGTCCGCCAGGCCGTGACGCATCGCCTTCGGCGGCTTGATCCCGACCCGCTTGAGCCACCGCGTGAACGGAGTCGGACCATCTAACGTACCCACCACCCAGTTAGCCTGATGATGACGATGACGACGACGACGATGATGATGACGATGATGATGATGTAGGTGGTGATGATGAAGGCGGTGATGATGAAGGCGGTGATGATGAAGGCGGTGATGGTACCGGCCATGGCTCGGCGGGCATCTTCGAGGGCTTCCGCTTCAGCGCGGGCAGCGACGAGGGCCTCCTGGGCCGCGCGCTCGGCCTCCTCCTTCTGCTGCTGCTTGAGGCTCACGACGCGGTCGGTGTACGAGTCCAGCCACTCCTGGGCTATTGGGACCAGAGCAGACACCCGCACGTTTCTGACCGCCTGCCGCCAACCTCAATCAGGGTGTGTGTCGTGTGTCATGTGCCGTGCGTGCTGTGTGTGCCGTGCGTGCCGTGTCGTGTCGTCACCTGCTCTTGCAGCATGCTGGTAACGGAGGTGCTGTACAGCTCGTCGCTTGGCTCCGGTTGGGTGCCCGCGGCAGTCGAGACGGATGCGTCGCCTGCTGACCCACTCGACTCGCGCGAGGTCAGCACCGCACTGACCCGGGGCGGCGCGGGCGGGTAGTCCTGCGGCAGCACGAACGCGAGAAGCAGCTCCGCTGCAGCGAAGTTGTAGAACGCCGCCACGACGCGCACATCAGCCACCACAAACCACAGCAACAACCAAGAGAGCAAAAACTGTGTGTGATGTGTGTGGTCAAAGAACCTCGACCCGATCGGAGCGTGACGTGCCACTCCTCGGTCTCGGTTGTTGTTGAGGCGAGGCTCCACTGCGCCGCGAGCTTCTGCGCCTCTCGCCGCCTCTGCTTGGCCGCCGTAGCCGCTGCATTGCTCGGCCTGCGCCCCTCGCTAGCGCCGCTTGGCCGCTTGCCACCCTTCACGTAAAATTAAATAAAGTGAATAAAATAAAATAAAATAAAATGGTGGGCGGGCTGGAGACCCACCTTGGCCTGGCGGACGCTGGGGATGAAGGCAGCGAGAAGCCATGTGTCCGTGGTGGGCGGCTGCAGGTCGTGGGCCTCACCATCTTCTGTCTCGGCCGGGTCCCTGTGCTCTTCTTCCCAATCTTCTCCATACTCGTCGTCCTCACAGGCGTGGTCATCCTCCTCCCCCTGGTCGTAGAGATAACGCTGGCCACTGCCCAGCCACCTCGACATCTTGTTTTTGTTTTTGTTTTGTTTTTTCGGATCTGTTTGAAAATTTGCGCTTTGCGCAGGGCCGCTTCAAATTTTGGAGGTCTTAACGGGCAACTCCGCCCTCTTTGGGGACCCTTGTGCGCGACTGTCCCGTCACACGCTCGCCCCTCGGTTGTTCTTTCTTCCAAAGGAGCGAGCTGCCTCTGGATTATATTTTATTTTTTCTTCGTCAGGATGTCAGCTGAGCAGACTGCCCGCGAGCGACTGGGCGGCTTCATCGGTTCGTCTCATTTCGCCTTTTTATAAATGAGTTTTAATCACCATATTCCCAGCAACGCGTTACTGGGATTATAAACGTTTTTTACTTTCTTTTTTTAACCATGCTTCCCCCTTTTTTAAACAGATGATTTGGAGATCGTATGGAACATCCAATTTGCCGACCTCTCCTTTGGTGAACAGATCGCCGTTGGTGCGTTTACATTTGATTTTATTTCTATTTGCCCTTTTTTTGTCGCGTGTGGTTGTCATGTTGTTTGACGTCGTTCGATGCGTTGCAGGTGCCTACGGTAGTATCCACAGGTGTGTAGGCAGCCGTCATCATCATCTCACCTTCGCCTTTGTGGTCTACGCACTGACGCTGCGTGAGGTCGTTACGTGGAACTGATCGCGCACACGCACACCCACCACACCACACTACAGGGGCAAGTACCTGGGTCTGCAGGTGGCCATCAAGACCGTGTTCCCCGTGGCCAACGACGAAGACGCCGAAATGAACTTCCTCTACCTCCAGAGGGAGATCAACATTCTCAAGTATTACGCTCTCTCATGGCTACCCGCTTGCGCTCTGCTCCTCTCTCACACGACGCACGCACGCACACACGCACGACCACGCACGACCACGCACGACCGCACACGCACGCGCGCCGATCTCTACGCTGCAGGGGAGTGCGACACCCGGGCATCGTGCAGTTCATTGGCATCTCGCACGATCACACCAACGATCTTATTCACATCGTCACCGAGGTCCCTCCACCACTGTCACGCTCTCCCTTGATTCATTTCTCAACTTTAACGCAAATCTCACACGTGTCGTGTGTGTCGTGTGTGTCGTGTGTGTCGTGTGTCGTGTGTGGTGACCGGTACTAGTATGTGAAAGCCGGTGATCTGCGTCAGCGTCTCAAGAACCGCAGCATTCGGTTGACGTGGCGGGACAAGGCGCAGCTGGCCTTTGAGCTCGCCTGCGCCATGGCCTACCTCCACTCCAAGAACATCATTCACCGCGATCTCAAGGCCAAGAACTGCCTGGTATCGTGTTTTACTCACATGCCACCACTACACGACACACACGACACACGACACAACACGACACACGGTAATTGACACATGCACGCGTGGCTGTGCGCGCTTATATGCAGGTAAGCGACCGGGGAGAGGTCAAGCTTTGCGATTTTGGTTTCGCGCGTATCGCTGAACGAACCCCGCGGCCCATGACTCTCTGCGGTACCGACCACAAAAAATAAAAATAACCATGACAATGGCAATAATAAACGATAATCATAAAAACTATTATTATTTCATTTTTTACTTACGTGTTGTGCGTGCGTGGACCCAGGAACGGAGGATTGGATGGCGCCCGAGATCATCGTGGGCGAGCCGTACTCGTTCGCCGCGGACGTGTTCTCCTACGGCATCGTGCTCATCGAAATCATCACCCGCAAGAAGATCACCGAAGAAATACAGCGAAAGTACGGACACCATTCGTTCTTGCCACACGCACACGCACACGCACACGCACACGCACACGCACACGCACACGCACACGCGTATATGGCGACACTCATCTATCACCGATCACCCGCACAGACCCGAGGAAGCGTTCGGGCTGGACGTGCAGGGCTTCCTGTCGATCATCCCCACTGACACCCCACCCGAGTTCAAGGACGCCGTCATCGGTACACTCTAAATAATTCAAAAAATAATTCAAATAATACTTACTCATATTCTGTTCTATTTTATTTTAGAGTGCTGCATGTACGATCCGCTGGGCAGGTACACATTCCTCCGTTTCAATTACAATTGATTTATTATTTATTTTATTTAATGAATCTGCCGTCGTCTTCGCGTCTGCGCTACCCCCCCCCCAAACCCACGGCAGACCCACCTTCGAGTCCCTGGTGGAGCATTGGGACGTCACCATCCAGGCGTGGGACAAGGAGAGGGAGGAGAAGGAAGCCCTCCTCTCGCCCAAGTCGCCGCGCGAATCTCGTACGACACACGACACACAACACAACACGACACACGCGACACACTCTCAAGACAAACCATTTCATGCGTGTGTCGTGTGTGTCGTGGTGTGTCGCGTGTCGTGTGTGTCGTGTGACAGTGGGCTCTTCGCCGTCGCGTGGAGCCTTGGATCGCTTCAGGCAGCAGGCTATCAACCTTCGCAAGGAAGTCCTGGAAAACGTGCGCTACCCCCCCCCCACGCACTGCGCACGCACCTCTCTTCACGCTCGCTTATCACGAATTGTGTGCGTGTCGTGTCGTGTCGTGTCGTGTCGTGTCGTGTCGTGTCGTGTCGTGTCGTGTCGTGTGCCTGTGTCATGTGTCGCGGGTGGGGCGAGAGCAGGGTACGATCAGGCAGAGGCAGGGCATGCACATCGAGGTGGAGAACCGGAAGCGGAACCCGACCATCCTCAAGCCCGTCGCCACCAAGGAGAAGAAGTCCATGCTTGTCCGCCCCTCCACCCAAAACAGGTACGCACACGCACACGCACACGCACACGCGCACGCGCACCGCCGCACACGCAACACGACACGTGCACACCACCGCACACGACACGAGGCGGTGATCTGAGGAGGCGTGTGCGGCGACAGGGCGACGACGGCGAAGAAGGTGATGGGCCAGCAGTTGGTCGACGCCTTCGCCGAGAATCTGCAGCGCATCCGGCAGCAGCGCTCTTCCGTTAGGGGACGCGAAGGTACGCGTGTGTCGTGTGTCGTGTGGTGCGTGTGCCGTGTGTCCCTATTTACTCAGTGCTGTTCGCTTGCGCAGACAACAGGCTGGTGCCCAAGGAGAAAACCGTGACGCCCGAGCCAACCAACAAAACCGGCTGGAAGAAGGCCGAGCTGCCGGTCCCGCCCAAGAAGTCCGCAAGCTGATCCCCGCGCCGCGCACCGGCACATGCACGCACTACACCGCACCGCACGCGCCCAGTGTACCAATACAAACCACTCCCCGTCGCTTTATTTTTATTGTGCATTTTATTATTTATTTATTATTTATTTGTGTTTGATTATAATTTATTTGTGTTTTTATTTAGCTTTTGTGCCGTTATTGGAGGACGATGTCGGTACCGCGAAGGCGACAGTTGCACGAGCGTAGTGCAGCGCCGCTCAAGCGCTTCGGGCAGTTGGGCGTGTGTTGGCTCGCCGCGGCGGGGTGGTGCGCCAAGCGGCGGTGGGCAGCCCTTCGCTTGGCCGCGCGTCCCTTGGGTGCCTTGGCCGCCTTCGCCGGCTGCGCCACCACCTTGGGCGTCCTTTTCCTCACCCGGCCGGCTCGCATCAGAGTGCCCGAGCAACAAGGACATGATCCAGACGTTGCCATCCTCCTGGCTTCGCGCCGGCTGATGCGTGGTGGGTTGGCAGTCCTCTCCATCGTCTCTCGCTGGGGTGTTTGTTGTGCTGTTGTGTGCTGTGCGCGCCCCCACATTCTCTTCGCTTAAACATGCGGATAAAAAAAGGAGTTAATGTGCCAATGGGAACAGCATGTAGTGAGTCACCTAAAAAAGACTGTGCTGTTACCCAGTGGAAAATATTTTACAATAAAAATTCCAAGAACCAAACAAAAAAGCTAATCATGTCTTCGGAGCGAGGAGCAGCAGCCTCATGGAGCAGCAACAAGTTGTGCAGGTGGCGTGGGTGAACGAGGGCCGCGCTCTGGACGTCTCCCTCCCTTGTCCCGACATTCGCAGCCTCAAGTACCCCCTCCAACCCAAGACTGCGGACTCCCGCAGCCAGGTAATCGGCGGGGGGGGGCAGGCAGGAGCTGGCCAAGCAGATGGGCGGCGGTGTACCTGTGGACATGCTTCGGCTGTGCGTAGGCAGCATCAATGTGACGTCCGAGATAGACAGGCCCCTCGACTACTACCTCATCACCAACGAGCCCTGGTTCGTCCGCTCCCCCATTGAAGCCTCAGTCATCAGCATCCAAAAGACGGGCGACGAAGGCCAAGAAGTGCGCCAGGAACCGGTACCGGCACCACCGCAGAGATCACGTGCGCTGCTCTGTGTGGAGTAGTGACTCATCCCCAATCGATTGCAGGTCAAGGTGTGGCTGAGGCGCGGCTGTTCGTCCTACGCGATTTCTGCGGCCCTGCAACGTGCGGGGCTTAGGACGGCGGACATGGAGCTGCGCACCGACGGCGGTGTCATCATCCCCGAAGGCTCTTTCTCGAAACAGGCACTTCGGTACGTCTCTTCCCCAAAGGCGCCTGCCAGCGTAGGTAGGAACAGGTTTTCCGACAGCTGTCATCTCGGCTTGCAGGGGCATGCCCAGCAAGATTACGCTCTACCTCCGGCGCAAGCCCGACGTTATAGACATCACCATCATCACTCCGTCTGGTACTGTATCTCTCTCGCCTTTATGAAGCGGTTCGTGAACTGGGCGCAGTGCCCAGCCAAGCTGAAACGACCTTGGCGCAGGGTTCCAACGGTCGGGCAAGCCCGCGACCATTCTGCTGGGGGTGAAGCGGGACACCACCATCCGCAACGTCAAGGAGCGCATCAGGAGCAGCACCGGAGTCCGCCGAGACAACATTCGGCTCTGCTTCCTGGGCACCGTGCTGGGAGTCACCGGCGACGAGGCCAACTCTGATGAGGAGCAGGCCAAGGTCTACTACTTCATCGGCCTCATCAACCCCCAATTCTGTAGTAGTTGGCACCTGCCATCATCACAACAGGAGGCGAAGACGCTGGCCGACTTTGGCGTCTACGACGGCAGCAGCCTCATCTGGAGCAGGGGACGTGGCTCAGCCTCGTGCCCAGGCCCGACGTGCAGTTCCAGATCTTTTGCAAAACTCTGACTGGTATGATTACTTTACCGCTCTCGAGTGGTGTTAACCTCACCGACTCAAGGACTTGCATCTCTGTGTTGCGTGTGTGGTGCGTGCGTGTGTGATAATGAAGGCAAAACACTCACGCTTGATGCGACTCCGGCACATCTCATCGCCCAGATCAAGACCCTTATCGAAGCCAAGGAGGGTACCGTGTGTCCCTGACCCTCAGCTCCCCCGTAAGCCAAACAAACAAACTCACTGGTGCATCGATGCAACAAAGGTATTCCTGCTGACCAGCAGCGCCTTGTGTTTGCCGGGAGACAGCTGGATGACGACATCTGTCTCGGCGACTATACCATCGACCGCGAGTCCACCCTCCAGCTTGTGATTCGGCTTCGCGGAGGTACGCCACCCGCACGACACGCATCATCCAAGGGGGCAAGTGAGCCAAGGCTGACATCTGGGCCTTCTTCTGGGTGGCCTCCACCGATGAAGGGGGGATGACGGCGGGAAGCTTGTTCGTCGATGTGTCCAACACGAACGCGTTGGAGCGGCGGCAGTGGTCCTCGAAAGCCCCGCAGTGGCGCATAGTGAAGCCGGGGCTGAGCGTGGAGGGCGTGTGCACCAACCGCGGGTGCGAGGCCTTCGACCAATCTGTGATCATCAACCAGCTCCACGGCACCTTCGACCTCCTGCTCGACGCCCACACGTACGTACTTGCCGTAGGTCCGGCTACATGTGATGCCGCTCGCTGGCCTCACGGTGGCGTGCAGCGTTGTCGCGCCACAGGTGTCACTGCCCCATATGTGGATCGTACGTGGAGCCGGCGACGTGCGCCTTCAACAACTGCTGGTGGAAGTGGAGCGGCATCAAGAAGGGAGCCCGGGCTGGACAGCCGCCTCTCCAGTACTTGCCGCCACTCCTGCCATGCCGACTTGTGTTGCGTTGTGTGCTATGCGTGTCGTGTGTGCGTGTGCGTGTGCGTGTGCGTGTGCGTGTGCGACCGTGCGTGTGCATGATTTGCCTCCGCAGTATCGTGTGGCTGCGTCTGAGCAAACAACAACCCTGGGAGCAGGTACGGCGGTGCGTGGGCGAAGGCCGACAACGCCTACCATCGCTTCTCCGAGGAGAAGGCCGGCACCGTCGAGTGGCTGCGCCTGCTCATCCACACCAAGCGCATCCAAGAATGCGAGGGTGCGGCGGCGCCGAGAAGACCCTTCGAAATGTATGTGTTGTGCCCCCGCATGCGTGTGCGTGTGCGATTGATGTCTGTGTGCGGTGTACCGGTCGCTAATGAAGCAACGCGAGTGCAGGTTCTGCTGCATCTGCATCTGCGACATCACGGCGACGGAGGAGGTGAAGACGCTCGCGTGCGGCCACGCCTTCCACCCTCCGTGCGTCGACGAGTGGACCGGCCGCTCGCCCACCTGCCCCTACTGTCGACGCGACCTCTGAACAAGAAGACGACGTGGAGCAGGAGAGCACTACACTTAATAGACGTTTTTAAATAGTGGTGCACACACCGATATCGATGTAGCCACACTACATCAACTTCTCAATTCTCGACAATACAACCGCAGCTCTCGTTCCACTTCCACAGCGAAACAAGAGGCCACTTCCTTCTTCCCCCCACCCTCCAGAGCTCACGGCTCAGAGGTCCACCGCGGGCACGAAGGCGACCGAGTGGTGCTTGACCTGGGCGTACTTGCTGCGGACGGCCGCGATGCGCGGGTCGGCCGGGTCCTCGTCGGCGGCCAAGACCAGGGCGTTGATGGCCCGCACGCACTCCATGAGGCCCTTGTCCCTCCTCCGCCCCTGCGCGTCGTACTCGTCGCCGTCTTCGCTTTCGCTTTCGCTATCGAACGTGGAGTCGTCGTTGGCCTCGTCCCTGGGGGTGCCGCACCGAGTAAAGTGCACCAGCGTGGGCGTCTGCATAAGCCACACACAAAACATCATCACACTTTAGCAACCGCACACATGCACACACGACACCGCACACACACGACACACACGACACACACGCACCCAGATGGGGGACTGGTGGGTCATGGCGCGGGCGATGTAGACGCAGGCGGCGGCCACGACCGAGGGCTTGTGCCCGAGCGTGGCGTAGACGCCGAGCGACAGCTCCATGACGTACTTGGTCAGCTCGTGCGTGCGGCGCGACGAGTGAGCCGCCTTGGAGAAGCGGCGGATGAAGTGGAACGGGTAGACCGAGGCCAGGTCGAAGCCGAGCGCGGCTAGCACGATCGACTCGGCCTTGACAATGTCGCGGCCGCTGATGGTCCCGTTGGAGAGCCACTCAAAGTCCTTGAGCGTCGGGTAGTAGATCTCCTCGTACTTGGACGCCACAAAGAGGCACGTGATCGCGATCAGCTGCACCCGCCTCTGCGACACCTTCTTCAGCGACAAGAACCTAATTGAGGAGATGCCACGTCAGCGTGTTGTGTCGCTGCCGTGCGTGTCGTGTCGTGTCGCGTTGTGTCGTGTCGTGTTGTCGAGTGTGCGGTGCGTGTCGTGTCGTGTCGTGTTGCGTGGTGGTGGTGATACCGGTCGAAGAGGTCGACGGCGAGGAAGAGGGTCTCGGTGAGGAGGTCGCAGCGGCCGGCGGCTTCGACCATCCAGTTGACGGTGAGCGCTCGCATCTTTTCGGTCAGCTCGCCGTCCTGTCGGGTCTGCAGGTAGTCGCTCGCCGGCCTCTGCAACGTCTGTTGACCAGTACCACAATACAAAAAACAGCGTTAACCATCACTGGCATGTGTGCGGTGTGTGCGGTGCGGTGTGTGTCGCGCACCTGTCGGCGGTGGAGGTGTTCGTAGATCTCGCGGACGTAGACGCCGCAGTTCTCGGGCTCGTTGGCGTCCTCCTCGTCGATGTCATCGACCTCAACGCCGATTTCCTCCTCGTCGTCCGATTCGCATTCCACGCCCACCTCCTATAAATTGAAGAATAATAATTGTTATTTATTCATACAAATAAGTAAATAAATACTATCTTCTTATTTATCTATACTTAGATCTTGCGAGCTCTTCTAGTACGTACCTGGGAGAGGTCGTGTTTCTGTTGTACGTTGATGTGGTCTTCGAACTCGTCGGCGGCGGCCACCATGACGGCGGCCTTCTCCTTCTTGATGTCTTCCTCCATTCCGGCGTCCTCTTCATTACCACCGTCCTCGTCGCAGCACTCCTCCCTGTCCTCTTCTTCGTCGCTCTCTGGATCATCATCTTCGCCATCTTCTTCATCGTTATCCGAGAGTGTGATGGTCTTCTCCTTCGTGATTGCCTTTTTGAGTTGTCGCCTGCTCTTCTCCTTGAGCGCCGCCAAGGCCTTCTTCGCGGCGGCCTTCTTTTTCTGCTTCATCTTAATCTCCTCCGCAGACAACGTCAACGCAGACGTAGGGGACATGATGGTGATAGTGGCTGCGGTTGTGGTGTCGACCTTCATCTTCTTCATCGTCGATCCGTTGGCTTCATTCGCCGCCACGGCCTCGGTGTTGGTGAGATCGGCGAAGGGCCGCTTGGCGCCGCCACCCTTGTTGGGTCCCATCATGAGCATCTGCCGAATGTTTTCCTTCTCATCGGTCTTGGCGTCCCGCTGCCTCTTGGCCAGCTTCTCGTAGGCCTTTGATTGATCGCGACTGAAGAACGACGGGAAGCACGACGATAGCATCTTTGTTGTTGTTGATGATGTTGATGGCGCACAGGCGATCGGGTTCGGTCGGTCGGTGCGAGATCGAGTGCAGCAATCCTCGGCTCTCGCTCCAACGCCAACGGCCACCTTCGCCCAAACAACAACTCTTGCGTTCGCGCCAAATCGTTCTGGCCGTTGTAACTGAAATATTCGTAGCATTTCGACATTCCAATCATTTCAAAAAAAATTTCAAACTTCTGCTCGAACAACTGCGTCGTTTTGTGGGTAGTTGTACAGGAAGGCGCCGCGCACTTCGAACAGGAGGTTCAGCGTGCTGACGTTGGCCGGCCTGATCTGCTGCGACCAGGCCACAAGCTCGACGGTGACGGGAGGTTTGCGAGACAAAAGAGTGTGCTTCGGGGCTTCGGGGAGTGTCGCTGATGTGGTCGCCACCGCAGCCCGACGATGACGGCTTGATGAGCACAGTGTACGAAGTGTACGACGTTGCGCGGCAGGCACTCGCGGTTCTGGTTGAAGTTGATCTTCACGTGGAACATGGATAGCAAGCATCTGTGAGTTTTGTCATGTGTGTGTTTGTGTGTGTGTTTGTGTGGGTGTGTGGGTGTGTGCGTAGGTCAACGTTGTAAGTCATGCCTGATGACCAGATGGTGCCAAAGGGATCCTTGCTTGTGGTCAAGAAGCGGATGGTCGCCGTGGGCTGAGAACGGAGCTAACAGCTAACGCCTCCCAACAGGCCACAAGAAGAAGAAGGAACCATAGAAAGCTCATGGCAGGAAGCCACCGTGTGCCATGGGATCCAGCACTCAGCTGAAGGCTCGTGATCTGCTGCGCCAGTTCGACCCGGTACGAACTCGACCGAGCATTCTTGCCCCTCTTCTGTTGTCACGAAAGATAATGGTAGTCACGTGAGCATGTGCCGGTTCCCCTGAGGTGCTGGGGGGGGGAGTCTTTACTTCGAGGCAGACGTTTGAGCGTGACTTGCTCGACGTTGGGCATAGTGGAGAGAAGGCGCGACACGGTGTCCTCCGTCGCGGTCGTGACCACAGATGGGAGCGCGGCGCCGAGCGATGCAAAGTCGTCCGGAAGGCAGTCCACCTGTACACCGCCGCGAAGACTCAGCCTTGTAGCACATGGCACTGGTAGGCGCATGCAATGGGGGCATGGGGATGGGAAAGCAGACGCTGATGCCTAGAGTGCAGAGTGAAGGAAACAGCTGTGCGATGTCGTTGATCGCAGTGCCCACTTCCGTCGCGGAGGCAGTGATCTTGAGCCATATTCTGTCGCAAAGGTAAGCCGACCAACACACCCAACTTGGATATGTTGTGCAAAAAACGAAGAAGAGGCAGAGATGGTGTCGCACCAGGCTGGCGTTCGGCTTCTCAATCGAGCCGAGCGACCAGAGAGGGCTTAGCGACAGGTCGAGCTTGTACCTCAGGTTCTCGAATTGCAGAATCCTCGCCAACACATCCCCGTTGAGCTCGTCGCGGTTACACAAGCGCAGCTCCTCCAATTGGGTCAGACCCGCGACGCTCTCCAGGATGGACTTGTGGACACAGTACGTGGCTAAATGCAGGGCGAGATCTCAGCAGAAGCATCCACACACACACACACCGCGCACACAGCACACGTCGAGGGTGAGCAGCCGTGTCACGCACTCGGGTACCCAGCGCTCTGCTCGTTCCTGCCCAGCACCAGCTTCTGCAGGCTCGTCAGTTGCGAGAACAGCGGCGCGGTTGTGGTGGATGGTGAGTGCCGCGGACATAGAGCAGAGTAGAAAACAAGCAGGGACCCAAACCAGCAGCGGAATCGGGGAATGTGCAGTCTCGAAGCGTAAGCGATTGGAGGCCCTCCCACTCGACCAAGGTCTCCATCACCGTCTCCGTGAACCTCCTCGGCCTCGGAGTGCCGCAAGGACAGGTTGAGGCTTGTCACGGACGGGAAGCCACACAGTCACTCAATAACATTTTGGGCCAAGGCCTGATTATGGTACGCTCACACCAGATTATGTGAGCGTCTCACTGCCGAACAGCTGGTCCATGACGGCGAGATTGACACTGGCGAGTGGAAGGTCCTTGATCAGCGGCCACATCGCCAAGTAGGCCTATGTGTCACGTGACTCAGCGTGAGTTCGGCTCTGTGCCGCAGTGTGCTGCACATGGGCCTCACACGTGTGTGCGTGTGCGTGTGCGTGTGCGTGTGCATGGTGGCCCGTACGGCGGCCAAATACACAGCCTTCCATCGCTTCGCCTAATGCATGAAAGGAAACCATGAGCAATGGCAAATAAATCTTAAGAAAGATGACGTACCGCATGTGTTTGTAGATGAAGCGGAAGATGGCAAGGCGGAGCTGCTCCGGCATTGCCTCCACTTCGCGACGATAGGCTGTTTCGTCGAGGTCTTCCACAGGCCGTGTAGCCGAGTCCAAAAACGGCTCTTCTCTTGCCTTTTTCTAAAAGTGAACAAAAAGGCACGATCAGTGAGACTTGAACCAGGGCAGAGCAGTGGTTGTTTGACCAAAAACTCAGGGAACTGGGAGTGGGCCACCAGAGGTGTCTAGGTGAAGTAATCAGGCAGCTGCTGTCCAAATAACCACCTGCCTCAATGTCACCGCCTCCCTACTTCCTCTTGCTGGAGCAAACCAGCCACTATGGCCAAGAAACTATCACCACTGACCATGGAACCACCTGGGGAGGACCCCCACAAGCGAAAGCTTGAAGCGCTCCAGGGAGAGGGTGCAGTCAAGCTCGGTGCGCTATTTGCTGAGCTTTTATTTTAGTGATAAACACAACTTTTTTAAGAAAAGAGGCTGACAGTGCACCTCCCCAAACATCCACAGAAGCAAGCCAAGATGCCAAGCGTGCACGGCACTCATGGCCACTTAGCCACACCAGATTTCCCAAGAGTAATCTTATGCTTCACACAGGGGTGAGCTTGAGCTTGAGGTCAGCGCACACCAGTGGATGGTCAAGAAAGAGGGTCCCTCAGGCCTTGGGACACCAATCCCTCTTGTCGCCAACTTTTTCCCAGTCACGGTACCGTGTTGCCCGTCAGGCCCCCTCATCTTGGCCTCAACTAACACTTTTCATCTTCTGTCCCGCTCATGCTAGTGGCCACTCGGGCAAATCTTCATACACCACATGCACTTCGAGGTTCTCTCCTCTTCTCCTCTCCTCCTCTCCTCTTCTCTCGTGCTCAATGCTTGATAGTAGCCTGCAGGAGGTGTGTTCATCAAGAGGAGGGTCCTCTCGGCCAACAAGGACCAGCTGGGGCGCCACGATTTCTGGGGCGAACTTCTCTTCGCCAAGCAGGACCTCAGCAACCGGACCTTCAAGGCCGAGGTGAACGGGACCGAGTACGTGGTCACGCTCTCGGGCCGCATTCCGGTCGCTACCGATGACGTCGCTGCCCCCGAGCGCATGGCGATGGCCTCCCGCCTTCTTAAAACGGTGCCGCACCGCACCACACGGCACACGCACACACACACCGCACACACACATACACATGCACACACACACACACACACAACACAGACACACACGACACAGCCCATGAGCTGCATCTTATGATGAGTGAGCAGGTCTTTGCGAGGCTGAAGTTCATCCGGATTAGGGACTCGATCTACGACCCCACGCACCCCCTCATCTTTCAAGACATGAGGGCGTTCCCCGGCTATTCAACGAACATAGACCTATTCCACGTACCGCTCTCTGTTTCGCTTGCGGCACACTTGGGCTCAACGCTTACATGTTTCTCGCGGCGACCAGAGCGGGCTCATGCTCAATGTGGACACCTCGTACAAGTGGGTGCAGACAAGTACGTTCTAATGTGGCCTCCTCCGCACGACAAAGCAAAATGCGCCACGACAAAGCTTCGTCGCGGTGTGGCTCGCGCTCACGTTCACGCCTCTTCGGGGGGGGGGGTGAACAGGGAGCATTCTCGATTTGCTCGTGTTGCACCAGCGCGACCGGGCGAAGCAAAACCAGCTGGTGGCGAATCAGTCAGTCATTACCAACTACACGGATAAGCGCGGAGACTACCGCTTCTACCGCGTGTCGTCCATCGACTTTGACAAAAGTACGCCACCACCCCCACTACTTCGAACTGTTTCGCCAACAATGCGCCGTGTTGGCGCTCACCGCCACGTCAGCCCCGGCGAGCACCTTTCCGCGCAGGAAGAGGAGGGAGCACAAGTACGCCGAGGCCGAAGAGGAGCTCATCTCCTTCTACGACTACTACCAAGAGTACGCGTCGCGTCTTCTCTGTTTTTTTTTGTTTTTTTTTTTTTTAATTCCTACTCCTGCGCGGTTCTCTTTAAAGGCTCATTTTATGTTCGTGCGGGGCACGAACGTGACAGGACGCATGGCATCACGATCCGCCACATGGAACAACCGCTCCTCAAGGTAGTCGAGAAGAGAAGGCGCCCGACCGACGGAGTCCAGGTCGAGGAGATCATCTACCTTGTGCCCGAGCTCTGCGTCCTGGCCGGCATGACCGAAGAGATGCGCACCAATGGCCAGTTACGACTTGCCCCCCCCCGCTCTTCGCACAGGTTCCGTGGGCAGAAGCTGACGGGTCGTGGTCGTGGTCGTGGTCGTGGTCGTGGTCGTGGTCGTGGTCGTGGTCGTGGTCGTGGTCGTGGTCTTCTCCCGCAGATTGCGACGCAAGGCCATGGAGGCCACTGGACCAGGGCCAAGAGAGAGGATGAATAGTCTGATATCGCTGGTGAAGAAGCTGCAGCCGGGCCACCAGATTCCCGACAGGGCAAAGCCCGGAGAAATGATCGACCCTGGCGCCGTACGTGTACACGACTCTTCTGCTTTTGTCCAGTCGATCTATTAGTACTAACCACTACCTTGGACCCCCAGATTCTCGCGGACTGGGGCCTGCATGTCGAGAGCGAGCCTCTCGCTGTGCAGGGGCGCCAGGTCCGGCTTGAAACGTTGCGTATTGGTGCAAAAGCTCCCAAGCCCTTGGGCGGAAAGAGTACGTCGCCAGCTACACCGTCATTTCTTTACACTGACCGTGTAGTGCCTGACCGAGTGGTGGTCGGTGGCGGTGGCGGTGGCGGTGGCGGTGGCGGTGGCGGTGGCGGTGGCGGTGGCGGTGGCGGTGGCGGTGGCGGTGGCGCAGGTGAATGGCGCGACCTCTACGGGAAACCGCCCTCAGGCGGTGCTCCGCCAGATACCAGCAGCACGGGCCTGTTGAGGCCCATGTCGCTCAACGCAGCAAACTGGGCTCTGTTTTACACTCAAAGGCAAGAGTCCGACGTAATGAACATGATGAAGGCGTTCCATACGGTACTAACGCAAACGTTCTATCTTGTTCTCTATGGTTGCAATTCTTATTGTCTGACCTTGACCTGTTGTTGTTCATCAATCAACATCAACGTGTTGCAGGTGAAGGCACAGTTGAAAATGGAAATCGGCGATCCACTCATGTGTGCAACAGCTCGCGTACAGGATTACCCCGCAGAAATGGCTCGTGTATATGAGTACTGCTCCCCCCCCCGCTCCCTCCTCTTGGCTTTCCTTCATGTTGTACTGTGGGCTAAGTGGTGTGGTGTGAACAGGAAAGCAGAGCGCGAGGGCAAGCCAATCAAGATGTTCCAGGTCGTTCTGGAGAGTGCCAGTGAGGTGGTCTACAAGAGCATCAAGGCCGTGATGGCCTCCAAGCCTGTGCAGACGCAGTGTGTGCAACAGAGAACGATCAAGCCACAAGCAGGCATCGAGTCCAAAGTCAAGGGCCTCCTCCAACAAATGGTGTGCAAGCTTGGTGGAGCTCCATGGGGGTGCGTTGACCCTTCTTTGTTTTCTTCGCTCTTATCATCACTGTTTTTTTGGTAACCACACTTCGTCGTCGCCATCGTCGTCATCAGGGTCCATGAACTGTTTTCAAATGAGCCCACAATGATCATTGGTATCAGTGTGTCACACTCCAAGTCTGCACGTCAGTATGTAATCCTCACATGGCCTGTTACAGGCTTATATGGCACTGATGTTCCATTCTCGTTGTCATCAGGGGGTCTGTCTTGGCACTGACCGCCACACTTGACGCGGGTTTCACTAGCTACTTCTCTGACGTATCTGTGCAAGCACCGGTACGCCCGCATTTGCCTGCCACAGTTGTTGATCCGCCTTCTTCTTCTTCTTCTTCTTCATCATCATCATCATCATTCCCTTCATTCTCAGGGCCAGGTAATGGCTTCTAGCATTGCTGAAAGCTTTGACAAAGCACTTCGCGCATTCAAGGAGGTCAATCCTAAGTACCGGCCCAGGCGCATCATCATCTACCGCGACGATCCCGGTGGTCGTGGGTCTCTCGACGCTCTGGTTTCTCCTCTCTCTCTGCTCGCTCGCTCGCTCTTATTTACTCCCAGTCCGGCTAGACGATTGAGTGCAGCTTCTTACCTCTCTGTTTATTTATTTATTTCTTTATTTTGTCGCAGCTGGAAAACGAGATTAAGCCGATCCAGGCAGTCCTTCAAAAGAGGGACCTCAAGATCAACTTGGCCATCATCGTGGTGAGGAAGCGCGGCCTCGTTCGCCTGTTCACGCGGTACATATCCACTTTTTTTGCACTCCATTGCTCACCATCCGACCTTCCGGCTGTTTCTGACCCGTGCTTGCCTGTTGAGCAGCAGAGATATGAACAACCCGCCGCCCGGAACGATTGTGGACGTGGGAGTCGTGTCGCGAGACTACGATGACTTCTATCTCATCGCGCACAGCTCTCGCATGGGTACCACATCCGCGTCACTTATTTTTCTCGGTCAATCATTGATCACTTTTACAATAATGGTACTCCGCTCGCAGGCACGGTGAAGCCCACACAGTATCAGATCGCGTATCGCACGCCGGGGGAGGACAAATCACTCACGGCCCAGAGCCTCCAGCGCCTTTCATTCATGCTGTGCCATCTCTACTACAGTACGCTTTGAAAGCCGCCTGACCGCTCACGCACGCGCACCAACTCACTTGACCTACGCGTGAACACACACGCACACACGCACACACGCACACACGCAACACACACACACACACACAGACTTCATGGGCACCATAGCAGAGCCGGCTCCTCTGCGCTACGCCGACCGGCTGGCGAGTCTCATGACGCAGGTACTGGAGAACAGGAGAATGCCGCGTGCCGAACTCTCCACTAGCCTTTACTACCTGTAGGCCCGCTCCTCGAGCCGGCCTTGACAACTCACCGTCCAGATCCTCTGTCGGTATGTGAACGTTCCCTTCTCCCCTTTTTGCTCGACGCGCCAGACGCCAATCTTACAGTTCACTCATGTGGCTCTGTTTGTTTTCAATGTTTGGTCAGTGACCATCCGGCTGGCGAGAGGTCATCATCGCCATCATCAACAACATACATCAACATCAGCAACTGTCGTTTTCGTTTTACCCGTAGACAAGTTCTTTTTTGGCAGATGAAATTGCGATTTTACATTTTGTCGACGATCGTGGCGAAAATGACAGCGGTGAGGAGGAGCAATCATCGAAGTATAAAATTGAGAGATAAAGATGAAGGCGGGTTTGGCGATCGTGGTTGCTATGGGGGTGGCTTGCTGCTACCTACTCGTCACGGCATCGGCCCAGGCAAACCCTTGCGCGGGTGCCACGCTTCAAAACAATTGCGGGGCGTGCTTCAACGCCTCCACCGCCGATGTCAAGTGTGGCTACTGCATCGCCTTCCTGACTTCCGACTACTGGTACTTGCCTCCAGTCCAAGATCCATTTTCCTCTACAGCTGTGGTGCTCCCACCCTCAGCTTAAGGCCGTTCACCATCATCTTTTGTAAAATCTCTTCGTGTGCTCATCCACGTGCCCTGCCTCCTGCAGTCACCCCGTGGGGACGGATGGCTGGCCTGCCGATAACCGGCTCTGCTACGGCGAGGACTACGAATGGCACGCCACGAGCTGCCCTGGTACGCGCGCGCGCAACTCAGTTCCATATGCGCACACACACACTGACGCGCTACTTGGCTCTGGACAAAGACCCGTGCGAGTCCCAGGGCGACTGCGAGCAGTGCCGCTACAACTTTGGAAGCGGTTGTGGGTTCTGCATGACCACGTATGTGTCGTTACCTCGCTCGTCGCCATTCGCTTCGTGGCATGCCACACCATCATCAACCACTCATCCCCCTCCTTGGTTTTGGTTTTCCTCAGCAACCGGTGCCTGGCCTCGTCTAAGAAGGGCTCCTGCCCGGACTGGAGGGAGAAGTTTAGCGACCCCAACGCCTGCATCGAGCAATGTAACCCCCTCTCCCTCTTTGTGGCGTGCTCACTCTTTTTAACGATCTCGCCTATGCGTTGTGTGTCGTTGGTCGTGTCGTGTACGAACGCAGACACCTGCGCTCAGACCACGTTCTGCTCCAGCTGCGTGACGAATCCCAACAAGTGCCAGTGGTGCGGTGGAATCAGCGGCAGCTGCGTCGGCATCGCTCAGACGTGCGCAAACAACGCCACCTCGACCACCGACACCGCCACGTGCTCCGTCATCGCGCCCGGCACGAGCGCAGCGGCGGTTCTCACGTCGTGGATCTCGAGCTTCTTCTTCTTCTTCTTCTAGTTGAGCCTATCGTTATCATCATCGAGGACTACGCTGACGACCCACCAACCCAGCGTCATCACGTGTACACTTCCTTGGGCGCCTCGCTCCCTTCCCACATTTTGCACCATCACCATCGTGCCCATCCGAGGCCACCGATAACTGTTTGTGAATAGAGTTTGTTTGCTGTTGCTTCTCTTCTCGTTTTTGTTGGCCGTGCGCTCGTCTCTTCATCACACCACTCAGCACACCCTTTCGTGCGCTCTCTGCTCTTCATTGTTGTCGACTATGGTGTCGACACGAAATGAAACACCAGACACCGAACAGTGGTCTTGTGGGAACTGGGAAAGCCTCGAGGACGATTAGAACAACCTTGCCCCTTTGATAGAAGAAGAAGAGATTTACATCAACAGCATTTCGGCTGTGAATTATTCCTTCTCTTCTTTCATCGCCTGCCGTCATCGTCAGCCCCTTCATTAAAATTCATGCGAAAAAGCCCTGAATGAGATGGACAGCATTCCCTGGAAACATATACTCGGGGACAAACTGGTGGGAGCAGAACGAGTTGAACTGCACCCCATCGTCGAGGCCGCCCTTGTCTTCATAGAGACCAACGGTTATTTCCCCCCCCCCCAATTCCCTTCCCATTTCCTCGATCACGCTGCCCTCTCTGGACCCTTCACACGCGAGTCGCGAATCGCTTTCTTCTCTGCTGATTTTAAACGGCCCTACGCAATTTACGCCTCGGGGCTCGCACGACCAAGCCCAGTAAATAATCGCTTTCATTGATGTGGCTGTGCTGCAGGGCTCAACACACAGGGCCTATTTCGCGTGCCCGGCAGCGCGTCGCAGGTGAAGGTGCTGAAGGAGAGCTTCAAGACCAAGAAGAAGGTGCCCGACCTCAGCGAGACGGAGCCGAACACCGTGTGTAGTCTCCTCACAGACCACCTCCGTAGCGAGGAACCACTACTTACCCACGCCCTTGCCCCACGCTGGCTGCAAGCCGCCGGTATTTGATTCTCACTCTTCAGCGTCATCGTCTCTCTGTGTGTGTGGTGTGTTGTGTGTGTTGTGTGTGTTGTGTGTGTGTCGTGGTGTGGCGGGCCTCCATTCAGCCACTGACCTGATGGTTTGCAGGGTTGCCGGATCTGGTGGTGCGGCTCACCAAGTATGTGGACCTCATCAACCAGCTGCCCGTGCTCAACCACGCCACCCTCTTTGCGATGCTGCGACTTCTGGTGCTGATCTCGCAACACGCCGAGAAGACCCTCATGCCCGCCACCAACCTGGGCACCATCTTCGGCCCCATGATCTGCCGCCGCCTCAACTCTGACATCGCCCAGGAGCTCAGCGACATTCCCGCCGTGTCGAAGCTGTGCATCGACCTCATCACCCACTTCAGCCAACTCTTCGACTACTACGACCTTGACCCTTCCGCTAGCAGCGCCGCCGCCGGCACTGGCGGGCTCAACGACAGCCTGTCGGCCGATTCGCCGCGCACGAAGAAGACCACGCGACGCAAGTTCCAGTTCGGCAAGGACAAGCCCTTCCACGGCGAGCGGTCCGGCGAGCGGTCCGGTGGCACGGCGTCGCCGGCGCCGGGCAGCAGCGCCGGAGGCTCGGGCTCGCCTTCGTCCACATCGGCGCTTGCCGCGGCGGCATTGGCGTCGGGCAACAGCAACTCACCCGTCGTTCCGTTGCAGTCTCCACTAGGTGCGTTGTCCTCTTTCTCACAGCGAGCCACACCCCCCGTCGCATTTGCTCGACTAATCGATGTGCTTCGCTGGGACGCGCACCACACACACACAACACACACGCGCGCGCGCACACGACACAGTTCCGGCGCCCGAGTATGACCCATCGGCGACGGGCGGTGATGAAGGCGGTCGGGACCAGCCCGGCCGGGCGCGAAAGAACGCCGTGTACGGGAGAGAGGATAGATTGAACGACCAGCTCAAGTCGGAGCTGAGCGAGGGCGGACAGCCACGATCGCCTAAGTCCGCGCGCGGCTTGCTTGGGTCCATCTCCCTGGACGCCGACGAGGACGACAGCCGGCCGGAGGGTGGTACTTTTTTCTTTTCTTTTCTTTTTGCATTTTTTAATATTTGTTATTTGTTTTGTATTTTTCTCGTGCACTGTTAATTTATTCCTTGTGTGGTGGGTAGGAACGAAAATGGACGGTAAATCGGTAATGCGTTCGCTTTCGTCAATGGGAGGTACGCAAAGGCGTTCGCGCACTTATTCGCTTGTTGACGGCGCAACTCAGGGTCTACACAAGGGTTCGTTGTTGAAACCTGCATTGCGAACCCCATTAACGACGGCGCGGATTGTGCGCCCACAGGATTCTACGCTAAGGGCGTATCCAAGCCTTTGGCTGTTGGTGATCTCGAGACTGTGCACTCCAGTGCCGCCGCTCAACCCGGTGCGCCGCACCCACGCCCTATTTTTATTCTTTATTCTTTGTCACTATTTGTTTATATTCTTTTATTTATTTATCGTTATTGTTCTCCATTACTCGATTGCCGACGCTAGACGCGGAGGAGTTCCCCGAGGAAGAGGGCAAGGACGCCGATGGGAAGAAGGACAAGAAGCGGCTGCCTGCACTCAACCTCAAGAAGCGAAAGAACTCAGTCGACAAAAAGAAGCTGCGCATGTTCTCCCCGCGCAAGCTCTTCGACAAGGACCGCTCCAAGGCCTCTCCCGACAGTAACCACTCCCCGCCCCGCACGCCCCACACTCCCGTGTTTCCATGAGTCGTCATTGCGCGTGTCGCTCACCACACTTCCGTTCGTCCAGGCTCGTGCGACTCGTCTGACCTGGAGCGAAAGTACTACGACGGCAGCTCTTCGTCGGGTACGTTGGCGTTGTGTGAACCACCTTGGCTGGCCCTGCGCGTCGAGTTCCAATGCTAAGGACCGACCCTCTCCCTCTGTAACAGAACGCGAGGAGCCCACGAGAAGATTCGGCGGACGCAAAATCCCCTTCCGTTCGCCGCGAAGGTAACTTTCCTGTGTACCCTCGCACAGACCTTGCGAGAAATCTCACACACGACACGACACGACACGACCAACGACACGACACGACACAGGAAAAGCTCGTCGTGGCCGGAGGCGGAATTGGCCGAGATGCGGCATCGAACGGATCAGGCAGCGAGCCACGACGATGACTCTGATCTGAATGACGACAGCGACTCGGACGACTACGACGGCAGCGGAGCCGACAGCAGCGGAGCGGAGACCCCCACATCGACATCGTCGTCCTCGTTGTCGTCGCTCCCGGGCGGGAGCGAGCCCAAGTCGCGAGCCAAGAGCGACATCCCACCGGGCGAGGCGCACAGCCTGGAGATCGCTGCGGTGGTGCGAACCGAGAGGCGGAAGGGCAGCCAGAGCGAGCGCGGGCCGTCGGCCAGCGCGCGTGCGGCGGCGCGGGCGGGCAAGTCCCTCGCGGGCGCCTCGTCGGCCACGTCGATCTCGCCGCGCGGGAAGCGACCAGACCTCGCCGACGGCGACGAGCGACTGCTGTCGTCATCAACATCAAACACGCCCAAGATCTGGATGGCGTCGGCCCCGCGGCCGCCAAACGCCACCACGACCAACATCCTGTTCAAATCCCCGCGCGTCGTCGGGGCGGCGGTGTCGGCCGCGGCGCTGGACGAGGCCCTCCGCGGCCAGGAGGCCATCGCGGGCCACCTCGCGCCCGAGGAGGAGCTGGGCCTGGTCAAGTGGCGACGGCGGATGACCGCCGGCAGCGCGCGACGGAGGCCAGCGGGCAATGTACATGCGGTGGCGGTGGAAGGTGGCGGCGACGACGACAGTGAGAACGGCGAGACGGAGGAGAATGACGGACTCCGACAGCAGCAGCGGCAGCAGGTGGAAGCGCCGACGACTGGCGTGGCCTTCCTGCTGAGCAAGTACTACCTCTACAATAACGACAACACAGGCAGTGGCGGCGCCGAGGGTAGCAGCAACGGCGTAGACACCAAGGCGGCGGAGAACGACAACAAGCAAACGCCACAGGAGCGAGAGAGGGAGAAGGAATCGCGGGAGCGGGAGCGAGACGGTGGCGGGGCGGAATCGGAGGGCGACACGGAGAACGACGACGAGGTGGACGACGACGGGGGCACCACCACGGAGGACGAGGGCAGCAGCGGCGGGAGCGGGAACGGCAGCAGCCACGGCGGGTCGTCGGGCGACGAGAAGGGCAGGCGGAAGCGAAACAGCGGCGCAGCGGAGGGAAAGCCGCGACGACGACGGAGTAGTAATGCACGAAAGAATGGCGTCGGCAGCGGCGGCAGCAACAAGAAGGCGACGACGGCCGTCAAGGACAGCAGCGGACTCAAGCTCGGCCGGAAGGTGAGGCGGGGAGAGGAGCAGGTCAGCGAGGACGAGGAAGACGATCATCACCTCGCGCCGCCTGCGAAGGCCTCGCCCATCGCCAAGCGAATCCACTCGCCACGGCCACGGGCGAGCGAGGACCACATCGGCGGCGCTGGTGGCAACAGCATCACCATCGACTAAGACGGCCGCCTGGTTCCACGTTGCTTCCTTCTTCTACTTCTCTTATCGCCCACGCCTCGCGCCTGGTCCGTTCGCTCGAGCGCGAGGATGATGCAATTTTGACCACCGTACTTTGATTGTAAATATAATACGCTAGACGATGTGATGAAGAGTGAATGAATCCATGCTCTTTCAATCCGATATCAGGAAAAAAATGAAGAATGAGTGTCCCAGAATCGTGCGCGAATCGTGCAGCGGGGCTTTGCGGCACGGAACGATCTTCGCCACGCCGATTCTGTGGGGCTACGGTTGCCATGCACACGCTTACTGGCGGACTCACGCCAAATTTCGCCCTAATCATCCAATGGGCGATTGGGATTCCTCCCTGAGACACCCGCGTTTCCGCCCTCTTAAACATAGGTGGGCAAGAGCACGCGCCGCGGTGAAGGAAAGAGAAGGCCACGCCCCAAACACAGCGTTCCATCTTCGAAAGGCAAAAAGGCCGGCACGCAAATCGATAAGGCCTAGGCGGGACGTAAAAATAGCGCCTACGAGAAGAAGAAGCCAGCCGGCACCACATTAGTGGATCGATCCTTGGAAAGCGTGAGCGATTGAGCTTAGATTGCTTTGGCAGCTCGCGCTCTCGATTCGAGGAGAGAAAGAGACAAGGCTGGGGTGGCGCGGCATTTATAGAAGAGAATTTATTCTCTAGGGAGAGCGGGAAAACGAGGAGGGGTGGAGGAGAGGACGCAGCGGAGGGTCACGCAAGGCTCTGGACGCGACATCGACTCTTCAATCTCTAAGGCAGCAGAGGAGGTATAACCGCGAAAGCAACGATCCGTGGACAATCGATCAAGATTCGACCCTCGCAACTCCCGCCATTATACAGAAAACAGCGAACATGCAAAAAGAATCACAAGTCGTCGAGATCCGACCAGATGACATCGTGCTCGAGGAGGAAATCGGTCGCGGCTCCTTTGCCAAGGTGTATCGAGGAAAATGTAGAGGCCAAACGGTTGCTGTAAAAGTTCTACACACACAGGTGCGCCTCTATACTTCTGCCTTGTGCACTCGATGCTGCTCCTCGGACCTAATTAATCTCTTTTTATTTTGCCGTGATGTAGTCCTTCACCGAGCAGGTCCTGCAAGCCTTTCGAGAGGAGATTGCCGTTATGAGCCAGATTCATCACCCTAATCGTTCGTTACCACATCCCTGCAGATTCGCAGCTTTTTTTTTGCGATTTGGCACTGATGACATCATGCAACTGGATCTTCTCTCTCTGCAGTTGTGCTTTTCATGGGGGCCTGCACGATCCCGGGTAAGCTGATGATCGTAACCGAGCTCATGCCGCGTAACTTGGAAAGCGTTTTCCTCGGCAAAGCCGGCAAACACAAGCGAGTAGCGCTCGTCCAGAAGCTCAAGATGGCCAAGGACGCCGCTCTCGGTACGCTCCTTCTGCCAGCCCCTTTCCCACCTTTTTGCGACATTACATGCATCCAGCATCCTGCATTAGCGTAATCCCGTTGCGCCACAAAATATTATCCGCCAATCTTATCAACTAGGTGATTGTTTTTTTTTCCCTTCAAATGCTCTTTTATCGCTATTTATCTCTCTCCTTCCGAGCCGCTCTGCTCAGCCCTCTGTCATCCCTCGTCAGTCTTTCGTCCGAATCTTCATCGCGCTGCGCATCCATGCGCCCTGCACCCCTCCTGGTTCGTGTGTCTGACCTCACGTGCATGTGCACAATGTGTCGCTCTCTCTGTGGGTGTACCTCAGGTATGAACTGGCTGCACAAGTCGACACCGATGTTCATTCACCGGGACTTCAAGTTGTCCAATTTGCTGGTGGACGAGAACTACAACGTCAAGGTGTGCGATTTCGGCCTCACCAAGATGAAGCAGGCCAACGACAATCTCCACGACACCAAGGGCTCACCACTCTACATGGCACCTGGTACCCGTCGATCCACTTCCCCCGCGCACTCTTTCACTCTTTCTCTTGCGCTTGGTGCGACCAGAGTATCGATTGCTGATCGCGACGCTGTACGTGATGTCGCCGTGTCGCTTGTGCTCGAGCAGAGGTGTTCACGGGTTCGTACAGCGAGAAGTGCGATGTGTATAGCTTCGGACTGAGCTTTTGGGAGATCATCAACGAGCGGCGAGTGTTCCCCCGGTACGAGAACAACCTGAACGCCCTCATCAAGTCGCGATGCGAAAACTACGAGACGCCACCCATTACCGACGACATGCTGCCCCGCCTCGTGACTCTCCTCGAGCGATGCTGGGACAAGAACCCCCGGCAGCGGTACGTGAGCTCGCCCCCCTCACTTTGCTTGCTGGCCGTGCACGCCTCGTTCTGCAGACTTGCAAGTTTGCATTTCTTTCGTATTTTCCTTTGAAGCCGTTATCCACTTCAATCCCTTTTCCAGATGATCACACCCACTCGGCGTTGCCTTACCCTTTCTCGCTTTCCCCCTCACGCGTGTGACGACGTACTGCAGACCACCGTTTGACGTGGTCGTGAAGGAGCTCGAGGAAATCATCATCGAGCAGTGCATCACCGACGAGCGCGGGCGGGAGGTGTGGAAAAAGGCGTCCAAGGGCGAAGACAAGATGACGTGGGACGAGTTTGCTCGGGCCGTGTGCATCAGCGTAGGGAAGGTGGCCCTCCCCGAGAGCTATCGATCCGACCGACAGATGCAATGCCTCAAGGTTCGCATACTTTTCTACACGTCGAGCTTTGGCCGCGTGGACGAAGCTGACTGGTGGTTGTTCGGGCCTCCAAGCAGGTGCTACTATGTCGACAATCGGAGCCCAACACAGTGCACGCGGAAAAGTTCGGCAAGGTGCTGGCGTGGTTCGGACCCTTCTCCGAGGGCCGCGACGCGCATAACCGAGGCCGAACCTTCCTCGACCGAGTACGTTCCCTTCCCGACAAGCACGCTGCCAGTGAAAGACGTATGTGGCCCACACTTTGCTAATCTGGTCTCTATCGTGTGGTCGCGTAGATCGAGGAAACGCTCTCGATGAAGTGGTTCCACGGGGAGATCTCCACACAGGACGCCGAGGAGCGGCTGGACAATCGACGGCCCGGCACGTTCCTGGTGCGCTTCAGCTCGAGCGAGAAGGGCGCCTTCACCGTGTCCGGTGTCGACCGAGACCGCAAGAAGAGCCACCAGCGGGTCATCTACCACCCCAACAAGGGTAACCCCCGCCACCGCCAAGTGCCATTGCCATCACACCGCACACACGTGTGCGGTTGACGCTTGTAGCTGACGCGTACCGTGTTGCATGTGATTTCCACAGGGCTCTACGTAATGCCCGACGACACGGTCTATACGTCGTTGGTCGACGCCATCAACGACCTGTGCCGCTCGTCCAAGCTGCGCAATCCCTGCCCCGGGTCGCGGTATGCTAAGTATTTCTCCGAGGAGCCGCAGCCGACGTCCAAGAACATCGCGCTGGTCAAGGAGGAGATCAAGCAGCTGCAGCTCATCCACCTCAACGAGATCTGCGAGGTGCCCGACAAGGACACCTCGCTCGACACCACCATCGACACCGCGTCGGGCAATCGGCCCTGGAGCGGCGGCGGCCACCACCCGAGTTACTTTCACTCGGGCAACAAGCGCAGCCCGTTCCACACCGGCAACATGAGCTTCCACTCCAGCAGCGGCATCTGGGGAAATAGCAGCATGCACGGCGGCGGAGGCGGAGGCGGCGACAGCGATAGCAGCGAAGACTCGATTCGCATCGCGCCCTACATCCCACCGATCCCGCCGGCGCACAACTCGGGCGGCAGCGGCGGCGGTGGAATGCCGTCGCCGTATCACGCCGGCGGACCGGGCGGACACCACTCGTCGGGGCCGTCGCAGTCGTCGGCCTCGATCCAGGCGGCACTGGCCGCCAACAAGGCCGCGTCGTCGGCCGCCACGGCCATGGCCTACCGCCAGTCGCCCTACACCCACGCCAGCACCCACACCAGCAAGTACCCCAACCTCAACTACTCTCCGCACCCGCTCAACTCGGCCGAGATCTACCACTCGGCGCCCATGACCGGCATGAAGAACAACACGAGCTCCTCCTTCTCCTTCTCCCAATTCGCGTCGACCAAGCACCCGTTCCGCAGCAAGGACGTGCTCACGGCGCCGCTCAAGAGCGAGGAGAAGAAGCGCGGCATCTTCAGCCGCCTCAAGCGCGGCGTGACGGGCAACAAGGACAAGGACCGCGACCGTGACCGCGATCGCGACCGCGACGACGGCAGCGACATGAGCGACAGCAGCATGGCCAGCACGTGGAGCGCCACCAAGTCCGGCGGCAAGTTCAACTCGGGCAAGCTCAACAACAACAACAGCGGCGGCAAGAAGTCCGGCAAGAAGGAGAAGAAGAACAGCCTCAACAAGAAGGGCCACGGGCGGGACCGGGACCGGGACCACCACCACCACAAAGACGACAAAGACTTTGCCTTCCACAGCGAGGACCACAGCTACCATCACCGAAGCGGCGGCGGCGGCGGCGACGGCGGCGGGACGTCGGACGACGACTCGCCGATGTACGCGCCCTACGTCGCGGCGGCAGCGCCCACCGACTCAACGTCGGCCTCGACCAACTCGATCCCGGCCCACGTGCTGTGCACCCTGCAGAAGGCCGAGGACGAGCGTATGCGCAAGCGGCTCCACGGCAACTACGACTCGGACTCGTCGACCGAGGACCTCTTCCCGCCCTACCAGCCCTCGTCGTCGACGTCGGCCTCCTCGTCCTACATCAAGCGCACCATCGAGGAGAAGTCGCGACACCTCCACCACCTCGTCGGCGGCAAGGAGATGCAGGAGCAGGAGGAGCAGGACGACCACAACGACGATCGCGATGGCGCAGAAGAGCAAGATGAGGAGGAGGAGGAGGAAGATGGAAGCGACGACGACAGTGATGACAGCGACGACGACGACGAGAGTGAGAGCGATAGCGAGGACGATGAAGAGGAGGAGGAAGAAAAGAAGAAGTCGAAGGCGAAGGAGAGCAGTCGCGCGCGGAAGGAGGACAAGAAGCGGCGACGACACGAGAAGGCGGTCGCCGCCGAAAAGAAGCAGCTGAAGGCCGAGAGGGCGGAGCGACGCAAGGAGCGCGCCGCGAAGGAGAGCGCCGCCACGACGATCACCACGGCTGCCGCCCCCAGCAGAGAGAAGAGGCGGACCAAGCAGCCCCACATCCCGGTCGCGATCATCACCAGGCCGGCGCCGGCGGCGTCGAGCGCGCCGGTATCGCTGGCGGCGACGGCCCCGCCCGGCCTGATGGAGGCCGCCCTGCTCAACGCACCGCGGGCGCGACGCGAGCGCAAGCAGCCCAGCGAGCACCGCAGCTCCGGCAGCTCGCGCAAGGTCGACGGCAACAGCAACGGCAGCAGCAGCAGCAAGAGCGAGGAGCCGGAGGGCGTGCGGCTCGACCAGCTGGTCGCCAAGACGTCGACCTCGCCCTCGTCGTCGACGACGCTGGCGATGGGCGGCCTCGGCGTGGCCAAGCACAAGAAGGAGAAGAAGGGACAAGGAGTACAAGGAGGAGGAGGAGGAGGATCGTCGAGCGACGAGGCCGAGGCGGTGACAGCAACGTCGTCGTCATCGTCGTCATCGACGAAGAAGGAGAAGAAGTCCAAGAAGGAGAAGAGCAGCGGCGGCAAGGGCGTGGAGGAGGCCTTGCAGCGAAGACAGCCCCGGGCCGCGGTATCGCAGCAGCGATCGCCGACGTCGGCGAGCAGCGACATGACCGGCGGCGAGGAGGACGAGACGAGCGAGAAGGAGCAGAACGATCCGCAGGGCAAGAAGAAGAAGAACAAGGACGAGGAGCGCACCGTCATCGCCGTCTTCTGACCCCCTTCCGCAGGGCCACTGTTGCGCGCCGTGCCTCATGTCATCAAATAATTACAACTATTTATTTCAACCAGTCGTCATGTTGCCCAGTTGAGCTTAGTGGTGACCGCCGATAACGTCAAGCAAAAGAGAGGAGCGTGAATACTGGCGGGAGACAAGTCGCCGGGGTAGCCACATCCTCCTTGCTCTTTCAATCCACCAGCCACTCAATGAAGTCGTGCTCCTCCCGTTCGTCCCAGACAGGCAGGGGTTGATCGTTGTCAGTCCTGCCGGCATCTTCCGTGGGTCCCACCTGCCACCAGGAACCGGGTGTGAGCAAGAGCAGAAAGGTTGGCAACAGCACAGAAGAACATGATGTGCGCACCAAGCTGCCCTGGCCTGAGCTTATTGTTGTATGGAAGGAGGGACTGGTCGCAGTACACGGCGTAGTGTAGAGGAGTGGTGGTGGTTGTTGGAAGGCCGTGTGTGGTGCAGCCGGAGAGAAGAGGAGCACCACCCCGCAGATGTGTCCTGATGAGACCGCGTAGCTCGAAGAAGGCCAGATGTGTAAGGCTGGTGTTGCTGGCCCAGTGGGAGGAATGTGGCGCTCACCGGGTGCGGTACTGGGACGAACGGGAGGAGCACCCCGTGCTTGCGCTTTACTGGTGGTTGTCGGCCGCTGGTGTGTGAACACTCTGTGAGAACCGAGGCCCTGGGTGTTGCGGAAGCTCCGGCCACACTCTTGGCAGAGCACTCGTGTTGGTCCATGGTTTGTGCAAAACGCCACCAACTCTTTTCGCCTTTTTAAATTTTAGTGCAAAAAAGTCATCATTTGGTCAAGTCGACAGGAATAGAATGCTGTCCACAAAAAAAGTGGTCCTGTTTGGTCTTACCCAGTCCGAGCGGCCAATGGGAGTTTTTTAAATCTGCACGTGTCTAGCTGGAGCAAGCGTACAACAGAAGTAGCCCGTACTACGGGCTGTACGCGCGCTCGGCGATGGTGGGGTCCTTCGACCAGGCCTCGAAGAAGCAGTTCGCACACACCCCGCGCCTGGGCTTGTTCTGATTGTTGAGCGTCGCGCGGTGATGTCAAGCCAAGATCAAGAAAAGAAAAAGAGAAGAGCAAGGCAAGAAGAGGCTGAGGCAAACCTTGTTCTCGGGCGTGGCGTAGGCTACGGTGACCCGCGTACCCCAAAGGGGGTAGGTGGCAGGGCACGATTCGCAGGCATGCGGCAATCTTCGATGCACCGCACGCCGCCACCATCACTCGCAGTGAGTGCCATGAACCACTACTAAACGTGTGTGTGTGTGTGTGTGGGCGTACGAGTAGGTGTTACGCGCAGCGCCCACGGCCACCGAAGCAAAGCTCGGGCCGATCTTGGCCGGCGCCGTTGCCTGCACAATGCCGGCACCCACCAACACACTAACGAAACACGAAACACGAAATGAAACGAAACACGAAACGCGCAGGGTGAAACTTTGCGCGTGTGTTGCGTGTGCGGTGGCGTGCGTACTTGTTGTCGGTGAGGAAGAAGCGACCGAATGCGGGGCTCTTGGAGTAGGGTTCGATCGCGCGGGCGACCTTGGAGGCGATGGTCATGGTGAAGAGCTTGCCCACGCCGCCCGCGGACTTCGGGTTCTGTTCGAGCACCTTCTTGGTCTTGATGTCGACGGCCTCGTGGATCGCCACCACCTGGCCCGTGAACGTGCCGCTCACGAAATGAAGCAGCGGCCGATAGCCCGCATGCTGCAGACCACACGACACACCCGATCTGAGCGACCGCACACGCACACGCACACGCACCACAGCGCACGCACGCACGCTGCTCCACGAGGGTCGTACGATTTTGAACTTGGTGGCGGGCGGGAGGGCGGGGTTGATGGAGGGGCCGAAGAAGAGGAGCACCTGCGCCATGAAGTATCGCGTCTCGACCATGAAGTCGGGCTCCTTCGCCGGGTTGTACGCCACCCATCCGCTTCCTGCGCATCCCGCTCGTTGACTTAAGTGTCGTGTCGTGTCGTGTGTGTCGTGTGTGTCGTGTGTGTCGTGTGTCGTGTGTCGTGTGTGTCGTGTGTGTCGTGTGTGTCGTGTGTGTCGTGTGTGTCGTGTGTGTCGTGTGTGTCGTGTGTCGTGTGTCGTGTGTCGTGTGTCGTGTGCGGCGTACCGTCCTGGCCGCGCTTGTGGAAGGGCGGGATGGTCTTGCCCGAAGGGAGGAGGAGCGCCACCAGGCAGCCGGGCGGGGCCAAGTTGCGCTTCAGCTTACCATAACCGATGCCCCACACCTGCCCAACACCGTCGTCAGCGCGTGTCGCGTGTGCGGTGGCGGGTCGCCCGCAGCTGAGATGAGCTCGTGCGCACGCGTACCGCGAGTTCCGGGCGAGTGTCCAGTGCGCTGGGGGACGGCGAAAGACGAACGGTGCTGTTGACCTTGATCCCGCCCTGCAGGACCGTGCCCAACACCACGCCTCGCTTACGCTCCTGTCCACACGACACACACGACACGACACACACGACACGACACACACGACACGACACACACGACACACACGACACACACACGACACACAACCGCGTAAGTCATTTACGTGTCGTGTGTGTGTTTTGTCGTGTGCGACGTACGCCGGGGACGAGTGTGGTGTTCCACATCTTAACGACGCTCATGCGGAAGGGCTTCTTGGGAGCCTTCTTGGGCGTCTTGACCGCCAGCCGGACGATGGCCTCCCACAGGGTCGGACCCTGGTAGGTCAGCCTGATGTCCTCCCGCTTCTCCTCCCCTACGCGACCGCACACGCACACACACGCACACACACACGCACGACACACACACACACACACACACGCACACACAAGTTAGCGAAACGACGAGAGTGAGCCTTGAAGGTTGAAAAATCGAACCGGGCGGCACGACGGTGCGGTGCACAATGTTCCAGCCGGTGGCTGCGCTCACTGGCACGATTATAACGTTGTCTGTTTGCACGACACACGACACCCAACGTGAGAAAACGTTTGGAAATGAGGCAAAGGTGCACTGAGCGTTGTGTGCGGGTTTGTCGTCGTGCGTACCAGTCTTGACGCGACGTTTGGTGAGGATCTGGGCCAGCTGGATCTTAATCTCGTCGAACTTGGACGTGCTCCATTCCTTCGCGGGCACGTCGGTCGTCAGTATCCCTACACTCTTCCCTTCGTTCTTGTCGTAGTTCTTCTTCTTCTTCTTCTTCTTCTTCTTCTTCTTCTTCTATGCCACGGTTAATAGAGATAGGAGTGGTACCCGTTCGTCCATCTTGTTGACCACCACAATGGAACAGCGCATGTTGGAGCCGGCAATCAGGAGCGGCGCCTGCCACCACACACACCACACACACGTGTTGGTGAGAAAACATGCGTGTCGTGTCGTGTGTGTACTCTGTGTGTCGTATGTGGTGGGTGCGTACCTCGCAGAAGGAGTCAGAGCGAGAGTATAGATCGCCCGTCTGATGCACCCGGTCGACCACCCAGACGGCCATGTCGCTCTGCGCAGATATCGGTGATACGATGAGCGACCGCACACGACACACAACGCACAACGCACGACATGCGTGGTCGAGCACACACACACACACACACACACACCTGCAAGAAGCCGCGGAGGGTGTTCCGGAAGAAGTCGCGGTGGCCGGGCGAATCGATCAACGTGAAACCGATCGGGTGGTGCGAACCCAGCACGTGCAGATAGTTGTTGTCCGACGTCACGCCCCGCTCGCTGTGTGCGTGTGCGTGTCAGGTATCCCTAGGCACGGGCCTAGGCAGAGGTGGAACTTCGGTACGTACCGATCGGCCTTGCGCCGGGAGGCGATGAAGGTGATCTTGGCATTGGGGCGGAGGTTGCCCAGGACCTTGGCGGCCTCGGCTGCGTTGTTGATGTCGGACTGCTTGGTCTCCCCCAGCTACGGGAGCACCACCAGCCAACGATCTCCTCGTTAGCCGCACGCCTCGCCCACACACGCGCGCGCACACGGCGAGCCAGAGAGAGAAAGAGGGAGGGAGTAGCGGCAAGGGGCATAATACCAGAAGCTGGAGATGGCCAGCGAGGGTGGACTTGCCCGTGCCGCAGCTCCCGATGAAGCACACGTTCACGTTACGTCTACACACGCACACGCACACGCACACGCACACGCACACGCACACGCACACGCACACGCACACAATCGATGGTGTGAGTAGCAACCAGAGGCGAGTAGGAGTGTTGTTTGCAGTGCAGGGGGCGAGTAGCGACGACTGGTGGTTGTTGGGTGGCGGTGGGTACCGGAAGTTGTTGGCGAGGTTGTTGTCTTTGGAGATGGCGCGAAACACGCGGCACACGGCGCCAATGACCATCAAATCCTCGACGAACAGGAACGTGAAGATGTGTAGTAACACCTACAAGAAAAAATATAAATAAATAATAAAAATAAACACGTATTGAATGAATTTACAACAAAAGATCAGCCGATTTTGAGAGTTTGAGAGCTTGATGGCGCCACTGTACCTCTTCAGGCATGTCACTGATCCGGATAGCGTGGGGATCGCGAGACGGGGTGGCCGCCTTGTGCGCCTCGACTCTCGACAAAAACGAGTTTACCCCCGCCATCGCCGTCTTCGCCTGCTTACTCATCTCTCCTCCAAGATCTCAGTTGTCTCCTCCTTGAATTCAGATTTTGTCTTGATTTGGATTAGCCTACCTTTGGGCTGTGCTTTTTGGTTTGTTTTTTTTTCTCAGTTCTCGTTCCCTGAACCGCCCAAAGACCAAAAGTGGTAACTCAAGACTTCAATTGGGGAGAGGCCTGTTGGGTTTGAACGCGGCAAGGGCGCCAAGCAAGGCTCGATCACGGCTGTTGACGCTGACACGGACAAAGAACCGAGAGTTGGGTTGATGTGCAACACACTTCATGAATTTTCATCCTTTGGTTCGCATTGGGAGACGCTTTTTCGCCGAAACACGTAACTAAAAGTTGTAGTTTTGCTGGAGCTCAGTAAAGAACAACGGTAAAGAAGAAAGAAGGAGCAGCACAGGCAGTACAGGGAAGATCGTACGGCTCTCATGCGGCCTGAGGACAACGAACAGGGCGCACTACTGCCGGCGAACTGCGTGGCTCGTGGCGCGGTTGAGATCTAGGCACCGGCTTGGACGCTGGGCAACGTACCCACTGTCCTTGCTGGAAGCGTTCGTCAGCGTCAACTTCATTCTTGATGTTCATCTTCTTCTCCCTGTGGCTGGGTCGACCTCAACGGTGGTGTCGCTGATCAAGCGCGGGCGATGGGGCCTCCTGAAGCACCTGAAGCACCTGAAGCGAGTGCGCGAGATGAAGAAGAACGACCCCCTCGACCAAGTGCCCCTGTACATCGACCCGCTCAACTACTACTACCATGAGCCCCGAAGGCAAGCAGAGCATCGGTACTGCGAGTTGAAGATGATTCTATGGCTTGTGATGGTTGAAGTTGTGTCTACTAAACGAAAACGTTTTGTATGTTGCGCACAGGTGCGTTGTTGGTGAAGGTGGACACGATGGAGAAGAAGGGCGCGCTGTTCGAGTGCGGTTGTCGCTCGTTCCAGGCACCTCGAGAGCAGCAGCGACGACGCAAGGCGCGGGGCAAGGCCAAGGGCGCCGCCAAGGCTCGCTCGCGGCTGTTGACCGCCAGCTTCCACGCCACCGACCAAGGAGGACGAGTCGGGGACCTATTCATGAACATATTTAACAGAGGAATGTAGATATAGTGGAGTTAAATAGTGTATTTACGATAACGTTTACCACTGGTGTGAACTGTTGAAGACATGTCGGGCGGCGATGGGGCGCTGCTTCTCCAGGATGGCTTCCAGCAGGCCGGCGGACACCCACGGCTGGTACTCGACGGGGTGGCACCCAGCCGCCACGTGCGCCTTCAAGTCGTCCATTGACTCCATCTCTTCGTTCTTGCAACTGTGAAGCCAGGCGCGTGTTGTGAGTGTCACGTCCTGCGTGTGTGCGCGTGCGTGTGTGTGCGGTGTGTGCGTGTGTGGAACGTACCGATGGCACACGGGGTGATAGGCGCGGCAGTGGGAGAGGTGGTCGGACATCTGGTCGAGGTCCATTCGTGCCTCGCACTCCGAGTTCGGACACCTGACTCCCCTCACTTTTGAATGATAAAAGTCAGCGATTCAGCTGCAACCAAGCCCGGGGCTTCGTAGGAAAAACGCACTCGGGATCATCTCTGGGCCGACCTCAGGGTCTCCCTGGTGGACCTGCGTTGCACCACCAGAGCCGATCAGCGATGTTACGCCGAAGGCAACATTTAACAGTAGAAATGTATTCATGTATATTTCTATATGCATATATATATATGTGTGTGTATATAGATTTCTACGTAAGGTATGTCTAGTTGTCGCGTGAGCGGGGCCGAAAGAAAGCAGCAGGCTTCGGGCCAACCGTTTCATGGTCTTCCGCCATTTTTTGCCCGCGCCAGCCCGCCGAGAAGGAGGAACACGCTTCGGGAGGGAGTACCTCGTTCCAGTGCCGGGCGACGTCCTTCCGCCTGACCTCCTCGCTGCACACGCCGGTGTAGCTGTAGTGGTACTCCGAGTCCGTGCGCGTCTTGACGATGTCGCATCGAACCGTGTAGGCTGGCGTCATGAACGCGTTTGTAGTGTGAGCCATGTGTGTCGTGCGTGTCGTGCGTGTCGTGCGGCTTACCTTCGCATTCGGTGTTGAAGTGGTGATCCATGCCCCAGCGCTCGCCGATGTGCTGCCCGCAGCCAACCGGACACTCCAACTCTTCGGGCAACTGCAGCTCACCCAGGTCCTTATGGTTTCGATGCTCCTGTGGTGTCGTGTGCGTCGTGTGTGCGTGTGCGGTGCGTGTCGTGCGTGTCGTGTGTGAGTGTCACCCCGGTAGAACCGTCGCCGGACTGAATGGTAGATACCTGGCCCCAGTGCTGCGGCAGATCGCAAACCAGCACCTCCGCGCCACACCAACTCGGGTACGTGCCAAAGAAGATGGCGCAACGGTGGTCCGTCGCACTTCGGCACTGCGCACACCAAAGAATCGGTGATCAGGGCCGTGTGTCTTGTCGTGTGTTGTGCGCTGTCTGTTGTGTGCCGCGAGAGGACGAGGTCGAAGGGGGTGCGTACGGCGACGATGTACTTGGAGCAGAACTTGAGGTGGGCGGTCGCTTCGACGCGCGACCCGAAGGCGCTGCCGCATTGCAGTGAACACTTGAACGTGTCCCACTCCGGACGGGTGCACACCTGCGCATGATCCTGCACGACACCCAGAGTGTGAGTGCGCACACGACAACACACATACACCGCACACGCGACACACACGCACGCACGCACACACCACACATACAGAGAGAGAGAGAGGCGTTACCTCGACGAGGCATTGCGGGATCTGGAGGCCGCAGCGGCAGTAGGTGGTCCCGCAGTCGCAGGGCTCCACCGGCTGGAACGGCCTCGCGCCTCCCACGGCCGCAGGCGAGGGCGACGAGTAGGTTGAAGAAGAAGAAGAAGAGAACGAGGGCGTCAAGTCGGGCGTGGACATGGGGGCCTGCGGGATTGTGCGGAAAAGAACGTTGACGTCAACACGAGGCAAGGCCAAAGCCGGAGGTGGGGAGAATGGCGAGGAGGGCACCTCGAGGTAGGGCGTGTAGCAGCTGCCGGTCATCTCGAAAAGCGACGGTGTGGCTGGAGAGTTAGAGAACGGCGACTCTGGTTGACCTTCAGTTAGTTCATCAATTTATTTAATATTATTATTATTTGGCATATAGGCTGTGGTATTAAACGTAAATATCAATATCAATATCAATATTAATTAATAATAATGATGATGATGATGATTATAATGAAAAAAAAAAAATGGCAAGGGTGGAGGAACCGGTTGCAGGGGTGCTGCCGGTGAGGTCGGCAAAGCGTTGCCGGTACTCGTCCTCGTGAATGAAGCCCATGTCCAGGAGGTCCTTCAACTTCAGCTTCTCGCGCTCCAAGTCTACGTCTGTGGCCAATGGGGACAACTTAGCATGCCGCACAACCCTCGGCAGGCCGAGATACCGTACCTGACATCTTCTTCCTGCTGCTGCTGCTGCTGCTCGAGTAAGTCTGGGCTTGTTGCGTTCAGTGGTGTAAGTGGGTCAGAATGCCAGTTGGTCGTTGCTGCTCTGTGGCCACCATTCGGCCAGAGCTGAAGAGGCAAATTCAGTGAAGCGGATACAATAGGAACAAAGGAAAAGAGAAAAAAATTATCAAGAAGAAAATCGTCAATGGAAAACTCCACCCTAACCCCAAAGAACAAAGAAGAAGATGAAGCCCCCACCTCCTTGCTCAGCCCTGTTCATTGTGACCTCTCTTGCTTTGTGTGTGTCATGAACGGATGTTGCGCTTTTGCGTGGTTTGCATGGTTTGCATTTAAAAAACTGATATTAACAAGTTGCTAGTTGCTGCCAAAGGAGGGAAGATTGCCTTCTCAAGAGGAGTGAGCGAGCGCTCAGTTGCTCTTGGTGGCGGCGGAGACCTCCTGCTCGATGTTCTTCTCGTCCTCCTCGATCTCGTGCATCTTCTCTTCGAGGTCCTTCTCGTCCACCGCGGACTCGCTCTTCTTGTAGACCTTGTAGACCAGCTGCTTCTTGGTCAGCCACGAGTACGAATTGTCCCACACCAGCTTGTACGTTCCCGCCACCCCGCAACCGTGGTTCCCTGTCAACCTCGTCAGCGCACGACACGACCAACGACACGACACATGCACCACCGCACACGCACACACAGAAGATGACGAGGGGAAGTGGGTACCGGTGACTTTGTTGACGTGAGATTCGTATCTCTCCTTGGCCTTGACGATCTGCTCGTTCTTGGTGCCGTCCTTGGTGAAGGTGACGAAGAAGTCGATGTCCTTGTTCTTGGTGAGGAACTCCCACGCGACCTCGTCACCGGCCTCGACCGCGATCTTCTCTTCGTGCACCTTGGCCACCAGCACCTCCTTCTCCTCGCCGGGTCCGCTGAGCCCGCCGACCTGCTCCTTGGTCACGAAGAAGGGCGAGTTCTCGAGGATCTTGATCTGCTGCTCAAGGTAGGCGCTGGCCTCCTGATCGTAAGCGGCGACGAGCTTCTCCACAAACTGCATCTCCTGGACGAGCTTGCCGTCCAACAGCTCGCTCTTGCGCGCGGCGAGCTCGGCGTCGTCGGAGGCGACGACGTGGAAGAGGGCGGCCATATAGAGGAACGAAGCGTTGATGAACTCGGTGAGGAAGTAGGACTTGGGACCGAAGCGGATTCGCAGCTCCTCCATCGGGCCGGCAGTGTCGTTGACTATGCGACGACGATAAGGATCAGTAAGACAGTGGTGCCAGCGAAGCGACAAACTTGCGCGCGAGCAGCTGGCGCGTACCCGTCTTGATGAAGTCGAGCAGCACCTGGGGGACACCGCCCACGTATTTGATGATTGCCTTGTAGGCGCCCGTAGCGTTACCGATGTGCACCAGCGTCTGACGTCTGCACCCCACCACGCGATAGATATGAGCTTAAGTGGCGGGTGACTCGCCAAGCGATGAGCAAACCTCTCGAGCTGCAGCTTCCAGTAGAGGTCGTATTTGTCCTTGATTGAACCGCCGGAGGCGATCAGGGCCTGGACCATCTCCTCCCGCTTGGCTTCGCTTCGCTCCTGGTGGTACCATAGTGGTGAGGAAAGGGGTAAGTGGGCACTTCCGATGGCGAACCAAAAGAAAATGGGCGGAGGCGAGAGGCTACGTTACCTGCTGAGCCTTCACGATCGACATACGGAAGTCGTTGGGGAGGAAGGTCGAGATGATGTGCTGCACCTTCTTCATTCCTCCCTTCTGGAACTCCTGGAGGCGCTCAAAGGCAGCGTTGGCCTTGGTGCGGATGCCATCCACGGCAGCCTTCCATTCGTCGAAGGACACTCCCGACGCGCCCTTGGCAGCGGTCTGCAGCAACATAGAGATAGAAGGATAAGGTGTGCTTCGCGTAGTGGCTAGCGATAGCTACGCTGGTCAGGATAGATTCGTACCTCGACGTCATCGAGCTGGGCGGGTTCGAGCAGGTGAAGGATCTCTTCGAGCTGCTGCCGCGACCGCCAGATGTTTTCGTCCATCTTGTGCGGCACTGTCAACAAGTTCTGGCCCAGCACTTCGCGGTTGAGCTCTGCGCCACACAAGCAGTCGTGTGAGAGATTAGAATCCGTTGTTTCAAATCTAACACGATTCGAGTAGCGGGCGCGAACCATCATCGGCCTGGACTTCAGCCCCCGACTCGCCTTCGTGGTTCCACTTTTCAGGCAACTTGAGGCCGAGCTGCAAGGGACGGCAAAGAGAAGGTCGTGTAAATGGGCTGAAAATCAGTTGTCCTGCACAAGTCGCGGTACCTTGTGCGCGGCGGTCTGTACTTCGGCGCGCAGAGCCTTCAAGTTGTCGGAGGGAGGGTCGGCCGGGTACGTCTCATAGTATTGGCGAAGGATCTAACGGGAAAGATGGGAAAGATGCATCAATTTCAACGTTAACAATTGGCCGGCAGGAGGCGTGGTGAAGACTGCTAAAGCAACGAAGAACGCGAACCTCTCGGGTAATGGGGACCAGCTGATTGACATCTACTCCATCCTCAGACATTATGATTTCTACTTGAAATAACGATTTGATTGAACGTGAATTGGTGGGTGATTGATGACTTGCTTGGCGTGCGTGTAGCGTAAACTGTGGGTTGCAAGTTTGGAGCTCCCACCCGCAAGATCGATCTGCTCTTCTCCTGGAAAAATACGCCGTTTTCTTGCGCTTGGGTGTGGGGCGTACGCCGGCACGATACCCATCCCCCACAAGATGTAAATCATGAATGGAAGAATCTGCTTTATGGCTGTACAAGTTGCTCTCTCCTCTTGCGCAGGGTGCCGGCAGTCCTCGGACCCGACCTTGATTATCGTTGCTTGTGTGTCCTGGGCGGAGCGCTTAGTCTGGCGGAGAACGTGGAAGAGAGCACTGCGGGGCACTTCACTCGGGCTTTCGCGCCTCTGGCGAGCAGTGGCACTGCTCGGCGGCGGGGATCTGGGTCATGACCGAGTCGATATGCTTGCCGCAGCCCTTCCACGTCCACTTTCCACAGTTCAGGCACTTGGCTTTGAAGCACATCGTTGGCGACTTGCGGGTGTAGGGAGGTGGTACTTGTCCTTCGTTCTGGGATCGGTCAGACTGCTGCCCGAACGCCTTTTATAGTGACCAAACGGGTGATCAGCCCCTAATGGGGCAATTCTTGATTACCAGACTCCGCAACTCTGGGTGCTTTTCCTTGCCCTCTCCTCGATTTTTCCAGGCAGTGTCGCACAGGTGTGCTGGTGAAAGTTGATAAAGGAATGAGCACAGCAATGGCCACTCTGGCTTGCAACAAGAACAGGCATAATTCACACTACCTGGGGTAACTATGGTTACCCAAGGGACTAGTGGGGAACACTTCCATGTTGTTTTAACTTTTTATGCATGTCTACAACAATAAAAATTATTTAAGTTGAAACAAATCCCTGTATTAGTTGTCCTTCTCAATGCCAACCATTTGGCCACAGAGTTGGAGGAGCCTCTTCCATCATCTACTGGGTCTTCTATGTCACCCCTGTTCAACCTCAGTGCCCTCAATCCCAAGTGGCTTCAGGAGGCCTTTGAGACCCTCAACCACTCAAATTCATGTGTTGATTGCTGCTCACTGCTCATTCCTGAAGAATGAGCACCAGGTTCTCAAAAGAGGACCTGGTGCACATTACCCAGAAACCCAAGGGTGGCCCCCCAGCCACCTTCCAGGCCACAAAGGCCACCATCTCAAAGAACAACTCCAAGGGCTTCAGCATGCCCTCAAGCACCAAGAGCAAGAAGGACACTGGACACTTAGTGGACCACCATCAAGGGCCTCCACCCCTGGGGGAGGGGTGGAGGCCCTTGATGGTGGTCCACTAAGTGTTGAGGAAACAGCATGCCTTGTTTGCTTGGCTACAACTGCATTGGTACAGGTGGTGATTGCGCACTTTTTATTGTTTACATTTCCTGAGGATGGGGCACAATGAAAAGTGCAAGGAAAAAGGCCAATTTATTTCCAGGCCAGGCCATGCACGCTCGGGCAGTTGTTTCGCGGACGCTCCTTGATCGGGCACATGTGGTTCTCTCACCTGCCACACGCGCCAGCTTAACGCCACAGCACATGGTACTGGACCATAACCCCCCAGTTAGCCCCCTCTGGTTGTTCTCACCGGAGTTCGCAGTTTATTGGCAGCGGTGGCCGCAGGACAGCACACATTGCCAGTCCAGTGAGGGGAGCTCTTTCCCACGTCCGTGTGCTTGACCTGTCCCGAGTACTCGCTGGTGCGGACGCGTGCTTTTCTTTATTTTACATTTTTACATATTTACATTTTTTGGGTTCTCAATTTTGTGCCCACAGGCCCGTGGGCGACACAGACTCTGGCGGACTTCGGGGCCGACGTGATCAAGGTCGAGCGGCCGCAGCAGGGCGACGACACTCGAGGCTGGGGTCCGCCCTTCATCAAGGCACGCACACGCACACGCACACGCACACGCACACGCACACGCACACGCACACGCACACGCACACGCACACGCACCCCGTGGATGACGCCACAGCTGAGTCATGGGGCGTGAGTGGTCCACACAAACAGGACAAGGAAGGCAACAACACCAAGCAATCGGCCTACTTCCTATCGGCCAACCGCGGCAAACGGGCCATCACGTGCGACATCACGCGACCTGAGGGCCAAGAGGTGTGTGAAAGATCCGCTGACCCAACATCATGCGCGCTAAGTGCACTTACGTAAGCTTCTCCCAACAGCTCATCCGACAGCTGGCAGCCAAGTGCGACGTGGTCGTGGAAAACTTCAAGGCGGGCGGGCTGGCCAAGTACGGCCTCGACTACGCGTCGCTCAAGCAGGTCAATCCCTGTACGCCCACACTACCAGCCCAGCCCCGTATTCTTGGAGCCACTCATGCCAACGCACGCACGCAAACCACCCTCACCACACACAACACACACACACACACAACACACACACTCGCTCGCACGCACGCGCACACACGCCGTCTAGCGATAATCTACTGCTCTATTACCGGGTTTGGGCAGACCGGGCCGCGCAAGGATCAGGCCGGCTACGATTTTCTTCTGCAGGGCATGTCCGGCCTTATGTCGATCACCGGCGACCCGCAGGGACACCCCATGAAGGTCGGCGTAGCGATCGTCGACATCATGACGGGCCTCTACGCCACGTCCTCCATTTTGGCCGCCCTGCTCGAGCGCGACGCTCAGTCGGAGGGGAAGCGCGAGGGGCAGCACATCGACCTCAGCCTGTTCGACGTTTCCGTGGCCTTCCTGGCCAACCAGGTAGGTATTATTTATTCATTTTTGTTTATTTTTATTTTTCTACAATAATTCCAATGTTTGTACGTTTGCACTACATTCACGCAGGCCAGCAACTACCTGGTGTCGGGCAAGGCCCCGCAGCGCATGGGCAACTACCACCCCAACATTGCGCCGTATCAGGTGTGCTCTCGCGCTCCCTCCTCGAGATTGCTTCTGTGTGGTGTCCAACTGTTAAAGCGCACCGTGCGTGCCACAGTCATTTGAGGCATCGGACGGCTACTTCATACTGGCGGTGGGGAACGACTCGCAGTTCGCCAAGTTCTGCGCGACTGCTGGCAAACCCGAACTGGCCGCCGACCCTCGATTCATCACCAATGCCAAGTACGCTCTCGCTCTCTCGTCGCCACTCACACAAATGCTAACTCACCACGCGCGCGCGCGCACACACACGGTTGAATGGCGTGCAGGCGAGTAGAGAACAGGAAGGCACTCGAGTCCGAGATCACGGAGCTCACCAAGCGGCGAACGCAGCAGGACTGGATCGGAGCACTCAAAGAGGTGGGCGTGCCCTGCGGACAAGTCAACGACATCGCCCAGGCATTTTCCGATCCTCAGCTCCACCACCGCAACATGTTCCTTCATCTTGACCATCCCGCTTCTGGTACTGTCATCCATGCGCGTCGTGGCAACATTACCACTTAAACTGGTGGGCGTGTTAAAATAAGTATATCGTCTTCTTTATATCCTAGGTGCGGATGCGCCGGTGCCGCTGATGAACAGCCCTATCCACATGTCCCGCACGCCGCCGGAATGCCGCCTGCCCCCGCCCGCGCTCGGCGAACACACTGACGAAGTGCTGCGCGAGCTCCTCAGCATGAGAGACGCTCAGATCCAAGCGCTACGCGACCGCTCTGTGCTATGATCACTCTTTTTTGTCGAGCTACGCGTCCTTTCGCGCCTTTTTTATTATTATTGGTATCGCCCCCAAATATTATTTTATAATTAATTTTGCTTGGTGTGGCTTTTGTTCGTCGTTTTCGTCAAGCCCAGCATGTTCGAGTTTGTGTGCACGATTTGGTGGTACATTCAGGCGGCCGTGTGGTCGGGCGTCGCCCTTTCGCTCCTGAGCTACCTCGGTATCTTTCCGCTTTCCTCGATTGCGATTACACCGCCTGCAAAAATCTAAGCTCGAATCTTGATCTGATTCTTCATTTTTCTCCTTCGCAGTGCCCCTCATCTTCCAGTCCTATGTCTACAAGGACCAGGACCTGAAGAAGAAGTACAACGCTAAGTGGGCCGTCGTCACCGGAGGCTCGTCCGGCATCGGCCGCGCCCTCACCGAGAAGCTCGCCTCTCAGGTATTGCCCCCCCCAATCTACCCCCTTTGTTCTTTTGTAAAGAAAAATGAAAGCGACGGTGGCTGACGCGGGAGGCCGCGGGGACAGGGCATCAACGTGGTCATCGTAGCGCTGCAGGACAAGCTCCTGGACGAGCTCCACAGCAAGCTCAAGGCCCAGTACCCCCAGCTGGAGTTCAGGGCCGTCGGCGTCGACCTCTCGGGTGCGCTTCACTTCTGGCTCCCATAGCCACGCAAACAATTTCGTCGCCTCACTCTCTTCTTTGGGTTATTTTTGGGCTTGGGCGTGCTACAGGCTCTTCCGGAGACTACATGCCGGCCATTGCTGAGGCCACCGACGACATTGACGTCAGCCTGCTCTTCAACAACGCCGGCTACATCATCATCGGAGTACGATCGTGTTTTATTACTGTTAATACTATTATAGGGTGCATGGCTGACGTTTATGTTGATGTATGTGTGTGGGTGTTGTATGTGTGTTGTTGCAGTTGTTCGCCGACATTCCGTTGGACAGGCAGCTGAAGAACTACGACGTCAACGCCACCTGCGCTGTGAAGATCACCCACCACTTCCTCAGCCGCATGATCGCCAAGAAGCTCCGCGGCGCCATCTCCTTCACCTCCTCGCCCGCCGGTTCGCTCCTCGCCCGTTGTCTCCCTTCCGTACTTCCGTTCTGATCATTACGCTTGTGTGCGGTGTGTGCGGTGCGTCTGCAGGCCTGATGCCCTGCCCGTTCTCGGTCATCTACGGTGCCACCAAGGCCTTCCTCACCGAGTTTGCCACCTCGCTCGCCTGCGAAGTCAAGCGTACGTCGCCCTTCTTTTTCCTCTCTTTCGTTCTTTTCCTCTCTCTTTTTCGTTCTTTTTATTTACTTTCTTCTTTATTTATTAATTTATTTTGCAGAGGATGGCATCGATGTCTTTGTGCTGCACCCGTCGCCTGTCGACACGGCCTTCTACTCGGGCGACACCGCCCACAAGAGCGCCTCGCTCTCGTTCTTCCAGAAGACCGCCAACTCGCCCGCGTCCATTGCCGACACTATGTTCAAGAGCATCGGCCAGGCGACTGGTATGCCTCGCGACCCACCGCACACTTGCCCGCACCAGTTGACACGCGCGTGTCGTGTGTTGCCTTTTTGTAGTGGTTCGCGATCAGGGTTACTTTGCCGTGGGCCTGCACATGCTGCTGAAGGTGGTGGACATCAACTTCCTGTCGCTGGTGTTCTCGTACACGGCCCACCTCTCCGGCGAGTACAAGAAGCTCATCGCCGAGAGGAAGGAGAAGAAGAACTGATAATGATCGATGATGATCGATGATGGTGATGTGCTAACAACACACAGCCCGAAATCAAAGAGCACAAGTTACTGCTATTGGTCCTTGGCCCACGCCAAGAAGGTGTCGGCCCAGGCAACGCGATGCTTGCCCACGCCGCTGGCCGTCTTTTCTCGGCTCTGTCGCAGCACCTCGAGTGCGCCGGCTTCGTCGTGGCCGATGAACCGGAGGAGCGCGTTGGCAATCATGCCGGTGCGATGCAGGCCCGCCGAGCAGTGAACGAGCACTCCCGTGTCTTCCTTCGCCAGCGCCTCCCGTAGCTGTCTCATCGCCCTGAACGAAAACTAGGATGAGCTGCGTGTGCGCGTGAGGTGGTGCGTGTGCGTGAGATGCGAGCGATGTACGCCAAGATGCGCGCGAAGTCCTCGGGAGGCGGTGGTGACGCGCCCTGCAGAGGCAGCCATATCCACTCGGCGCCCTGCTTCTTGGCCTGGCGCTCTACCACCTAAGACGTCCACCATCACCGTTAGTCAAGGGAGGTGGAGAATGCAGGTGGTAGGTATGTACGCGGGCCTTCTTCTCCTCCGACTGGTCGTTGAGGAGGGTGACGACGTGGGTGATGCCCATCTCGTCAAGCCGGAAGGAGTACCCATTCACCTTCGGGCCGTGTAGCACGCATATCCGGCCTGCTCACGCGATCATCACCATCAAGCCCTACGATGTAAGACGTCGTACATAGTTTTGGCCCACATCGCTCAAGAAGGGGCTGATACCGGGCAAGAGGCCAACAGGTGCTAACTGCACCACCGTATTTCGAGAAGGCGGCGCTGCTCGCGTTTCTTCGGTGCAGGTGGTCTCAGGAGCAGTGGCTGGCGACTCCATCTATTGTTTGCTGTTGTGCAGTGAGGTGGGCCATGGGTGCAGGTCTCGAAGTCGTCTTGCCGTCTTCTCCTTTATTTCTTTGATTTGATTAGACGAATCTGTTCGGAGTTGCTGCTGACGGAAACGAAACGAATGCGTTTGTAAAATTCAATTGTGAATTCGATCTGATTTGCAACAAGGAGAAGATGGGCAAATGGAAGGGCAGCCGTGGTGGGAGGAAGAAGAGGGAAGATAAGGCACCGGCCGCTGGAGCGGAAGGCGCTGATGGAGTGAAGAAGGAGGCGGTCTGGTTCAATCTCGGCGAGCCCAAGGCATCGTGGACTGTCGAGAAGAAGAACGCCCTGTTCGAAGACTACTACCGCAAGGTGCTCGGCTTTGATCGCACTGATGGCGAGGCCGAACTCGAGCAGGACTGGCAGCTGCTGCTCGAGACGATGCGCAAGGATCTCCCCACGACCATCCGCGTCACATCGTCCTCGCCATTCGAGCCTCTGATGACGGCCAAGATCGTTGAGTTCTTCCGTCCTGGCATGGCTGAGGCCGCGTCTCACATCGAGGACGAGGCCTTTTCCTTCGAGCGCATCCCTTGGTGCGTCATCTTCTCGACATGTCGCTACACGAAGCGATTTCTGTAGCGGAGATCGAGATGGACATGCATTAACTTTGCTTGTCGATGAACGTGCAGGTACCCTGGAGGCCTGGCGTGGCAGCTTAGCGCCGGACGCAAGGAGATGAGGAAATCACCCATCTTCAATCGCTTCCGTAAATTCCTCGTCGCACAGACCGAGAACGTACGATCATCGCCTTATTTTTCTTTTATTTTTCTTTATTTTACTTTTTTTTTGGCTTTTGCTTTTGTAGGGCAATGTGTCGCGTCAGGAGGCCGTGAGCATGCTCCCTCCTCTGTTCCTCGACGTCAAGGGCCACCACTGGGTCCTCGACATGTGCGCTTCGCCCGGCTCCAAGACGGCACAGATGCTCGAGACCATGCACAAGGACGCCAACAGCACCAACCCGAGTACCGAGTCCCTCGTCTCAACGATGGTTAGCCGCCGCTATGCGGTTGTTAGTACTGACGCCATCTCTGCGTGTGCTGGCTGCAGCTGGTGTTGTGGTGGCCAACGACGTGGACGAGAAGCGGTGCTACATGCTGGTGCATCAGATGAAGCGCTTGGCCAGCCCCTGCGGCATGGTCACCAACTTCCCCGCCCAGTCCTTCCCGCGTCTCACCCTCACCTCGAACTCCTCTGCCGGTACACACTACACTATTTATTTTTCCTTCTATTTATGTTTTTGTTTATAGGCGCGCGAAACGCTAACGCGTGAGCGTACACACCAAACAGGAGAGCGCGATCTGGCATTCGACCGTATTCTGGCCGACGTGCCGTGCAGCGGTGACGGCACTCTGCGTAAGAACATCGATCTGTGGCGCAAGTGGCACCCCAACCTTGCCAATGGTATTACTAAGTTTTCCTCGCACCGAGGCTCTCGGTGTGCAGCCCCTGGCCACAATCACATGTTACTCACCGTTCCTTGCCAGGCATTCACACGCTGCAATTGCGCATTGCCACGCGTGGTGCGCATCTGCTCAAGATTGGCGGACGCATGGTCTATTCCACATGTTCGCTCAACCCCGTCGAGAACGAGGCCGTCGTCGCTGCGCTCCTCAACCGTGCGCAGGGTACGCTCTTCCACCTTTCACCCCAACGCGAAGTACGAACACTGACAAGAATTTGCTTGTTGCAGGCGCGCTCGAGCTGGTCGACGTCTCTGATCAGCTGCCCGAGCTCAAGCGTCGGCCTGGACTTACCACGTGGGAGGTAGCACGCACGCACGCACACTGCGCACGCGCAAACGTCAGATGCAAAGCTTACCAACCTCGCTCGTGTTGTGTGTCAGGTGTTCGACATGAACAAGCCGCGAAAGCGAAACAAGGCCGAAGAGGAGGCAGAGATCAAGTGGGCTCCCGGCTGGTACTCGGCACACGACGCCCTGCCGGGCCGAAGCAAAAAGTTCATCCACGCCTCGTGCTTCCCGCCCGCCAACGCCAAGGATCTCCACCTCGAGCGATGGTACGCCTATTTATTTATTTATTTTGATATTTGATATTAATTGTTTATGTTATTTTTATTGCTTATTTCTCTTTATTATTGGCTGACGTTGCGGTGCTTGTAGCGTGCGTGTGTATCCGCAGGACCAGAACACGGGCGGATTCTTCGTCTCGGTGATCCAGAAGGTGGCCGAGATGCCTCACGGCAAGCCGCCCGCCGCCGCAGAAGGCGAGACCGAGGGCAAGAAGAAGGGCAACGGCGACGACGAAGACGACGACGACATGCAGATCGTGGTCGATCCGCAGCTCAAGTTCCTCGTCAAGGAGCTGGTCGGCAAGGAGATGCGCGGCGACACGCCCGCCGATGGCGCGGCCGCCGCCGGGGAGGGCGAAGAAGGCGAGGCCGCTCAGGATTCGTCGTCGTCGACGCGAAGGAGCCGGGGTGGAAAGAAGTGGGGCAAGGAGGAGCCCTTCCTCCCGCTCACCGGCGTCATGCTCTCCGAGTGGCAAGCTGCCAAGTACGCGCGCTCCGGCCTCCCTTCCCGTCGTGTGTCGTGTTTTGTGCTCACCTCGCGACGGTGGCAGGGAGTACTACGGTGTGAAGGACGAGTTCCCCGAGTCCCAGCTGATGGTGCGAGCCGAGGCGGCCCTCTCCATCTACCTGGTCTCCGATGGCGTGAAGGACATCCTCTTCAACTGCAAGGACGGACTCCGACGAGTACAGCCTCCCTCCTCGCCTCCCACGCTCCTGCGCGTGCCGCTCACACCACGACATTTCCTTCGCCAGACTATCAACACCGGAGTGGCAGTGCTCAAGAAGCACGCCCCGCCCAACATTGGCTGCCGCTACCGCCCCAGCCAAGAGGTGCGCCTCGACGACTCTCGGGCGCAACTGCAGCTTTGACGTCACCATTCGCTGATTGCATGTGCGTCGTGCGTCGTGCGTTGCGTGTGTGTAGGGTCTGTCGGTGTTGTCCCCCTTCATGGGCAAGCGCATCGTGAAGCTGACCAAGGACGAGTTCCTGCTCCTCGTCAAGCAGCGATCACCGCCCGTCACCTCCTTCCTCGAGCCCACCCAGCAGGCGCTCGGCGCCCTCGGTACGTGACACGCCAGTCCACGGGGCAAAGTCATCGCCTTACCACTTTCCCTCTCAACAGACAACGGCGGATGCGTCTTCGAGGTTCACCTGCCCGAACTCAACCAGTACGTGTCTGCCTGCGCGTGCGGTGGTGCGTGTGCGTGACGTGCTGACGTGTCAATGTCTTTCGCGTGGACAGTACGGTCGAGGTGGCCGCGTGGAAGGCCGGTCGCTGCGCGCAGCTGTTCCTGAACGATCAGGACAAGGCGGCCGTGCTCGCCCTCCTCCTCACTCACGAGGAGGACCACCCAGCCGTCGACGCCCCCAGCGCCGCCACGCCTGCGACCACCGACGAGACCGAGACCAAGGACAAGGAGAAGGAGAAGGAGATGGAGCAGTAGTGGGCAACCCTTCATGAAGACCACAGACCGCAACCAACCTCGGCCGAGCCTGTTGGTTGTCGGAGTTGATGATGGTGGTGGTCTCACGGCGGTCGACACATAACATGCCGTGGTGCTTTCTGTCCCAGCAGGGCGTTTTCTAGTTCCTGATGTTGTGAAGAAAACGATTGCAGCTCCTTTCGCTCCGTGGTCTATGGACGTTTCGTTGCCACTGCAATCCTCACCTTCCACCGCCTGATCGATTGCAATCAGGATCTGCCAAACGTTTGCCTGCCTGGTTAGTAGAGCCAAACCCCTTTTTTGATTTATTATTTTCATTAATATGAATCGAATTGATCGTGGTTTGCATCACATGTAAGCATGTAAGTGATCTGCAGTGCCGATAGAAGTGTAAGATTTATGTCAATTTTGTCAGCGCTCTTTGCGCTGACATTTGTCCATCGGGCGGATTTGCAGGGCGGGTGATTTTCGAACGACAGATTCATGGTAGACATCCTCAAGCGAAACCTCTCCGCCATCGAGATGCAACGGTTAGAGACCGAGCGCAAGGAGAAGGCTTCCCTCCTCGACTCTGCCTCTTCCTCCTCTTCATCTTCATCTTCCTCTACTTCTCACAATCACAAACATCACCATCACAAGAAGAGCAAAAAAGATGGCGACCAGGCGCGGCAGCTCACCGAGCACGAGGCGAAGCAGGAGATCGAGCGACGGCGCGAGGACGAGAAGCTCGCCACGCCCGGCGGCCGGGTCAAGGCCAAGGTCACCGCGGCCTGGCGGCGCTCCGAGGCCTATCGCACCCTCGCCGCGCACTGCTGGGACCGGCCGCGCATGACCCTGGCCGACACCATGCTCCTCAGCCCGTGGCAGAAGTGGAAGAAGTACAACCGGGTGCCGTGGAAGGTGGTCCTCCACGCGCTCATCTTCATCGTCGTCACCGTCCAGGTCCTGCTGGCCTACGTCGAGACCTCGCAGTACACGCGCGCCACCCACAACACCTTCGAGAGCCTGTTCCTGGCCACCTCGGACCCGGACGTCACCAGCGTCACCATGCACACCATGGAGGAGGTCATCGAGTCCCTCAAAAAGACCGTCAACACCGTACTTACTCACCCTGTCGTGTGTCGTGTGTCGTGTGTGCAATTCCTTAGTGTGTATCGTGGCTGACTTCGACTGGTTGTGTGTGTGTGTGTGTGTGTGGTCGGCGTGTGCAGTATTACGATGTGAATAATGTGGCTATCGACATGTACATGCAACGGCATTCAGATCGAGATACGTTAGGCGACGTGCGGCCCATACAACTGCACTACAGCTCCTACTGCCGCAACTTCTTCGTTTTCGAGAACGACACGTGGGACATCCAGGCCGACGACATCCAGCAGACCGACGGTGCGTCTTGTCTCCGTTTACGGTGGTGGCGAAGCTTAAGGTGGTTGGCTGGCTGGCCGGCTGGCCGGTTTGTGCTGACGCGGGCGCAGTGTACTACAATCTGACGCAGGATGACCCCTTCGGCCCGTTCAACGCGTCCGACCCCGACTCTCTGAACGACGCCTTCCAGCGCCTGGCACGTCCCACTCCTCAAGTCCTTGGGCCTCAATGCTTCATGTGCTAACGCATCGCTTGTGTTGCGTGTGCGGTTGCGTGTGTGTGTGTGTTTGTGTGTGCGGTGGTGTGCCAATGCAGGTGAAGATGAGCGTGTCGTTTAACTTCATCAACTTGAACGTGGGCGTGCTGGGTCCGATTCCGTTCATGTGGGACGTGCTCCTGCTCTACACGAAGGAGGGCGGCGAGATCACCCTCGAACTGCTCCTCGACAAGCAGATATACTACACCACCTCCATAGGTATATATCTTTTTATTTGTAATGTATATATTGATATATCTTACTTTCATTTTTGCGTCGACATCGCGACGAAACACTAAGTGCGTGTTGTGTTTCCCAACGTGTGTTGTAAATATGCGGCGATCGTCGCAGGACTGGAGACGCAGAACCTATTCACCATATTTCATGCGATCGTGTTTGCGCTGAACTTCATTTCCTTCGTCTTTGCCGTGCGGGCCTTCTTTACCAACATCGTCACCTACCTGGTACACTCTCAGAACCTTCCGGTCAGGTGTGCAACGCGCGCGCTAACTCGACCGTCGTGTGTGTGTCGTGTGCGTTGTGCGTCGTGCGTCGTGCGTCGTGCAGAGGACAAGGCGGACGTACCGGGCCATTCCTCGAAAGGTGATGAAGCAGGAGATGTACCCCGCCTGGTCCCGCATCCCCTTCTCCGTCAAATTCGAATTCTTCCCCCTCTGGTGCGTCAGTCAGACCGTCTCTCTTCTCTCTTCTCTCTTCTCTCTTCACTTTTTATTTTCGAGTGTGTGCGCTTGGATTGACCGCCGCCCAACGTTACGTTGTTGCGCGCAGGAATATTCACATCATCGTAACGTCGGTCTTCCTCATGCTCGCGTCCGTGCTGGGTCTGATCGAAGAATTCGGCTACAAAACGGTATCGTGCCCCCTTCCCCCCCTCATATCTGTGTGCGCCATGCGCGTGTGCGGTGGTGCGTGTGCGTGTGCGCTTTTGGCTGACGCGAGGTATGATGTGTAGGCCATGGCGTACTCGATCTTCGAGGGCATGGGCGCGCTGGGTGCGTCGGTGACCATCCTCCGCTACCTCGAATACTACGAACACTTCTACACCCTCATCCTCACTCTCAGGCACGACTGCCCACCATGTTCTCCATCATCGTGTGTGACCATTGTAATCTTATCGCGTGTGTGTGTGTCGTGTGTGTCGTGTGTGTCGTGTGTGTCGTGTGTGTCATGCAGGATCTCGGGATTGCGGATCGCGCGATTCATTATCTCGGCGTTCCCCATTTTCTTCGGGTACATGCTCATGGGCGTCGTCCTGTTCTCACCCTACTCCAACCGGGTACGGGCCACTCCCCCTTTCCCTTCACTCCCGCACCGCAAGCAGCCCGGTGATCTCACTTCTTCTTTTTTTATTGTTGCCAGTTCGAGGATCTCAACAACACGGCCATCACGCTGTTCGCCCTTCTCAACGGAGACGACATCCGCTGTACTCTTTCCCTTGTCTACTACCACACACACACACACACACCACACACACCACACACACACACACACACACGGCACACACATGCACATGCACACACGGCACACGCTAACCGCCAGTGTGCGATGGACAACAGCTGCGTTCGAGCAGTTGAACGAGAACTACCCCTATCCGATCGTGCCCACCATCTACCTCTATTCGTTCATCGCCCTCTTCATCACTGCCATTCTCAACATCTTCATCTTCATCATTGAAGACTCCTACCACGCCGCCAAATATGTACGTCAGCCCGCACCGTGTCGTGCGTGTCGTGCGTGTCATGCGTGTCGTGCGTGTCGTGCGTGTCGTGGCATACGTTGCTGACATTTACATCTGTGAATGCAGTCCCGTCGAACCCAGGCCAAGGGTGCCGCCGCTTACGCGGGCGGACACTACGGGGGCGATGGCGGCCACCATGGTGGTCACGCACACGGTGGTGGTCACGCACACGGTGGTGGCCACGAACGCCGTGAAGAACGTACGAAAGAGTCGCGCGTGTCCATGTGTCGTGTGTGTCGTGTCGTGTCGTTGGTCGTGTCGTGTCGTGTCGTATGCTGAACTGATGATGTTCTGCAGGAGGGCATGGAAAGCAGGAGATGGACATCTTCGCGCTCTTCCGAATCCTGGACAGGGAGTACAACGTCAACGATGACGACGATGACCAAATCGAACTCGACTCCAACCACTCGCTGAGCGACTCCTCGGATGGCGAGCAAAAGAAAAGGAAGAAGAAATCCTCGAAGGAAAAGAAGAAGAAGAAGGCGAGCAAGGCCAAGAAGGAGGCCAAGCCCAAGGCTGCCTCGACCGACGAATCTTCCGACGACGAATCCGACGTCTCGTTGGAGTCCGGCGCCGTCGGCGGGCCGGCTCCCTCGAGCTTCTCGATCAACGGAGGCGAAAGTACGATTCCGCGCACGCACCGCACACGCACGACACACGCTAACAAAAGGCCTGCAATGCGTGGTCGACATTCCAGTGGTGGCGAACATTGGCGTGGCCGGACTCCTCCGACAGAGCCTGGGCGTGGCCGGACACAGCGTGGCTCGAGCGTCGTACGAGTCCTGCTCGCCCTCACCGCACACACCGCACCCACCACTGTATTTGGCTCAACTTCCTGGGTCGTGTTTTGTGTCGACAGCGCGCACAGCTACGAGTCGCCGGCGTCATCGGCGCAAACGCCGCCGCGCCTGCCACGCATGTCGAGCCGCGACTTCCGCGACCTGGGCTTCAGTCGCCCGGGCGACACCCCGCGCGCCTTCAACTTCCGCATCACCTACAAGAAGCTCAAGGTACTGGACCCTGACACACGACACACACGACACGACACACACGACGCACAGCCTTGTCTTTGAATCTGACGCACACAACGCATCAATAACGCACAGCGCGACTTGAACGAGATCATGGAGGACCAGATGGCCGAGTTCGAGGACGAGCTGGTCGTGCTGACGTCCGAGCTGCAGCTCAAGCACACGGCCCGGCTGCAGAAGCGGGTCAAGGCGCAGCTGCAGAAGACCTTCGAGAACCTCCTGCCCGGCCAGCATAGCGGCGCGTCCACGTCATCGTGGGACTCGTATCGCATGGGCGCCTCCGAGTACCGCGAGTCGCCCTTCTAGACGGGGGAGCTCGACCGTCGCTTTCGTTCTTTGTCTTCGCGCATGTAAGTACACTTTTGGCCAACAAAAGAACGAAGAGACGCGCGACGTGTCCGGAAATTGCCCGGCTGGCTGTGGAAGAACATGTTCGAGGGCGAGAGGGCCAAGCAAAAACTGGGGGTTGGGACCTTTGGGCCTCCGGCAACTTGGGCGCTCTGGGCCTGGTCCCGTCGTTCTCTGTTTTCTCGGCCTCCAAAAGAAAAAGGCCAACGTTCTCTTCACCTCTCGCCCTACGGGATACCCACCACTTCCCTTCTTCGCTTCACCGACACACACCACGTCACCTGCTTGGCCGGCACCCTGACCTCACACGCCATTCTTTCTGCCGTCAACACAACAAGACACACAACAGCTAACAATAGAAACGATAACATCATATCATGCTCCGCCGTTCACACTCTGCTGCCCGTTCGGTGCTCTCAGGAGCTCCTTGTGTGCTGGCCACGTCCGGCACCCGATGCCTGGCTTCGTCCACCCTCAACGTACCCATCTCACTCACCCGCCGCGTGGGCCACATGACCAGGCTAGATAACTAACTCACTCCTGACCAAACGTGCAGGGTGGTCTGACCCGCGAGCAAATCCTGGCGCTGCCCTCCATGCCCGCCATCTCCCCTTCCTACCCCATGTACGCCCCCGTCGCTTTCGTTCTTCTCTTTCTTCGCTTTCGTTCTTCGTGGCTAAAACTGTGCTGGTGGTGGTTCATGGGCAATGAACCTGCCATCCAGGGGACCGTACCGGTTCGTGAACCGGGAGTACTTCATCGTGACCTACGAGACCGACATGGACAGCCTGCGGCGCGTCATCCCCGAACCCCTCGAGCCCATCAGCAACCAAGTCCTATGTACGCTCGCCTTTTCTCTCTTTTTTTTTAAATTTTTTCTTTTTTCTTTGCGATTTATCGTTTTGACGGATTCTGGCATTCGCAGATGAGTGGATCGCCATGCCCGACAGCTCCGGCTTCGGCAGGTTCGATCCTCACATCACACACACACACACACACACACCACACACACAAACACACACACCTGCACACACACAAACACACACGACACACTCTGACGTAAGGTGATGCATCCACATGTCTGTAGCTATCAGGAGAGCGGGACGGTGGTGCCGTGCCTGTACGAGGGCAAGCCGGTCAACTACACCGTGCAGATGTTCCTCAATGACGGTACGCGCCGCCAGCGCTCTTGATGGGGGGGCTGGGCCACGTTGACCATCAACCATTCATCACCGCTTTCAACCACACAGAGCCGCCGATCGCGTGCGGCCGCGAGATCTGGGGATTCCCCAAGAAGTACGCCGAAGCCGAGCTCCGCGTCGAGAAGGACACACTCACGGGTGCGCACACCGCACGACACGACACGACACGACACGCATGACACACGCACACTCACACACGCACACGCACACGGAGGATTGATGATGAGGGTTGGTGGCCCAGGCATTCTGACGTACGGCGGGAGGCGCGCGGCGATGGGCACCATGGCCTACAAGTACAACCGGCTCGACAAGACCACAGCCACCAACTCCCTCAGCAAACTCAACTGCAACCTTAAGGTTGGCCCTCAACCCATTCTTTGCATTTCTCATCACACCTACCCGCACTCACATCACACGCGCAACCGCACACACCGCGCGCGCGCACACACACACACCACACACACACACACAGATCATTCCCGGATACGACTTCAAGCCGCAGATCGCGCAGCTGGTGGCCTACAATCTGCAGGACATTGAGGTGATGGAGGCCTGGGAGGGTCCGGCGCGGCTCCACCTCATCCCGCACGTCAACGCACCGGCGGCCGACCTGCCCGTCCGCAAGATCGTGGGCGGCAAACACATCCGGGCCAACCTGACCCTGCCCCACGGCTTCGTGCTACACGACTATATCTCCGAGCGAAAGAAGTCGGAGGCAAACTTCTACATGAACGGCAACCCGCTGGCGGCGGCGGCCGAGAAAGCGAAAGCGACAGAGAAAGAGAAGGCGAAGGTGGCGCCACAGGATGACAAGGCTGGGCTCACGAGGGAGAAGGTCCTCAACCTGCCCTCCATGCCCGCCATCTGCCCCAGCTACCCCGGTACCACTCCCGCGCGTGCGTGTGCGGTCTGTGCGGTGTGTGCTATCGCGCGTGTGCGGTGCGTGTGTGGTGAACGCTCACCTTTGGCGTGCGTGAGTGCAGCGGCCCCTTCGCAGATGAGCAACCGCGAGTACATGATCATTTCGTACAAGACCGACCCCGAGGCCGTCAGGCGGTGGGTGCCCGAGCTTCTGCAGCCCGACGACAACGTCCACCTGTCCTGGGTCAAGACCGAGAGCTCTGGTGCGCACGCCAGACACAATTTGTCTCTCATTCTGTTAATGTGCGACCGGCCAAGCCGCTGAGCGAACGTCGTGTGTGTCGTGTGTGTCGTGTGTCGTGCGTCGTGTGTGTCGTGTGTCGTGCGGCCACAGGCTACGGCGTGTATCAGAAAATGACCGCGTCAGTGGGCTGCAAGTACAACGGCGAGGACTGCACCTTCCCGCTCATGGCCATCGTCAACTGGTACCGCTGACCTCAAGACCGCACATTCCCTGCTGGGCCTTGACGTGTGTGGTGTGTGTGGTGTGGTGTGTGTGACCAGTTCGTCGGCCATCACTGCCGGCAGAGAAGTGCACGGCCAGCCCCAGAAGTTCGGCTTCCCGTCGCTGGTACTCTTCTCTGCTCTTTGCTTCTCTTCTGACGGCGAGTTGCGCGCACTACGGCTGTTTTTAACTCCTATGTGTGGTTGGTTCGGACCTATAATAACACAGACGGTGGACAAGGACACGCTGTACGGTGAGACCAAGTACGGCCAGCAGGAGGTGGCGACCGGCAGCATGGTCTACAAGCACCACCGCCTCGACCTCTCCCAGGCCTACAAGTTCTTCGAGAAGCCCGAGATCAACCTCAAAGTCATCCCCAGCGTCACCGGTACGCACCACACGACACACGCGACACACACGATACGACACACACGACACACCATTTTTTGACTCCTGGTCGCAGGCGAGGCGGAGATCGCGCAGCTGATCAGCCTGCTGCCGAAGGATGTCAAGATCAAGGACGCCTGGCGCGGACCCGCCCGTCTCAACATCATCCCGCACGTGGTACGCTCTTCTCTCTCCCCCCCCCCATCGCTCTGGCTGCCCTGTTTTTGGTTGTTGTGTTGACCTTCACCTTCTCGCCACGATCACCAATAGAACGCGCCTTTGGCTGGTACGCTCCACTCGGCATTATTATCATTCTTGGCCATGTGCGCACTCACGACACACGACACACGACACACGACACGCATAGATCTGCCGGTCGTAGAGGGAACGTGCGAGGGCCACTACATTGTCGTGGAGGACATGGTGCTGCCCGAGGGCACTCTCATTCACGACTACACCCTGGACGCTGGCAAGGAGGATCACCAGCAGCAGTCCGAGCCCGCCGAGGCCTCTGCAGCCGCTCCCCAGCCGGGTACCGGCGACGCCTCGGACAGCGCCTCCCAGGAGGAGCGCTTCCGCCGCAGGATGGAACGCTTCTTGCAGATGCCGACCATTGTGCAGTGATCGGTTGCAAGAGAGAATGAACAGCTCACATTTGTTTTTCTGTAGCTGTGACGTCAAATCATAAGTGTGGATTGTTTGCGGGGTACAATGTTTCCTTTTGGTTTGTTGTGCGCTCGGCCAATACGTCGCAAGCTACACGATCTCGAGGCCTGGGTGCTGCTCCATGACCTCGGCCTTGGTTCGGTTGCTGATGCCCTCGCGTCCGAGCACTATCTTGGACAGCGAGGGACACAGCTCCGGCACTTGCCTATGGCACACAACACACACACCACACAGACACACACGACACACACCACACACAAGTCAAAATTTATCAATGTTTGTGTCTCTGGGGGGGTCTGTGAGTACCGCAAGACGGGGGCGTCAAAGTTGGGACAGCCGGGGACGGCCAGCGTCTCCAGGTGCTGGAGTATCCGCAGGGCCTGCGTGAACGTGGCCGACGACAGCTGCTTGCAGTGCGACACCTTGAGGTCGATCAGATTCTTGCCGCACCTCATCAGCACCTGTGCGTGTGCGGTGTGGGCGTGTGCGGTGTGGGCGTGTGCGGTGTGTGCGGTGTGTGCGGTGGGGCGTGTGCGGTTAATGATGCAACGCGTTGCGCTGTGGAGGTGAAGAACAAAAAGTACCTCGAGAAGGGCCTCGTCGCCCATGGAGCACATGGAGAGGTCCAGGTCGCGTATGTCGGTGCAGGTCTGCGCCAGGCAGCGCAGCGTGGCGTCCTGGATGCTGGTCGACTGGGCAAACACCACCGACGACAGGTTGGGCATCCTGCACGCACGCGTTCATCGTGAGCGCACATCTGTGTGCGTGTGTCGTGCGTGTGTCGTGCGTGTGTCGTGTCGTGTGCGTGTGCGGTGGTGCGTGTGCGGTGGTGCGTGTGCGGTGGTGCGTGTGCGTGTGCGCACCGTCGGACGAGGCTGACGGCCATTTCGTCGGGGAATTGGGGGCAACTGGAGACGAAGAGGTACTGCAGGGTGGGCAGTGCGGTGGTCCGTATCTCGGGCCCTTCGTCGCTCGAGCCCGGCAAGCCCAGGTTCGCGCAGCCTTCGGGGGACCCGCCACCAACATATATGTGATTTGTTAAGGTGGCGGTCGCGGTGGCGCTGGTGGGTAGTACCGGAGAGGAAGAGCTTGGCGAGGACGGGCAGGTTGTCGAGGAGGTGGTGCACGCAGCGCATGTTGGTGACTTTCAGGCAGTTGGACAGAATGAGCCACTCGAGCCGCGGCAAGAACCCTGTGTGCGCGTGCGACAGCACGAGCGGCGCGTGAGACAATGACACGACACACACGAGACACGCAGCATACGACACGCGGCGCGTACCGTTGGCGAGGTGCATCACGCCCTCGTCGCTGATGTTGGTGTCGGAGAAGGTGAGGTAGGTCAGGCAGGAGAGCCGCGCGATGTGCCCCAGGTTGCTGTCCCGCACATGCGTCGAGCGCGACACATCCTGAGCGTGTGCGTGTGCCATCGTGCGTGTGGGTGTGCGTGTGCGTGTGCGTGTGCGTGTGCGTGTGCCATCGTGCGTGTGCCATCGTGCGTGTGCCATCGTGCGTGTGCCATCGTGCGTGAGCGTAGAGGCTTATGGTAGAAAGGGGGAATGGAGGAGGCGCGCGAACCAGAGCCTGAAGGTTGTGCATGGCGGACAGGCTCTCCTCGCCAAAGGTGGCGATCAACGGGTTGCAACCCGACAGCTCCAAGAGCTTCATCCCTTGGCAATGCCTGCGTTGTGTTTGGATTTGCCACCAAACAGTTTACAAAACACAAATATAATATTACAATAAAACATAATAATATAATATAAAGAATTCTAAATGAATAAACAGACAAAAAAAGGTGAGGGAAGAGCACTCTTGGAGGGCGTGGATGACTTTGCCCGTGACGAGCTCGCAGTTGGCCAGGTAGAGCGTGTTCAGCGAAGGGCACTGACGAGCCACCTCGCACAGGGACAGATTCGTGACTCGAACGCACCCGGAAAGGTTCAACACCTGCGCACACGAAGTGTGTTGGTTGATGATGGTTGATGGTGGTTGATGGTGGTTGGTGATGGTTGATGGTGGTTGGTTGATGTTGGTTGGTTGGTTGGTGGTGGGTGGTGGTTGGATGGATGGCGAGAAGACGCACGTTGAGTTCCTTGCAGTGGTAGGCGATCTCGAGCACTCCGATGTCGGTGACGAGTGAGCAGCTCGACAGATAGAGCGCCCGCATCTCACGGCAACTGCGCGCAAAGGCCTGCACCGTTTCGTTGGTCACCACGGGGCAGTTGGACAGATACAGCGTCCGCAGTCGCCGGCAGCTGATCGCCATAACACACGGAAGAATGTCAACCATGCGAATTGGTTTAAAATACATAAATAAAAATATAAATAAAAATAAAAATATACAAAATAGGCAGTATTGTTATCAGTTATTATTAATTAAAAAAATAAAGCGTACCTTGCGCCGATCATCCGCAGGGTTTGGTCTGAGGCCGAGCAGCTGGTCAAATCGAGGAACTGAAGCGTCGAAGCGCACGACGCAGCAGCTGCAGCACGACACGACACGACCAACGACACGACACACAGCACAACCACACAGAACACGATCAGCGACACGACACACGGTGGGGCAGCCCGAGTAAGCCGAGGAGGCGCGGTACCGATGGCGGCCAGAGCCGAATCGGCGATTCTCTTGCAGCGGCCGAGGCCGAGCTCCTCGAGCTCGGGGGCTCGAGCCAAGAGGCGGGCGAGGCCGCCCGACGCTGCGGTGTCGGTGAGACGGCAGCGCGAAAGCGACAGCGCTCGCAGCGCCGTGCAGTGTTCAGGAAGCACCCCAAAGATCGACGCATTGGTGATCTGCACAAGGCCTCGTTCCTTATTGGCGCACACGACACGACACGACACGACACGACACGACACGACACGACACGACACGACACGACACGACACGTGGTGTCGTACCTTGGGACAGGCGAAGACGATCAATTCCTGAAGGTCGTTGCAGGCCTGCGCGAGCGAGACTATTGCGGCATCGCTCACGTTCGTGCAGCGGGTGAGATCGATTTTTCTGCGCAACGGCGCGTTTCGTTGTCAGATGGTGGTGCCAGGCACGCACGAACGGTCGACGTAGACAAGACCGAGTCCTCGGCCAGGGCGATCGTACCGCAGGTTGGGGCAGCATTTGGCCACGGTGGCGACCACTTGATCGTTGACTCGCGGGCACCGCGTGATGTCCAGGCTCGTCAGTGGCAGCCCCGCCCCATCCGCCATTTTATCTGCACCACACGTCCATCAGACGGACACGACACACACACACACACACACACAACTACCAGTATTACTACCACCACCACCAACACACACGACTCACACACGACACACACAACTGCAATGATGGCTCGCATACCTGACAGTTCGGTGAAGAAGGCGATGAGATCCTTGGAGGTCATGTTGACGCACCGCGAGAGGGAGAGGTGGGTCAGGTGGAGGCACGGCGTCGCCAGGATCCGCGCCAGGGTGCGCCGGGTGAGGTTCTCGCCGCCGGCCAGTGACAGCTGCCGCATCTCGGGGTCCAGGAAGTGCCCCACGTTGTCGTCGCTCAGCACCTTGCGACTGATCGCCGTCGCCAGCAGCGACTCAGCGATCGGCTGCGGCAGCGTCGAACCGAGCGACACCGACAACGCCGACGACGATGATGATGAAGACGAGTTCAGGCGCAGGTGCGACATCATGTCGGTCATGACGGCGTCGACGCAGAGGTCCTTGAGCGGCAGAAGGCCCTTGACCAAGGTAAGGGAGTCGCGAGGCCTGGCGGGGAGGAGTTCGAACTCGTAGATGGAGATGAGCTCGTGCGGCTGCACGTCGCCGTAGATGTCGCGCAGGATGGCGGCCAGCTCCTCGCGGCCGCTGAACCCGTCGCGCCTGGCGTCCGCCTCCGTGATCGCCGCGTAGGGCTTGACCTCGAGCGCCTTGATGCGCAGAGACCCGACAATCTCTGTGGCGCCAAGGCTGCATTGAGCGTGCGTGTGCGTGTGCGGTGTGTGGCGCAGAGCAAGAAGAGAGTACCCTGAGAGGGGTTGAGCTGCAGGGGCAGCACAGGGGCCGAAGGGCAATGGATGTGGCCCGGGAAGTAGCGGATGGTGGTCGTCTTTTTGCCGCTCTCCACCAGCGGATAGAACGCTTCTCTGTTTTGCACATTCAGTAAAATAAGAAGATATATCCATGAGATGTCTGGCCGTATGCTGTCGTTAACTCTCACCACCTCATCCACCACTTCATCAAAAGAGCGTGGCAGCTAAGATCTGTGCACGAACCTCAGACCTATAACGGGACGGACGTGGCGGGGCACGCTAGGAAAATCTATTTGCAGCTGGGCGAGTAGTGGCGCAGCGTCGTCGGTGTGCGGGCACGCAAGCTGCATCACCGACTCATCTTCGGGTGTGTCCCCAACGGCGCTCGGTGCGATGCACAGCCGGTACCCACGCATCTACGTTTTTTGTTTTTTTTTCTTGTTTGCTTTTTTCCTTGCCTTTTTCCTTGCTTCCTTCTTGTTTTTTTAAGTGAATTTCAAGCCGTCCGCCATTGGTCTCTGTAGCCAATGCAAAATCAAAAAATAGAGGTCACCGGGACATTGGACACGGGACTCAGCCGTTACCTCCTTTGCTCTCTAAGATGCATGATGGATGCCTAAGCGGATAGAACTGCCCTGGGGCTTTTCAACGTGCCCTCTTGTGGTGATAATGCGGTGGATGGCCATGATGACGCGACGTTCTTCTCCCGCTTATCCTACCTGAAGAAACTCGAGGAGTGTTTAAAGTCGTTCATGGTTATGAACCAAGGGTCAAGCTTCCTCCTCTTGGAGTCTTTGGGGCACCACCACGACCCTGGCGTGGGTCTTGAGACTCACTCCGGGTCACCTCCGGAGGCCTTTCTATTTTATGCCAACTTGGCCAATGGCGCGGGCAGGGCCGGGCGGCCAGGGATGGGCATCCATCAAGTTGTGGCCTCATGAGGTGAACGATCATCTGCAAGGAGAGGAGAAAGATTGTGAGGTCCAGCTCCAGCGCCATCACCACCTTTTCTTCCACAACATCTTCTAAGATAATAGTAGACGGGGGAAGGGGAGGGGGAATAGTACCGTCTCGTGGGCTCACTCTGCGCCTTGCTGGGCCTGGTTGGAAGCGAGAAGGGCACATAACTTAAAACAGCCGGCTATGTCCGCCTGACAAGCTGTGCTCAACTCACCTTCCCCAGCCTGCTCTCACCCAGCGAGCCACAAGGGAGGGCAAGCTCTCGTTTCCGCGGTGCGCCATGGCGCCAAGCGTGCAAAAACGCGTTTCCGCAGTGCGATGGCGCGAAACTGCCTTCCCCAGATTCCAGACGCAACATATGTATATTAGCAAAAAATGAAAAGATGGGGCGCCGCCCGGAATCGAACCGGGGCCTCTCGCACCCTAAGCGAGAATTTTACCACTTAACTACGGCGCCTATTGGTTGCTGGAAGACGAAACTCGGGTATCCCGGCAGTATGTTCCCGATCAAACGCTCTCCTCTCCGAACGGGGTACGAAGGCGGCCCAGCAGCGTGGTTCTCTTGGAGAAGGAGTGTATTTACAGCTGCGATCGCAGTGTATGTTCATGATGCGGAAGGGACTAGTGGTTGTCCGCCACCGGTGGCGGTGTCCTGTCTTCGGCCGACATGCACTCGCTCTCCTGCTCCTCGATGGGCATGTTCCTCCTGCGCTTGGAGGGACTGCCGTGCCGATCGCCCATCGAGTTCGCTCGTACCCTCTCCACAAGCGACAGCACTTCGGACAGGCTCATGGCGAGGTCATCGACCTCGCTCTTGTTCCCTGTGCTGCCGCTCGAAGAGGCCCTCCGCTCTCGTCCAAGCGCGACTTCGCCCTCGTCGTCTTCCCCTTCATCATCTTCGATCACTCGTTCGGCGTCTTCATCAAGTTGCTTCTTGTAGAACGCAACTATCTCCTGAGCCAAGGGGCGCAGCTGCGCCGTGAGGAGCCGCTCCTTTTCCTGGATCCAGAACTGCCATTCCTTGAGCGCGGCAGACATCGCATCGAAACCGCTGGCACTACGCCACAGCTGGATCTTCTCCGTGGCCGCCGCCTCGGCGCGCTTCACCTCGGCCGACACCGCCAGCAGCCGATCAAATTTATCATCAATGTCTGAATCGTCCGCACCGCCAACGGACGACTGTCTGCTCTTGCGCTTGCCCACTTTCCTCGAAGTCGAAGGAAGATCCCTCTCCATCGCAGGGCTTCCCTCGTCTTCCTCCATCTATCTCGCAGATCTCTCTTGTTGCCCTTCCCAGGTGTGATTTTTCGTTTTCATTTTCGAGCCGTAGGTCCACATATTTTAAGAATTTCAGCCCGAAAGCACCCGACATTGTCGTCATTCCAGAAAGACCAGTCTGGAGAGAGAAGGCTGGGGGGATCATAAACAGAAGGACGCGTTGCGTGGATGGCACACATGGAGACCACTCTGCCGCCAGGGGTGGCGGCACTGCCTGCGCATCATGTGGCGCGCGCAGGCGCGACGATTACCAACAGCACGGGCGAAGATTTGTCGTTCGAAAAATTCTACACTTCGATCTACATCAACATGGCGATCGGTGCACTCTGCATAGTTGGCTTCTCTCTCATCCACAGGCGCAAAATATTCGGCCTCTACCGATTCTACGCCCCACGAAAGAAGGCGATCGATAATCCCATCTCGGCCACATTCTGGAAGAGCTTGGTCCTTTGGATCTGGCAAAGCTTGAGGTACGACGAGGGTTCAACCTGCTCTTCCATAAAGGGAACACCAAGAGCAATTATTATTTAATTATTAATACTTCAAAACAAAATAGATACACGGACGACCGGCTGTGGCGAACGCACGGCCCAGACGCACTGGTTTATGTGCAGTTCATTCGCTTGTGCCTCGGGGTGCGTACAAACTACCACCTCGTGCGCTTGTTCTTCGTTCGTGTCGGACTCTAACGCCACATATACTATGATGCAGATGAGCATTGCGCTGCTGTTCGTGGGCCTGATCATCGTGCTCCCCATCAACTATTCGGGCACCAACGACTACAAGGTGACCGAGATGGGCCGCTTCACCATCTCCAACCTCCACGACGACGATCCCAAGATGATCGCTCACAGTTGCGTCGCCTTTCCCTTTCTCGCGTCCCCCGTGCCCCAGCGCGCCCAACACTAACGCACGTGTCCTTTCTTTCCTCACACGACACCACACACACCCACACACACACCGCAGTCGTGTTCACCTACCTGTATTCCTTTGGCGGGTATGCGATCATGTGGTGGAGCTACCGGCACTATGCCGTCGTACGCCGACGGTACATGGACCGGTAAGTGGTTTGCGCCCACCGTCATGCCACAACCGCGCGCACGCGTGATTCAATGTCTATCCGTGATTATGGTGGCGCTCACGTTCTGTGCCGCGTCTGTTTGTTTGTCGGATGCTTGCAGGAGCGAGCCGCGCAGTTTCACGCTGCTGCTCAGAAACATTCCCGACCGCCTGATGGACAAACCCGAGCTTCAACGATGGTACCATGTCGTGTGTGTCGTATGTGTGTCGTATGTGTGTCGTATGTGTGTCGTATGTGTGTCGTATGTGTGTCGTGTGTGTGTCGTGTGTGTCGTGTGTGTGTCGTGTGTGTCGTGTGTGACGCTGACAAGCGCATGCTTAGGTTCGAGGACCACATGCACACGAAAGTGGTGGACGTGCAGTTCGTCTACTCGGCGCAGTCGCTGGACCGCCTGAAGAAGAAGCGGAACAAGTACTTGGACAAGCTCGAGCGGGCCGAGATCACCTACCAGCGGAGGAAGCAGAAGCAGGAAAGGCGCGAGCAGGCCAAGTCCCAGGACGTCGGCTTTTGGGACGGGTATCGCACTCTCACGTGTCCTGTGCGGTCGTGCGTGTGCGGTCGTGCGTGTGCGGTTGTGTGTGCGCTGACTGACCATGTTTTGTGTTTTTCATAGCGTGTTGGAACGCGTCAGCTATTGCCTCTCGTGCAACTGGTTCCGCTCCAAGAACGAGTACCAGACGCTCGACGACCTTCGGCCGGTCAAGCGGCTTGGCTTCTTCGTGTTTTCCTACTGCGGACCCAAGGTGGACGCCATCACCTACTACAGGGAAAAGATCAAGAAAGTCAACCGCGTCATCAAAGCCCACCTCAGGTGTGTTTCGATTCGCGTGTTGTGCGTGTGTCGTGCCGTGTGCCGTGTAACCAATGCGAATCACGTGTGGCAGGTCATCTGTGGTAGAAAAGAGATTCAAGAAGGCGCACTCGGCATTCATCACGTTCGATTCGATGTATCCCGCCCGCGCGCCGCCGCAGCCCTTCATCGATCCCCACCTCATGAAAGTCGAAGCGGCGCCCGGTACCTTACATGCTTCCACCGCACGCACACGACCGCACACGACACACACGACACACACGACACACACACACACACACACACGACACACCCTCACGACTCGAGTTGTCTGCAGAGCCGTCGGACGTCCATTGGGAGCAAGTGACGATCCCCTACTTCTCGCGGATCGTGCGTCAGCTCCTGGTCAGCGGGGCGTTGACGTTCTTGATCGTCCTGTGGGTGTTCCCGGTCGTCGCCGTTCAGTCGCTGGCCAACCTGCAGACCCTGTCCAAGGTCGAATACCTCACCTGGCTCCAACGTACGTAACTGTGTGTGTCGTGCGTGCGGTGTGTGTGTGTGTGTGTGTCGTGTGGTGTGTGTGTGTGTCGTGGTGTGTGTGTGTGTGTATGAGCGCCACCTTACACTCTCGTCGACAACAACGCAGCGATTATTGAGGTGATGAACGACATCAGCCCTCAGATCCTGGCGGTGGTGGAGGGCTTCCTGCCCTCCCTGGTGCTGCTGATCTTCATCTCCATCACCAAGCCCATAATCGAGCTCCTCTACTCGCACCAGGGCGAGTCGAGCTATTCGAGGATCGAGTGGATGACCATGGCCACCTACTGGGGCTTCCTCATCTTCAACGTCTTCCTCGTCTCCACCATCGGTGGCGCCATATTGAAGGTAATCTTTCCGCGGCTTCGCTCTTCACGAAACCACCACCACTCAACCTGTATGTGTGTCGTGTGTCGTGTGTCGTGTGTCGTGTCGTGTGTGGTCTGCAGGTCTTGGATGATTTCGTTGACAATCCGCGCTCGATCATCAACCTGCTGGCGTCGTCGCTGCCGCAGCAGAGCGGCTTCTTCATCAACTACCTCTTGATCGCCGGTACGAAGGACCCCAACACTACACGCGGCCAGGAGGAGCTCATAGTTAGTCATCACTTCGTGCACTTCTTCCCAGGCTTTGGTCGTCTCCCGCTGAAGCTCTTCCGGTTGCCCGCACTCGTCCAGCGTATCTTCACCATCATCCTCTGCAAACCCGTCACCGAACGCGAGGTGCGCACACAAGTCCTATTCTGTTGGTTTCTGATTGTTGATTGTTGAGATGTTTGACATTCTTTCATTCTTTTGCGTGTGCGCACATACAGAAGAAGAAGCAATACCGCCCAGAGTCATTCGACTACTCGCTCGAGGTGGCTGAGGAGCTGTTGGTGCGCTGCCGCCACCCCCAATGTGCTCCTCCCATCAAAGCTCACAAAACTGAGTATATGGCGTGGTCTTTGGGGGGGGGGCTGCGCTGGTACCTGGTCAGGTCTTCACGCTGACGCTGTGCTACAGCTTGATGGCGCCGCTGATCACCATCTTTGGCTTCGCCTACTTCTGTCTGGTGTTCCTCATCAACCGATACAACCTCATCTACGTCAACGAGCAGCGGTGGCAGGGCGGCGGTATGCGTCTCGCATTTCCTTCCGCGTTGCCCGAATTCTGTGGCGTGTGTTGTGCCGCATCTCACACACGCGTGGTTTATCGGTTTTAGGCACCATGTGGTCCATCGTCTACCATCTCTTCATGGCGGCTATTCTCCTTTTCCAGCTCATCATGCTCGGCATTCTCGGTACGACGTGACAGCGCCAATGACGCACGCACGACACACACGACACACATAAAGTTGGCTCACACGCTCTGTGTCGCGGGGGGGGGTCCAGGTCTGTCGCAGTACGGAGGCGGCCTCACGCTCGTGGTCTTGCCCTTCATCACGGCCGTCCTGTGGTTTTGGATCCACAAGCACTGGGGCCACACCACCACCTGGGGGTACGTCGCACCACCAGTGTTGCGACCACACACACACACACACGACACAACACACACACACACGACACAACACACACACACACGACACAACACACACACACACACACACCGCACGCACGCACGACTCACGACACACACACACACACACACACGGCACGCACGCACGCACACCTCTCACTCGTCTTGCCTATCAGGACCGCTGGAAGGCACGGACGTGATCAAGCCGCAGTCGTGGGACGAGTTCGTCGGTACTTGTGCTGCGCCCTGGCCCGCGCCACGCCGGCGACGACTAACGATCTTTGTGTGGGGGCGTCCAGGTGCCTATCTGCAGCCTCCGTTGCAGCGCGACGAGGAGGACGCGGTGGACAACGGGTGGTACGACGAGGACAACGAGGAAAAGTCCGCGCAGGAGCGCCAGATCGATGAGTCTAGTCTGGGCGGTGCCGAGCTCTGGAGCTGGAAGACTGCCAAGCTGCAGGACGCAGTCCGGTTCGTTCACACCACACAAACACACGACACACACGACACACACACACACGCACACACGGCACGCGCGCGTGGTAAAAAACCTAATGGTTGCTCTGTATGCAGGCGGAGCAAGAACAGGCTGCTGGGTAAGAAGCAGCCCACGTTCATTTCGCCGCTGCTCGACCCGCTGCTCGGCGACGCCCTCCTGCTAGACCTCACCTCCGACGGCGAAAGCGATGACGAGGCCGGGGCCGGGTCAGCCGACAGCCGACGAGGGACCTACCAACAGCCGCAGCTCGGCGGCGGCCGTGCCAGCGGCGGCAGCAGCGGGGCCAGCAGTGGGGCGGAAGACAACGGCAGCGGCAGGCGCAGGCGGCGGACGGGCTCGAGTGGCGGTAAGACGGAGGAGAGGAGGAGCACCAACAGCAGCAGGAAGGGCAAGGAGAAGCACCACAGCGCCCGCCGGTCGGTGGAGGACGTGGAGCGGGAGGAGGACGGAAGCGAACGCTACAGCGTGGGCGGCGACGTGGAGCAGGGTGAGGCCGGGTGGAAGCGCGTGAGCGCACGCCACGGCGACGAAGACTACACGACGACCACGACGACGGCAGCGACGCCGCCGATGGCGAGCCCACGACGGCGGCCCGTCGTGGATGAGGCAAACAACGCGGATCCGTCCAGCTCGACGGAGAGCAGCTTCAGCCCCAGCGCCAGCGTCGGCGATGAACGACTCGCCATCCTGCGATCCACCGACGCGTGAGCGGCGTGCTTGTTTTTTGTGCGCAAAACGCGCAGCCTTGTAACGAACAAATTTTTTGGCGGCAAAACTGAAGGGTTTGGGCGGCAAGACTGACGATTTTGCCGGCGCGGACTCGGAAAAAGGCGGAAGAAAAAGACGACACAAACGAGAGGGGAATTCCATTAGCATCATCAATCGATCTCTACTGGCGTCTCGATCGCTTGGAGCATTTGGAGAGTTCACGGAGGACGATTGAATTGGCTTATTGATTGATAAAGAAGCAGGAGGAATGGGTGACAATCTGCTGCAGAAGGCGATCACCATCGTCACGCAAGCAACCGAGGCCGATAATCGAAAGGAATATGCTGAGGCCTTGCGTCTCTACCAGCTTGCTCTGGAGTACTTCATGACTGCCCTCAAATGTACGTCCCCCTCCCTTTCTACCTTCGCCTTCATGTCTTTGACATTGGCACATGTGCGTGCACAGATGAAAAGAATGAGCGAAGCAAGCAGGTCATTCGCGCCAAGCTCAAGGACTACATTGACAGAGCCGAGAAGCTCAAGGCTTACCTCAAGGGCAACGAGGGCAAGAAGCCAGTGGCGCAAGGGGGCGGGTACCTACCCTCCACAAAGTCGTTCGTCTTGTGATGGCCTCTTAGCATTTGGTCCATCAGGGGAGGCGAGGATGATGAAGACGGCGATCCAGAGAAGACAAAGCTGCACAAGGCTCTGCAAGGTTCGTCTTGATCTGCAGATCTCAGATCCTCAGCAATCTCTTCGAACGAATGAGTTTTTTGATCTTTTGCATCTCGCTAGGTGCCATCTTGACCGAGAAGCCCAACGTGCGCTGGGACGACGTTGCCGGCCTGTACGCTGCCAAGGAATCCCTCAAGGAGGCGGTCATCTTGCCGATCAAGTTTCCTCAGCTCTTCCGAGGCAAGAGGAAGCCCTGGAAGGGCATTCTTCTCTATGGCGTACGCACCTCCTCTCTACTCCGCCTGAAGGCATGCCCTTGCAAGGGTCTATATACTCACGCACGCGCAGCCCCCGGGTACCGGTAAGTCCTACCTGGCCAAGGCCGTTGCGACGGAAGCGAACTCGACCTTCTTTTCCGTCAGTTCCGCCGATCTGGTGTCCAAGTGGCTCGGCGAGAGCGAAAGGTGAGCTTTTCCTCTCTTCACTTCACGAAGACGAACGCACACATCAACCACATGGCGCTAAACGGCTTCTTCTTCCTCTCATCTCGCAGGCTCGTGCGGAGCCTGTTCGACATGGCCCGCCAGAACAAGCCCTCGATCATTTTCATCGACGAGCTCGACTCGCTGTGCAGCTCCAGGAGCGATAACGAAAGCGAAGCTGCGCGAAGGATCAAGACCGAGTTCCTCGTCCAGATGAACGGCGTGGGCAATGACGAAGACGGTGTGCTCGTGCTCGGCGCTACCAACATCCCGTGGCAGCTTGACGCGGCCATCAGGAGAAGGTGCGCGCCTTGCCTCAGCTGATCGATTCGTCTTCGCTGTTGTGTGTCAAAATTAATGCTCGCGCTTACGCTTATCACTTGCCAGGTTTGAGAAGAGGATCTACATCAGTCTGCCCGACGCGCCCACTCGCGCGCGCATCTTCCAGATCCACTTGGGCAACACACCAAGCAATCTCACAGCGCAAGATTACAGAATGCTGGGCGAGATGACCGAGGGGTGCGTTGTGGTGACTCGTGTGAGTGTCCAATGCACTCTTTGACTCATTTTTGTTTCGCGCACGCCACGCCACACGCACATGGTATAGGTTCTCCGGTTCAGATATTGCTACGTGCGTGCGTGATGCGCTCATGCAGCCGGTGCGGGCCGTCCAGATGGCCACGCACTTCAAGCCCGTGTACGAGGTCGACCACAACAACCCTGCCGTGTCTCGCGAGTACCTCACGCCCTGCAGCGGCTCAGGTACTGTTGTCTCTATGACACGACACGCACGACACACTGTGACACGCAGACGTGCGCGCGCACGGCACACGAGACACTGATCGTGTGTTGCGCAGACCCACTGGCGAGAGAGATGACGTGGGTGGACGTTCCTGGCGAGATGCTGATGGAGCCCCGAGTCACCATGAACGACTTCCTCAAGTCGGTCAAGAACAGGTCCGTACTCTTTACTTAGGCTTCAACACAAACTCTAACCTCCACGTCGTTGACATCTCCTTTCTTTCTTTTTCTTGTGATGCTGACTATGGTTGTGATGTGGTTTGCAGCAAACCGACCGTCAACACGGCCGAGCTGCAGAAGCAAATCAAGTTCACGGAGGAGTTTGGCCAGGAGGGCTAACAAGCTACTGCTGCCCCCTCCTTCCGGCCACACTGTTATTTATTAGACCTTCTTTTTGTTTATCTTCTTCCTCCTCTTCCTCCTCCTCTCTTCTCTTCTTCTCTTCACCCGCATCGCCACAGCTCCATCATCTTCGCTTCTTCGCGCATGCACGCATGAGGGACCTCTCGTCCTCCTGTACAATTTCGCTTCACGTTGCATGTCGCTACTCCTCCGCTCGTTCGTTGTGTATTGGGTGGCGATGACTTGTGTAACAGCATCTCATCGTCTCCATCATCATCATCGTGTTGTGTGCACTCACTCCAATAAACCAATCGATCAACTCTGCACATAGAGCAGCGTCAGGGCCTCATCTTCAGCCAAGATTTACAGGAAACGGAGAGAGTAGTGTTTACAAGTTGAGCCTTCTTGTTTGTGTGGGTCAGGAGGCGATGCCAAAGCGTGCAGAGCCGCTTCGGCCGAGTAGCAGGCTCGTGGTGCGCTGCATCGCGACGAGGAAGGTGGATCGGCCCAGCGAGATGCCCACCCCGAGCGCTATGCCGATGAAGAGCGGACCCAAGAACAGCGACTTGGTGTCGTTCCATGCGTTGGCTGTCCATCGTCCGAATCGCGCTATTCTGCTCCTCGAAGATGCCCTGCTTGAGCGTAGGCTCCTTCTGCCGGCTGCCGAGGTGCTCTTTCGCATCTGGCTCAAGGAGAGGACCTCGGGCGACTGTTGCTCATCGATGCCTGCTGGCGGATTCTGCTGTGCCTCTTCCGACATGGGGTAGGTAAAAACGTTGTACTGATGTTCTTCGCTCTCCTCGTACTCGTCGCTGCCATAGTCCTCATTTTCGCTGTCTTCGTCCTCGAATTCGTCGAATTCTTCCCCTTCTTCCCCTTCTGCCATTCTTCCGTCCATCTTCAATCAATATCTTTTATTTATTTATTTTTTTCTTTTCCACTTTATACTGTGTTTTTATTCCTGCAGCAGCGCGTGCAAGCCGTAGCATCTCTCTGTGCCAAGCTTGTTGGCGCGATGGACCTGCAGCAGCCTACAGCCTCTACATCTTCCATCACATCACAAATCTCTCCTACCTCATCATCTTCAAATGAAACGAAGCGACCAGTTGTGATTTTGAGCCGAAGGGAGACCTTCTCGGCCTCGCATCGGCTGCACGCTCCACAGCTCTCTGAGGAAGCCAACCGAGAGCTCTATGGCAAGTGCAACAACCCCAACGGACATGGGCACAACTACACCATCGAAGTCCTCCTCAAAGGCCAGGTACCTGGCCATTATATTATTAATAATTAGTAAAATAAATAATATTAATAATGCATTAAAATAACATGATATTTGATATAAATAAATACTATTTTGCAGGTGGACGCGGTGACCGGAATGGTGATGAATCTGGTGGAGCTTAAGCAGATCATGCACAAGGCCATCCTCGATCCTCTTGACCACAAGGTGCGTGCCGCGCCGTGCCGTGCCGTGCGTTGCGTTGCGTTGCGTTGCCGGGTCGCGTTTGCGCGTGTGTCTGATAACGTGGGGCGGTGCAGAATCTGGATAAGGACGTGGAGTGGTTCCGGGATCGGGTGAGCACGACGGAGAACCTCGCCATCTACTGCTGGCAGCGACTCACCGACCTTCTCTCCCCTCCAGGTGCGGCCTCACCCCACTCAACACGTCGTGCCTTACGTGTGTGTTCTCCATGTGTCGTGTGTGTCGTGTGTGCGTGTGTCATGTGTGTGTGTGTGTGTGTCGTGTGTCGTGTGTCGCTGATGATGGAGCTAAGCGCCTCTTCTTGTCCATCATGCCACATGCAGGCCTGCTGCACGAAGTGCGAGTCCACGAGACCGAAAACAACGTGGTGATCTACCGAGGCGAATAAATGCTGTCTCTCGTGTTGTGTCGTGAGCCGTTTATTGTGGTGGGGGTGGAGGAAGCGGGAAGTCGGGGAAGAAGAAGGCGATCTCTCGGCGCGCGCTCTCGTCTGAGTCTGTGCATGCGTGTGTGTTGTGGGGATGGCTGAGGTGGTGAGTAACGCGTAAAGCAGAAGAAGGGCCGCCATCGACATATTGCGCAGTCGCGGGAGCGTCTCGTACCGGATCCGTGTGTCGAGTTGCGGGTGTCCGAGGCGGCAAACCGGCCGCGTATGCTGCCCGGGGCCTCCACCCGCGCTCTGTGCTCACCAGTGTTAACAAATCAAATGATGTATTTGATTAAATAAAATCATAAATAAAATCATAAATAGAAAATTAAATATGTAAGAAATAATAGATGCAAGGTGAGGGTACCGTCGTATGTGGGTAGGTCCCATGAGGGCGCGCCACTGTGCAATCGCGTCCTCTCGCTCCAAAATCATTGGAATAATCGGACCACTGCCGATTTGCAACAAATCGCGATTCTTCAGCATCTCATCAGACTGGACCGACGACTGGGAGGGGTGGAACCTGGTCATGAAGGCGACGAGGCGTTGATAGAAAAACTTGCCCTCATGTTCGCCGTAAAATCGCTCGGCCTCCTCGATTGACATGTCCATGAGCTTGCTCCGCACGATTTCGAATCCATTACGTTCGACCATGCGCAAAATCTCTTCAAGGGGCGTTTGCGAAGTGGTAACTTCATTATGAGCTGTTGACGAAGATGATGAGAGGATGTGTGGAGGATTCGCGTAGAGTGAATGGAGGGTGAGTGAGGGTCGTTGCTGGAGAAGGAGCGGAAGGGAGGGCACGAGGATGTCTGGCTTGATGATGCCCAGCGTCAGTTGCCTCCGCTTCATCTTCCTTCTTCCAGAATCGACAATTCAAAGAACGACCAAAAAGTTGTGGTCACATGAACGTTCTCAGTCCTTCGCGTCGGTGATGCCTTCGTTTGAGATCTGGTAGACACACTCGGTCTGCGAAGGAGCGTAGCGTAAGTGTTGATGGTGTGCGCAGTGCTTCTTGTTGATGTGAACGAGCAAGAAGTACCTCGGGCAGGCACGGCGAGTCGAAGATCTTGCAGATGCGCTGTTCGCCTCTGCCCTTCCTCAGGGACAGGCGAGTCGTCGAGGCGTGAGCAAGCACGTGCCCTCCGATGGGCTTCTTGGCGTCTGCAAGCGATTGTTGGTCGTCGGTCTAGGTCTGACTTCTTGAAGTCGTCTAGGGGTAGTGGAAGGAGGGGCGTACCGGCAACGAACATGGCGCCACCGCCAGGGTCGGCAGTCACCTGGTTGGTGATGAAGACGGCGACGTTGAACTCCTCTGCGATCTTCTGCAGTTTGCTCAGCATGCGGCCGAGCTTCTGCTGCCTCTCGGCCAGCTCGCCTCGACCAGAGTAATCCACGCGGAACAGAGCCGTTATGGAATCCACGATCTGTTCATGACGGTTGAACCGTTGAAGCATTCGGTGAGAAGCAGTTCAGTATCGACTAGCTGAGAGGAGCACATACCAAGAGGCGATACTGATCTTCGACCATCTTCGCAGCAATCTGGACGATGAGCTCCAGCTGGTGTTCGTGCGTGAAGGCTCGAGCGTATACTAAATAATGTATACGTGCAGCACTTGATTAGACCTTGTCAAGATCTCAGAGAAGCGCTAATCTCCTAGAGTAGAACGTACCAATGTTGTCGAGCGCAGCCATAGGGTCCAGGCCGAACCTTTCGGCAATCGGCTTGATCCGTTCAGGGCGGAAGGTGCTACGCGCAACGATGTCATAAGCTAACCGAACGACTTGCGAGCTCTAAACCAAAGCGCACGTACCCCTCAGTGTCGATGTAAGCCACCTTGCCATTGCCTCCGCTCATGTTGAGTGGCAGCTGCGTAGTGACGCACAGTGTGTGGCACAGCTGCGTCTTACCAGTCCTGAACTCACCTGGCGAAGCGCGTCGTCAGCTGACGTGGCCACCGTTGGGGCTTGGCGGGGGTGTTGTACGCGTACCAAAGACTTCGGTGATTGACATGGTCTCGACACCGCCACCGAGAAGCTGATCAAGAGCAGTACAACCCATGGTGATCCTGACGACCTCCTTCCTCTTGTTGAGCATCTCCGACCCGGTCATAAAGCTGGCGAAGTGGAGCTTGCCAGCTGCTTCGAGGATCTTGTCCACCTTGGCCTCTGAAATGCCCTTGATGGCCAGAAGGTTCTGTACGCGGGCGCGTAGTGTAGTGTAGCGGACTCTTCGATGAGCATTCGTGCGTGTATCGGGCCTACGCTGAAGTAGAAGTAGAAACGTGCGTACCTTTCTGGTGTTCATGAGAAGGCTGGCTACGGTGTGGCATCCTCCAAGCTTGAGCTTCTTGATGTCGGCCACGTTGACGCCGAGATCCTGCAGCTTATCGATCTCCTGGAAGTCCGACACTTGCTCGGCGCTCGCTTCCTCCTCCCCTTCCTCTACCTCGGCGGCCTCAGCTTCCTTCTCGGCCGCGGCCGCCTGCTCCTTCCTGAGTGCATCCGTACGAGTGAGCGTTCATGACCTATACACATGCTACTTGCGAGCTTCCTTGCTACGAGGAGGGGACGTACTGCTTCCTCACAGATCGCGACATGGTTGAGGGATTGATCTAACGAAGAATGGAAGATTACTTGGTGTTGCTGACGCTAAGCGATGTATGCCTGTTGGTGGGCGATAGCAAGAGACTGCTCGCCTGCGCAGCCGACCCGACGTAGCGAGCCGGCTGGTGGACGGCGCCGGTCATCCTTTTGCCTGCGTTTCGTTTGTGTTTTTTCCCGCCATCAGCACCAAGAAATGAAAAGAGAAATGTGAGATTACAATTCATTTCCCAAACCAAAGAAATGGCCAGTGAGCGCTCGGCTTGAGGTGCCCAAACCACAACTCAACGCCATGGAGATGACGCCGCTCCTGCTGTTGCTGGGGCTGGGACTTTTTGGTGCTTTGCCTTCCGTTTCGGTCACCGACACGCTGCAATCTTGGTTTTGTGGGTGTGTTATTTATTTTTATTTATTTTCGCTGTCCAGTGGTGCTGCCAGGTGTGGCACGAGGCCAGTGCGTGCCTGTGTCGGGCCTGTCGTTCTGCTCCGGCGTCAACTACTCGGTCAATGCGTCGTCCTTCGCCAACCCCGGCAGCACACCGCAGGAGCAGGACAAGCTCGTGCAGGCCTGGTACGCCAAGAACGCGCCCGACCAGCTCCAGACCAAGGACTGCCTCGACGCGTGGAAGGCTTACCTGTGCTCCTTCTACTTCCCCAAGGTTCTGACGCATGCACACTTCTACATCCCTCTGGTTGACATTAACCTACTCATCTTCTTGTTCGTGACAGTGCCCGTATTGCCGCGAGTCTAATGGTATATGTAGGAGCGCTTGCCTTGCGCTGACGGCCCGGTGTGCGCACCAGGTGCAGGACTTCATGGCAACGTGCTACGGCGGCAATCTCTTCGTCAATGACACCGACAGCTCCTCCCTCTGCACGCCCTACACCCTGCCCTACACACGGCCCGCCGCCGTCATGGTTGCTGCTGACGCCATCACGAAGACCACACCACCTGACGACGCCCCCGAGGTCGCGCCGCCGCTCTACCAGTGCCAGCTGGTACCGGAGGCCTACGCCTCGTTCTGCAAGCCCACCTGGCCCGTGGCCAGCGCGCCGACCAACTTCGTCGACGTGTGGACGCGGATGGACAACGTGACCCAGCTGCGGTGGAGCACGTTCGCCTCTGGTGGGGTCACGGACGCCTGCAAGGACTCGCTGCGCCTCTACTTCTGCGCCGAGTACTTTGCGCCATGCAACGGCCCGTTCTCGGTGTCCAACCCGCTCACCGAGGTGCTGCTGCCCCTCTGCGCGCGGCTCCAGAACGACTGTCCCGCGGGCATGGTCCGCAAGGTGTGCAGCTTCAACCCCTACGCTCCGCCTGACCCACGCGAGTGTCTAGCCAGCCCCTCGTTTCCTGTCTGATCATCTTGTCCTCTCTTGAGGCACTTCAATGCAATTGCTCTTGGGGACAGTTGTAGAGGAGGATAGCTCCTTGATTGTAGGAAGATGAGCTCAAGCCAATGGAAGTATGGGCTGGAAGGCGCCTTCAGGAGGGCACACCAGCTCAACACCTTCTCCTGCACTTGCGGTCGTGAACGACACTCCAACGTAGAGTGGCCACTGGCGCACATCTGCGAACTCCTGCGCGTTGTGTGGTGCGGTGTGTGGTGGTTCTGTTGAGTGACACAAGACCACCTCACACTGCGACCGTGGCAGCGGCACGCACCAGCGGGTCGTGGACCATCTGGTAGTTCTTGTAGAGGATTGCGTAGGGGTGTCGCTCCGGCGCTGCCTCTGCCTCGTCCTTCCTTGACGTCTCACCTCGGTCAATTAATCGTAGCGGGCTGAGCCAGCGCATCACAAGTTTCACACGAGTCAGCACATACTCAAGCCTCGTTCATTGAACAGACTGTTTGAGGCGCACCTCTTCCACTCGGAGGGCAAGTCCTGCGATTCTCGTGCCGATTTGGTACCCAACTGAATGCTGATGACGTCCCCCACCTCGTAGCGGGCTCCCTCGATCGCCTCTCGCCTGACCCCAATGGTCGTCACCGACGCACAAAAAAAGAAAGAAAGCGAAAGAGGGCAAAGAACGAAGACGACGGGTAGGCTAGGGTACCTGTAGAGGGCGGGGCTGCCGTAGGAGTGGAGGCTCCCCGAGCGGAAGTAGTAGGCCATGAACAGCGACTCCCGCCCCAGGTCCCACTGCGGCACGTCAGCCGGCGACGCCTTCGTCTCCGGTCGCTTGGCGCTGATCGCGAAGCAGAATTTGCTGCCTTGGGTGGCGTCAGCGATGTTTTGGGTGGTGGAGGTGTAGAGGGAGGAGAAGTACTGGGAGTGCCGACGAGTCGGAAGTGGTAGATTTGGGTGTCGTCGTCGCGGTGGTGCGTGGTGTTGGGCGCTTTGACAAAGGCGGCGGTGCGCTGCCACGTCGGGCAGCCGGGGGGCAGGTTGACGTCGCAGATCGCCGCGGTGTTGTCCCGCTGGAGGCGCACGTCGACGCTGTGCTGTGGGTCGAACGTGGGAAAGTGTAGTAACTGTTCGAGAGAGAGAGAGATGACATCAGCAAACGAGATAAGATCGTCAAATAAAGGGCGGTGCGTACATAGTCCAGGCGTTCATTCCCAAGAACGAGGCGGAATAGCTCCGTGCACGTAAGCACGGTCGCCGCGACGTCTCGCTGTCGTTCAAAGAAGAAGCTTAGCCTGGTCGAAGTAACTTGGTTGCACAAACAAGATTCAAACGTAGTCGAAGAAGAAACACGACGTACGGGAGTGGAGAGAAACAAGAGGATGTGTAGAACTAGTTCGCGCGGGAGTAGGAGTAGTGGGAAGGTGGCGCTGGCCTTGCATGCGTCCATCATGCGCGTTCTCTAAACTAGAGAAACAGAGCAGTCTGGCCGGGTGGGGATGATGACGGTGGCCGTTTTCATGACGTCTCATAGGCGGCTGTGGCGCGAGAGTTGGACACGCGGGAGTCCCACGTCAACGAAGTCGCGGTGGAGACCTCTCTGCACACCCTTAAGGGTTGACTGACGTATTGACCGAGCGCGCGCGGATTGGCCAAGCCTTATGCACGAGCCCACAGGAGCAACCGCTGGGGCTGACGGCATTGGCTGATTGGCCGAGATTGCTTCCCTGGTTCGGAAAGATGGTACTTCGATCCTTGTTTGCACCAACCACGCCCCACCACGCAGGCGCAACGAGAGCGAGATGGTGATGAGATCGGTGACAGCACGCTGTGCCCATCGCGGTAGCACGGAGAGCGGCGAAAGCAGACAGTAGCGTTCTCGTCCGCGTGGGTGCACGCAGGTGACGTTCCCTTGAGTTGGCCGGGCGAACGTCTCTGCCTCTTCCACGCCCCGTTCTCTGTACTCCTCAACAAGAGATGTAGTTGTTGCTTCCCGATCGCGCAATCGCTGTCTGGTCGGCAGCGTTGCCACAAACAACAAACCAAGAAGCCAAGGACAGGAAGGGGGAGGGAAAAGACAAACTTGTTGTTGTTGTTGCCTGGGGTGGCTACACCAGGAACAGCACGTAGAGGCTCATGCCAATCATGAATGCTGATACCACCCCACTTGCTCGTTCGCCTGACAAGAAGAATAGAGCCGCTCCTTAGCTGCCGCTGCTAAGCAGAGGAGAGGGGTGTGGTGTGGTGGGTACCAATGCGTGCTGCCTTCCAGAATAGCCCCAGAGCTCTGCAGAGGAGAAGATGATTGAAAATTCAAAGATGAAAAAAAATCAAAAGGATGCGGGCCTACCCATGCTTGTTTCGATCGAGGAGAGCAGGAGCACGTTCTCGGATGTAGGTGCACGTGCAGATGACGAGCATGAGGATCACCAGGAAACTCTGGAAATTGAACAATGCCGACTACTCCCCCGCCCCAATCATTCATGAAATCAGATGCCAGCAAGAAGGGTGATATAAAGAAGCCGCCTGCGGATCACCGCACCGTACCATGACGTATCAGCGTGTCGATGTGCCAAGGTGGTTTGTTGGATTTCTTTTCTTTTAAAACCAAAAAAAAGGGTTGGCGACGTGGCCGGAACAGAACCACCACAACAGAACCGCACGCCAACAGCCAAGGCTGCCGCCTGGACCATGACTTCTTCAGGTGCGTCCTCTTCACCGCTACCTTGATGGCATGACTTACACAAACGGGGTGGCCTCTGATACAGCAGCGGAGGGAGAGGTGTGGCACAAGTTCCTTCTGGGTATGGTGTCCTGTGCCGCCCCCCTCCCCGGTACGACCCTACCGCCCTCGCAGCGTGTGCGGCAGTGTGCGTTTCGTGCGTGCCGAGGTCTGACAGTGGCGGTCATGCAGTGGTCAACCCGATTGAGGTCATCAAGACGCGGCTGCAGCTGCAGGGTGAGCTACAAGAAGAAAAGGCCAAGAGTGGCCTCAGCCGCATCTATGGAAAGGGTACAGCAGGACCTCCTACCACACAGTACCCATAGTACACAACCAACACGCGGCCGTCGCATACAGAACGCAAGTACAAAGGGTTCATGCACGGTGGCGTACAGATCCTGCGCGATGAAGGCATAGCCGGCCTCTACAAAGGGTACGTGCTGCACGCTGGCGTCCGAGGTTGGGTGGTATGTCTTGCCATTCCTCACCACTATTCCTCAACACCTTGTTTAGCATCGTCCCTGCGGCTCTGCGCGAGTGCTCCTACGCGGCGATCAGGCTGGCTCTGTACGATCCCATCAAAACACTACTTGGCGAGAATCGAGCTGACGGCGTGAAAGGTACGAGCTGTCGATTGAGTGATGAGGCTTCGCACAAGAGCAATGGTTGATGCGGCTGCGTGAATGTGCGTCTGCGCAGACGGCGGGCTACCGTTTTGGAAGAAGCTGGTAGCGGGAGCCACTGCCGGCAGCATTGGGGCAGCCATCGCCACACCCACAGATGTTCTCAAGGTACACAGCTGTGCGTGTATGCGTGGGCTGCGCGAGTGCAATGGTGTGACCAAGGGGCGCAGGTGCGAATGCAAGCCGAAGGTGCAAGAGATAAGCCAAGATACAAGAACACACTGGAGGGATTCGTAACTATAGCACGAACTGAGGGCATCCGTGGGCTTTATAAGGTACCTTTCATGCAATAATAACGCACCCATCATTTTTGTTCTTGTGGTCTCCTGACGGTGGAACACGTGGCTTGGCAGGGAGTCGTGCCCACAACTCAACGTGCATGTATATTATCGGCGGCCATGATGTCCTCCTATGACCACAGCAAACACTTCATCCTGCAGAAGGGCTGGATCAAGCACGACAACCTCTACGCGCACATTTGGTTCGTGGCAATTCGATCTCCTACAGTTGAATTCGTGCTGACTGCCATGCGTTGCAATCCGTCTCCAGTGCGGGTATGATGGCCGGATTCTCCATGGCCGTGGTGTCGACTCCTATCGATGTGGTCAAGACGCGCATCATGAACCGCTCGGCTGGTGGTCCTGCGCCCTACAGAGGCATGTTCGATTGTCTTGTAAAGGTACTATACCAGTCAGATCTGACCGTATTGTGATTGCAACTGACCGCTGCCCCCTTGTAACAAACCTGCAGACGGCGCAAGCTGAAGGCGTTTTGGGTCTTTACAAGGGCTTCGTTCCGACCTTCCTGCGACTCGGTACCTTGAACCCCTCTCATTTCTTACCGGCGACCTTCCTCCCCTCATCTGCGGGCGTGTGATAAAACAGGACCGCACACCATATTGGCGTTCACGATCTACGAGGAGCTCAGGAAGTGGGCAGGCATACGGCCCGTATGATATGTTCAAGTCAGGCCGAGCGCAGTGAGCGCAACACGCTTTGACGGGAACCACTTTGTTGCGAGGTTACGGAGCTTTTTCTTTCCCGCCACATTTTCGGCCGTTAGGAAATCCAACGGTCGCCCTCCATTATCCATCACTTCGATTGATTTGACGTTGACCTGCCCCGACACCATCTTCTGCCGGCACCTTTCTAGCCCATCCTTATTATTTATTTTTATTGTCGCTCGGCAGTGATTCTCCCGAACAAACAATCCATCATGGATGGCAGCGAGTTTCTGGGGGACCTGGAAGGCTCCCAAGGTTCGCTGCTCAGCTGCTCGCCCTCCGCCACCTCCCTCGACATAGACGGCTGGTTCTCGTACCTCGCCGCTCAAGAAGGTATCGCGGCTTGCCTCACCCCCCCCCGCTACACAAATCAAACACGAAATACACGGTAAATTTATTCGAGGAAATATGGAGATAATTACGTAATAAAGTTATTACTTTATTTTTATGATATTATTTAAAGAATAGTGATAATAAATATCGATATTATTAACCTATTTCGGGTGTGCCCCAGGCGCGCGACCGCCGCAGAGGCCGGTACTGCTGCAGCACGAGGACGACCCCGCAGAGGTGCTCGAAGTGCGCACGCTGGCGCCGGCGGAGCTCAGCAGCCAAGAGGCAAAGCATGGTACGGCCGTTTTGCTGGGTCCATTCCAGCGATGGTGGGAGTGTTGAGTTGCACTCACTTAACTGGACGCGTTCGCACTGCCGTGCGTGCAGATGTGTTCACGGAGGACGCCTTTCTAATGGACCACTTTGAGGACTGGCACGCCCAGGACCTCGAGAAGATCCTGGCGCGTGGCACGACTGTTCAGGGTTGGCCATCACTTTCCTCTTTCTTCCAATCGTATTCACGTTTGCAGCGATTGAGCGTGTTCTCCTTCTGTGTGTCACACACACACGTCACACACACACACACACACACAATCACGAGCAGGCGAACTGCCGGTGGCGGTGATCGATCTGCACCAGGAGGTCGAGGAGCCTCCGGAGGAGACGAAGCCTAATGCGCGGACGCTCGAGCAGGCGGAAGCCGAAGCCATCCGCGAGATGATGGACGAGGTGCGCCACAAGCAGGAGGCTGCCCCTAGGGGCGACACACACGCGACCGGTGCCGGCGGCAGCGTCGTTGATGACAACAACTACGATGACGTCGACATGGACTTTGTGAAGGAAGAGGAGGAGGAAGACGTCGACGTCGACGTCGACGTTGATGTGGACATTGAAGAGGACCACAACGAGAGGGCCGACGGCGTCGATGGTGGCGACTCAGCAGACCAGGCGTCAGCGGCGACCAAGGACGGGCGGCGGCAGAGTCTCACGGGCAGACGCAGGTGGAGGAGGAGCCTAGACGGCTCCTCGTTCTCCTCGCCCTTCTCCTCGCCACAGCCGGCATCACCCACCTCCTCTTCCACCGCCGCCGCCTCCACTTCGACTTCGACTTCGACTTCATCGCCGCTCTCGCCCTCGGCATCGTCGCCCAACCGGCTCGTTGTCAAGATGCGTCGCGTGGGCCAGGGCCTGCGAGTGTCGGGGCCTGCTTCCACAGACGAGCCGTCGGCTGCTTCGCTCGGCCCCGCGGCCGAGAAAGAGCCCGCGGCCTCGACCACGACCACGACGTCCAGCAGCAGCAGCAGCAGCAGCACGGGCGGCAAGAAGCAGCCGACGAGCACGAGCGGCGGCAAAGGTCTGCCGGCGAAGCGGAAAGACGGAGTACTGAAGAAGGTGCAGGGCTACACGCTGTTCTGCCAGGAGGTGCGGGAGCGGATCGTGAGCGAGAACGAGGGCCTGCCGTTCCGCGAGCTGCAGAAGAAGTACGGCGAGGCGTGGCGCGCGCTGGACAAGGCCGAGAAGGAGGCCTACGCGGCGCAGGCCGACGAGCTCAACCGCGAGGCCGAAGTGGCGGCCGCTGCCGAAGAGGCGGCACTCAGGGCCGCGGCTGAGGAGGAGCGGCGGCGCCGGGGCCTCGAGCGCAAGGAGCAGCTCGTGCTCGAGAAGCGGCGGCAGGAGGAGGAGCAGGAGCGCAAGATTTTGGAGAAGACGACCGGCAAGATGGTATGTCGCGCCCGGGAGCACTGAGAATGGCCACCCAGCTTGCGAGACTTGCGCTTAACGGTTGAATCTCTCTGTGTGTGTCGTGTGTCGTGTGTCGTGTGTCGTGTGCCGTGTGCCGTGTCGTGTGTGCACGTGTGTGTGTGTGTGTGTCATGTAGGTGATACCACGTCTGTACCTCGGAAGCAAGCATGTCGCGGCGAATGAGGCATGGATGGAACAGGCCAACTGCACACACGTTCTCAACGTGAGCGCCGAAGTGCGCAACTTTTTCGAGGTAACACACACACACCACACACACACACACACACACAACACAACACACACACCGCACACGCTAAAGTCATTGTCTTTTGCACGGGTGCAGAAGCGGGGAGACGTGGCGTACCATCGAATCCGAGTGAGCGACGACGGCACGCAGAAGATCGACAAGTACTTCGAGGAGGGCACCGACTTCATCCACCGGGTCATCGGCAGCTTCGTCGCACGCAAGTACGTCGACAAGGCGAACCTCGCCGCCATCACGCCCGCCGCGGTCACGGCCCTGGCGCCGGCCGACACCAGCGCAGCCGAGTCGGCCGGCGCGCCCGAGCCCATGGTCGTCGAGTCCACGGCTGAAACGGAAACGACGACCAAGACCGACATTTCGGGCCTGAAGAGCGAAGAGACGGTGATCGGCTCCGGCGAAGAGCGAACGGACGCGATGAAGATCGAAAATGAGAAGAATGAAAACGAAGAAAGTGCGGAGACGGCGGGTGAAGCGAAGGCGCAGGAGACTGCTGTGGTCAGGACGGAAGAGAATGGGGAGGGCCAGGGAGAAGGAGAGGCTCGGGAGGATGGTGAAGAAGGCGGCGGCGTCAACGGTCCGTCGGTCCTCGTGCACTGCAGCGAAGGCCGAAGCCGGAGTCCCACGCTCCTCATCGCCTACCTCATGCGCTACGCCAAGTGGTCGCTCAAGGTACGCTGAATGATTGCGTCGGGAACCGACAGTGGCCTCACCACACACACCCACCCACACCCACCACACACACCACCGCACACACAGCGTGCCTACGAGCATCTGGCGAATCTCTCCTCCAACCTCAACATCAACGACGGCTTCAAGCAGCAGCTCATGAACTACGAGCGGACCATACATTCGCTCAAAGTGCCTTCCATCGGTACTGCACCCCCACTTCGAGCATTGCACACACCGCACACACCGCACACACCGCACACGCATGCAAACGCACACGCGATGGACTGACCGTGATTGCTTGCAGACTTTTTCGAGAGGACCCTGCGTACGGTGCGGCGCGCGGTCTCGTTGGGCGGCAAGTCGGGACCGGCGCTCTCCGCGCTGTATCCGCCGTCGACCACCTCGCTCGCCTTCACCTCGCCCATGGTCTCGCGCAAGCGGCCACCACCACGCTCCGCTGCTGCCGGTGCCGGTGCCGCCGCCGCCGCGCCGACGACCTTGGACGATGTGCCGAGCTTTATCGCCACGTCACCATCGTCGTCGTCGTCGACAAAGATGCGGCGCCAGTCGACGGGCTCCAGCCACCACACGGCGCGCTCGTCTCCGTCGACCTCGGCCCGCCTGCCCTCCTTCACACCGCCGATCCCGGTCAAGCGGAAGCGCATCATCAACCGCAAGATCTGCGACGAGGAGCTCACCGTGCAGAAGAAGATTGACAGCTACTTTGCATCGCCCGCGCCGTCGACACCACTCTTTGCGCCGCCGACCCACCCGTCGTCCAAGCGCAAGGCGTCGGCAGCGGCGCAGGCGGCGGCGGCCAAGCGACGGCGGGAGCAGCTGGGCGGCAGCACCTCGGATGAGACGGACGTCGACCACTCGGGCGGCGGAGAAGCCGCCGATGCTCGCGACCATGACGACGACGAAGACGAGGAGAAGGAGAACAGGAAGGTGACGAACAACAAGCGCGGCCGATCGGCGTCGCTGGAGGGGGCCAAGGCCGCCGGGGGAAAGCGACCGAGGCGACGGCGCGATGAGGACGAAGACGACGACGATGAGGACGAAAGCGAAAGCGATGACGAGAGCGAAGAGGAGGAGGAGGAGGATAGCGAAGACGATGGTGATGAAGACGACGACGAACTCGAATACGGCAAGAAGAAGAAGAAGAGTAAACCGAAGAAGAAGCCGGCCCGCAAGAAGGTACGCGGGAAGAAGGGCGCAACAACGCCCAAGAAGGCCAAGAAAACGAAAGCGGCATCGACGCCGAAAACGAAGACGGCGGTGGGCACGAAGGACGCCGACCGCGTGCAGGAGGTGGTGTCGCCCGACCTCGGCAGCATCACCATCCTGTACCCGTTCGACGAGGAGACCGTCAAGTCGTGGTCTTCTGCAAGGTACACGTGATGATGATGCCGTAGGCAGAGTTGCTGTTGTGTTTTATGGTGCGTGTCGTGCTGTGGTTGTGGACATGTCTCTCATCGCAAGTTCCCAATGATGGCAGGTTGTCTGCGTGGAAGCTGCGACACGAAAACGCCAACGCTTACTACTACAGATTCGAAGGTGCGCCATTTGTTTCTTTATAAATATATTATTGCTTTGCTTTGCTTTGCTTTGGCTTTTGTTGTGTTTATATGAATTTATTTTCTTTTTGTTTATTTCGTGGTAATTCTCTCTTCTCACCGATCCTCTTGGTGGTTTGGCTAGACCCGGTCGTCAAGCAGTCGCATCGTGCCTCGACCACCGAGCAGAAGCAAGAGAACCACGAGGTGCGTACAAATTCGGTGCTGTGCTTGCTAGGTGTGCGGTGTGTGCGGTGTGTGTTGCTCATGCTGATGGCTGTCGGGTCCCACCGCCAGGCCTTCATGGCGCGGTACGACGAGTTTGTGCGCGAGGGCTGGATCATCGGTACGGCGTGGGGCCTCTTCTCCAAGGCCGTGCCCGGTTTTGTCGGCTATCAGGTACCGCCGCTCGACCCGCTGGCACCCCCGTCCTTCGCCTCTTTGACGGGCCTGACCACCTCGTACGCTCCTGTGTTGTGTGCGTCGTGTGTGTCGTGTGTGTCGTGTGTCGTGTGTGCGTGTCGTGCGTGTCGTGCGTGCAGTGTGCCAACTACTATCGCAAGCTCGTCAAGGACGGCAATCTCGAGGACCGCTCCTACACCACTGACGAGAAGGGCGACCTCAAGAAGGTTCAACGAGCATCAAGCAAGGTGCCACCCTCTTCACGTATCGTGTAGCGTGTGTGTGCGGTCGTGCGTGCGTGAGTACGCGTGTGCTTGTGCGGTCGTGCGTGTGCGTGTGCGGTCCGATTAACGTTAAGGGTGGGAACAGGGTGAGAACGAGACGCTGAACAATCAGCTGAACGACGTGTGGCGCACGCCCGAGGTCAAGTGGATCGAGTCGTGCGTGAGCAAGTGGGTCACCAAGTACCACGCCAAGGGCGCCGAGAAGGCCAGGGGCACCCCGCGCAAGATGAAGAAGGGCGGCAAGAACGACGACTGAGGGCGCGCAATGTTGCGACCGCAATGTGTTGTGTGGTTGCAGCGTAATCACAAAAAGACGATCGTCATGGTACACAGCAACGGTGACCCATGCTTGTGAGGCCTTGTGGCGGTAGATGATGAAGAAAAGGGCATCGCCTTTCGGGTTCGTTTTCAGTCTGTCTTCGTCCTTTCTTCTCACGCAGTCCCACAATTGTAGGTGGGCCGCCCCGACAGTGGTGGGATAAATAGGGCTGCACTACGCTCTTGGTCTCTTTGTCGTTGTTGTTGTTGTTCGCTTGGCTGAGGCGCAGACCAACCACACCACCGACCCTTGTTCTCGCTCGCTCGCTCCGGCTTTCTCCAAACAAGACCAAGACCATCAAATCCCACCACGCGTTCAACTTTCTGAAAGGCAAGCGAGAGATCTCAAGTCTACACGTTCAATCACCAAAAAGCAACAGTGATCTTTGAAATGCAAGCACCGGCCTCTGGCAAGAAGAAGGATGCGCTGCACCGGACCGCCCGGCGCAGGTACACATTCTTTTAATTGATATATTGATTTATTGCTGTATTGATTTATTATTAAACTTTATTTTCGAGGAACAGTCATTGCAGTTTTCTTTTTTATGTGTAAAATTATGATTATAACTTGTTGTGGCCTGCACCACAGGCAAGGGCTCGCAGTGTCGCCGTTTGGCGGAGCAGTACAACCTCGAGCACATCTCCTGCGGCGAACTCATGCGTCACCAGAAGGTTTGTGTGCGGTGTGTGCGGTGTGTGCGGTGTGTGCGGTGTGTGCGGTGTGTGCGGTGTGTGCGGTGTGTGCGGTGTGTGGCGCGGTGCTGACAAGTGTGTTGTGTGCGGAAACAACGGGAACAGGCCATGGGCACGATGCTGGGCCAGTACCTGGACGACCACTGGCAGCTGCACAAGCTGTCGGCCATCGCCACCGATCTCGTGGTCCACACCATCAAGAAGGCCCAGGCCAGCGGCAAGGGGTTCATCCTCGACGGCTCCCCTCGCACCCCGCGCGAGGCCGAAATGGTACGCTCCACCTCCAGACCTTCAAGCCACATGTCTGACACAACACACATGACGCACACGACACACACGACACACGACACACGACACACGCGATGTGCAGTTGGCGATGGCGTTCACAGCGAACGGGATCGGGCTGGACGGCGTGATCGAGCTGGTGGTGAGCGAGGAGGTGGCCACCCGGCGCCTGCTCGCGCGCCGCGTCCACCAGCCCTCCGGCCGCATCTACAACCTCGGCACCTGCCCTCCCCAGAAACCCGGAGTCGACGACGTACGTTTGCTCGTGTGCGGTTGTGCGTGTGCGGTGACGCGTGTGCGTGTGCGTGTGCGGTGGTGTGTGCGCTGACCCGAAGATACAGGTCACGGGCGAAGAGCTGACCCAGCGCGCCGACGATCTCACGGCCCAGGGCATCGAGGTGCGGTTCCGGGCCTACGATGCCTACGGCGCGCAGGTCCACAGCTTCTTCGAGAAGCCCGAGTCGGGCGTTCCCCTCTACTTTAAGGTGGACGCCGGCGTGGACGACCTCGACGCCGTCCACGCCGAGCTCCAGCGGGTCGTGGCCCCGCTTGTCGACATCAATTCCAAGCGCTCGGTCTTCAGCTTTGTCCGCGGCGGCGACGAAGACAAGGCCGACCTGGACGACCGCGACAGCGAGAAGGCCACCACCGCCGGCATGGCCGGCGGCCAACGCGTCGGCGCCGCTGACTCTGCGGTCATTCTCCAACAGGTCTGCACCTCCCACACGCACGCACACGCACGAACGCACCACCGCACACGCACCACCGCACACGCACACGCAGCTCTTCACAAATATCTAAACTATGTTTATGTGTGTGTCGTGCTGTGCGTCGTGCGCAGATCAAGTTGTTGGTGCGCAGCAGTAAGCCGGCGTCGCGCTTCCCGGGCAGCCACCCGGTGGCGTTGACCAGCAAGAACATCAAGCAGCTCCTGGATGATGACTACCGTGTGGCGCCCAAGATCGACGGCGAGCGCCGCTTCCTGGCCCTGCTCGACGAGCGCCTGTACCTCATCGACCGCCGCATGCGCGTCGAGCTCTTCCCGGCCATCCGCTTCCCCGCGCGCTACAACCGCACCATCTTCGACGGCGAGGTCGTGGCCGTCGATCAGCCGCCCACGGCCGAGGGCAAGAACGAAAACGAAAACGAAAGCGACAACGACAACGAAAACGAAAACGAAAGCGAAGCGACGAGGCGGTGGTATTTCGTTATCTTTGACGTGGTGTGTGCCGAGGGCGAGTATGTGTGCCACATGCCGCTGCACGAGCGGCTCAACCTGGCCAAGCCCGTCATCGAGTCGGTCGAGGCCGCCCCGTTCGAGCTCACCTTCCAGGACTACCACCCGCTCGACCGCATCCACGCCGTCTTCCGCCAGCAGCGCCTCCACCACGTCGGCGGCGGCCAAGGCGACGAAACCGAAGCCGAGGCCGGCAAAAACGAAAAAGAGAAGAGTGACGATGACGACGGCGAAGAAGACGATGACGACAACGCCAGCTTCTTCCCGACCGACGGTCTCCTCTTCGTGCCCGTCTACACGCCCTACAGGTGCGTGTCGTGTGTCGTGTGTCGTGTGTTGTGCGTGTCGTGTCGTGTGCGCTTACGCACTGACGTGTGAACCACGCAGGCTGGGGTACTGTGAGCGGATGATGAAGTGGAAGCCGCCGGCGCAGAACACGATCGACTTCACCCTCCGCAGCGTGACGACCGATGTCAGGCACGGCCACCCTGCGCAGGAGGCAAAGAGCGAAAGCGAAGGCGACGACGCCTCCCAGGGAGAGAGCGACGTCGTCTTCGTGAAAGCGGCGGACGGCGACGATAGCAAAGCCGAGGCCGAGGCCGGCGCCGAAGCCCAGGACAAAACGGGCGACGCCGAGGCCGACGCCGCTCCCGACCAGCGCCGCTACTGGCAGCTGTTCGTGCTGCGGGACAGCAACAACTACGTCTTCTACGACTGGATCGAGTTTAGCTCCGATGACGACGAAGAAGAAAAGAACGACGACGAAGAAAAAAGCGAAAGCGAAGAAAGCGACGTGGTACGACGGCACGGGCTCGACGCCGACAACTGCATCATCGAGTGTCACTGGGACCCGGCCAAGAAGATCACTCACCCGCCGCCCGCCTCGCTCCTCGACGTGTGGGGTCGCGGCTGGAGCAGCGGCAAGGGCGGCTGGCGCTTCCACAGGTGCGTGTGCGGTGCTGCGTGTGTGCGTGTGCGATGGTGTCTGTGCGCTCATGCGTGTGTGCGTGTGCGTGTGTCATCATTGCAGAGTGCGGAAGGACAAGACGACGCCCAACGCGGAGTGGGTGGTGCGCAACATCGAGGAGAGCATCTGGGACAACCTCGAGGAGGCCGACATCGGGGTCTTCGTCGACCAGAACGCCACCACCATCCGGCGGCTCATCGAGGAGGGCCCGCGCTTCGTCCGCAGCCGCTCGGGCAGCCGCAGCGGCAGCGTCGGCAGTCGCCACCACCACCACAGTTCGGGCGGAAGCCGACGCGGCAGCAGCGACAGCGGCTCGGGCTCGGGCGGTGGCGGCGGCCAACGCTACCATAGTAGTGTCGAGCACAAGCGACGCGAGCGAGAAGAGAGGGAGGAGAGGTGGGAGCGCGGCAGCAGCCGCGAGGGCACGGCCGACCACACCGGCGCCAGGCGCAGCGGCGGCGGCGGCGGGAGCTACCAGCGCAACAACTACGGCAACTCGCGGGGCTACAACTCGCGGGACTACCACCACCACAGCAACAGCGGCAGCGGCAGCGGCAGCGGCAACGGATATCGCAACCGTTCGGCGTCGGCGCCGAATGAGGGCAGCGACGACGCGGGGGCGGCCCCGAGGCAGCTGGAGAAGAGCGAGAGCTACCCGGGCGGCTACGGCACCGGCGGCGGCGGCGGCCAGCGGAGGGACTATGGCGACAGCGGCTCGTACGGGCGGTCGGGCAACTACCGCCGCGGCGGCGGCGGCGTAGGCGGAGGTGGGCGCGGAAACGAAGAAGGCGGGGAGCGCAGGGCGAGTTCGCAGTGGGGGGCGGCGAGGTCGGGCTACCATCAACAGAGCGGCAGCGGCGAGGCCGTCGACGGAGGCAGGTGGTCGAACCGAGGGACCAACCACAACAAGTCGGGCGGCGCCGGCGCCAGGGGAGAAAGAGAGTCTTTCTCTTCGCCAACCGCCGCAGCAGCGCCCAAGCCCAAGCCGACGAAGAAGGCGGCGGCCGCAGGGGAGAACAAGAGCGGCAAGGGCGGCGAGCAGAGCACCGATGGGTGGACCGTCGTAGGCAGGAAAAAGTAGATGTGATGCTCGCCGCGTGTCGTGTCGTGTCGTGTGTGCGCAAGTGTGTGCGGTTTTCTTTTCACAACAAGAAAAAAGTATTGCATATTAGAATGCACCGGTGGTGGTGTGGTGTTCGAAGAGGCAGCGCGGGGTGGTGTGGGTCGTGGCGTTGCTGCTCTCCTGTAGCTGTCGCTCCTGGGCGATGAAGTGGTCCACGATCTCCTGGTCGAGGCGGTACCAGTAGGGAATGTTCTGTACTGGCTTGGGGTCCACGTCCACCACCGCCACCCGGAACGCGTACCGCCGCCCATTTTCTTCCACCACCCGCTCGCCGCTGTCGCCCCGCACGCGCGCGCACACGTCAATCGCACGACACACGCCGCACACACAACACGACACGCACGGAGACATGACACGCCGCACACGCACCTGGTGTGGCTGGGCTGGTGGTGTGGGTCGGGGACGGGGACGGGGACGGGGAGGAGGGTGATCATGATGGAGCAGTCCTTGGCCGTCATGGAGATGAGGTAGTCCCGGATGAGCTCGACCATATCGGCCTCCTGCAGCTGCCCGCGCTTCAGCTTCTCGACGAATCGCTCCCGGTCCTCTGTGCCGCGCATCAGTGCGTGCGCACGCATGTCGTGTGCGTGTGCGTGTGCGTGTGCGTGTGCGTGTGCGTGTGCGTGCCGTGCGTGTCGTGTGTAGTGTACCGCTGTCGCCTTCGAAGAGCTGAAGCGTAGTTTCGTCCCATTCGTTGGCCAGTGCGTCGAGGCCGTGCTCCTTGATCTTCTTGTGCAGATAATAGATGCCCTCTGCCGCCAGGTCGTGAGTGGACACCCACACGCACGCACGCAGCACACACGCACACACGCACACACGCACACACGCACATGACACACGACACACACGACACACACGCCACACACGCCACACACGACACACACGACACACACGTCAAGAATCCAGAGGTGTGTGTACCGATGTCGAGGTAGTCCATCTGCTGTATGCTGCGCAGATTGGGCAGCACCTTCTCCTCGTGCAGGATTCGGCACAGCACATCCACCATCGTCGATATGCACGACCTGAGGCAACCCCACGTCGGTACATGTGCGTGTGCGGTGCGCGTGCGGTGCGTGCGTGCGGTGCGTGCGTGCGGTGCGTGTGCGTGCGTGCGGTTGTACGCAAGCGCGTACCCATCGTCCGCCGGTGCGAACACTGAAGCCATCTTTCGTTCGAGGTGCTCCAGATCGAACGTCGTCTCGCCCTTCATCTTCCCGCCCTGTTCCAACCAAAAAGCACGACATTGGCAATCTGCCGCGCCTCGTACCAGCACATCGTGCGTGCGTGTGCGACCGTGCGTGTGCGACCGTGCGTGTGCGTGTGCGATCGCGTGTGCGGTGGTGCGTGTGCGACGTACCAGGGAGCCGGTGTAGGCCAGTTCGCCGTCGGCGTAGATCTTGACGTTGTTTTGGGGCACGTGGAGCATGTCCATCAGCGCTCGCCTGATGCGCGCCGGCTCCCCGCTGAACAGATCTATCGGACAGTACGCACTACCACCCACACCCCCCGCACCACGTGAGTGTCACCGCACACGCGCGATCGCACACGCACACGGGCGGTACCTGATCTCGTCGATCTCGCCCTTCTTGAGCTTGAGTCGTTGGTGCATGCAGTAACGACACACGCGCGTCTTGATGCTGTGCGGCGCCCGAATCAACGGCGAATAGGGCAGGAAGCCCCACTTTGGCTGCGCGACACGACACACGACACACGACACGACACGCACGACACGCGCGTGAGACTGTGTGTGCGACCGCGAGCGTATGAAGTGTGGGCCGACGTACCTTGATTTCGACGCAGATGATGGGCGCGACGCGGCCGTCGGTGGCGTCGGCGTCGGCGGCGGGCGCGGCGTGCGGGAGGAGCGAGAGGTCGGGCATGAGGAAAGCGAATTTGCTGTCGACATCGATCTCGGTGTCCTTCCGGCGGAGCTCCGGCCGGCTCTGCTCCACGCCGGCGCCCAGCGCCCCGAGAAACGCCGGCGTCATCACGATCGGCACCTGGCCTCGCCCCCCAAAGCACCCCCTTCAATAACCCCGCATGTCGTGCCGTGTGTGTCGTGTGTCGTGTGCGGTGGTGCGCCGTGTGTGTCGTGTCGTGTCGTGTCGTGTGTCGTGTGTCGTGTGTCGTGTGTCGTGTGTCGTGTGTCGTGTGTCGTGTGTCGTGTGTCGTGTGTCGTGTCGTGTGTGTCGTGTGCGGTGATACCCCGGGGTGGACGTAGGAGGGGCCGATCAGGGGTCGCATGACGTTGTGCACGAACGCGTACTCCTTGAGCTCGTGGTTCTCGACGTGCACTGGCGTGCCTGGAATTCCAAGGGGGAGAGGTGAGGAATGATTGGAATGCTGACGTCAGCACTGAGGCCTCAGTGTCTGGGGCAGTCGACGGCAGCGAGGAAAGCGCACCTTGGAACCACATGAGACCGTCGGCGGGGATGTGGAGTGCGTGGGAGCCCTGCGGACCCTTGCCTCCGTCCTCCCCGTTCTTGAAGCGCTTTTCGACGCGCAGCACCTGGCCCTTCTACATACCGCACACAACACGCACGACACGCACACATGCTGCGTTAGGTGTTGCGTGTCGGGTCGGGTCGTGCGTGAGTGTGTGCGTGTGCGGGATGGGCAATGTGCGTGTGTGTCTGGCGAGTGTTGTGTTGTGTGAAGATGAGCATACGAGCGGACTGGTGGGGTTGCCGCCAGCGTAGGAGAGGACCAGGTGTGCGGCGCCCTCGCCTTTGTAGCGCCATTGAGCGACCGACTCGGTCACCAGCGCTTGAAGCGCCTGCAAAAAAAAAGTAACGACAGATTTTTAAGATTATTATTATTATTATTATTATTTATAAGCAATTAAATCCGTAATAATCACATTGCGTACCTGGATTTCCTGTGGCTGGGCTGCTGTCTTGGCCAGCGCCTCGATGAGGGATGGAATCTCCAGATTGGACTGGCGCCCCTTGATCACAAACGCTCCCGCTTCCTTGGCTTCCATCTGCGTTTTGTTGGATTTACATTTTTCTTTTTTTCTTTTTGCTGCTTTTCCACACAGAACTTATTTTCTTTTTATTTATCATTTTTGCACGCAACGAAGATGAAGCGGACACAATCGTTGGTGGCGAGACTCGCCAACAGAGGAGTTGCCGCTTCACCATGCTGCCCGATGCTACTGCGATCCAATCGGATCGCCCTCTCCTCTCAGTACCTTGGATCCCTGCTCCAATCTCCTATGCATCTCGATTTTCTTTTCTTTTGCCCGATTTCCACTCAATTCAGTGCAAATCACCCCCAAGCCCCCTACAGCTTCCTAATCGATAATTTTTGATGCAATTTATGTTTTTTAGGATTAATTTAATTTAACGATTAAATGTACGCTGTGTTGTTGTGTTGTTGCATCAAGGCGAGCCTTTGGGCAAAAGGAGCTTACCAGGTATATAACCGAGTATGTGCCGCCCACTGAGATGTTGGTGGATCTCGACGAAGAGGCCGAACGATACTACGCACCCGCTCCCCCAGAGCTTGATCCACACGGCTCCGAGCTTCAGACCTCGCTCGACGGCGGCCATGCCGCTCAGCTCGCCTTCGAGCGGTCTCTGCCTCCCAAGTCAAAGGTAATCGCACACGACCGCACACACGCGCACGCACACACGCGCACCGCACACACGACCGCACACGCACCACCGCACCACCGCACACGCACACGCACGTTCACTAATAACTCAACAACAAAGCAGGCCAGCAACTCGGTGGTGTTTCACGCGCAGTACACAGAAGAGTTTGTGGACCTCGACGAAGATCTGGACCTGCCGCCGCGGCTGGCGCCCAACCAACCCGTCACGGCCCTGCAGGTGGCGCGCCTGCTCCGCCGGTTCGCCAACACGCAGCACACGCGATCGCCCGCGCAGAACGAGGAGCTGCTGGGCCAGGTGGTGGCCCTGCTCGATCGCATCGTGGTCCGTGCCGGTGTGCCCATTCCGCCACCATCTCGCTCCTCAACGACCACAACATCAACCACTGCCGACGAACCGGAGCTCAACGAACGCTACGCCGAGCACGTGGTCCTAAGGTGTGTGTGTGTGCGTGCGTGCGTGCGTGCGTGTGCGTGCGTGCGTGTGTGCTAACTGTCGTGTGTGGTGTGGTGTGGTGTGCGGTGAAGGTCGAACCTGCCGGCCGGCAACAAGGTGATAAACTGGCGACAGTTGATCGAGGCTCTGGCCGAGGTGGGCAAGGTCGACGCCGCACTGGGGCTGTTCGAGTCGCTGGAGCCCCGATTCAGGATCATCCCCAACATCACCCTCTTTTTGTCGGTGTGGAAGCTGTGCAAGGACTACCACCGCACCGACAAAACACTCGGCTACATGGACTACTTCTTCAGGTACTATGCGAGTGCGTGCGTGTGCGGCGGTGGTGCGTGTGCGACGGTGACTGATACGTGTGTTACTTGTTTGGGAAAGTTGTCGCGCGCGTTCGGTTGGGTCGGACGATTGGGTGAGCGCGGCCACCTTCAACTACATCCTCTCGGCGGTGCGCGACGTCAAGGTGACACTCCGGGTGGTGGACAAAATGAAAAAGGAGAAGGTTGAGCTCGATGCCGGTTCCTATGAGCGTATGTCATTCGGACCACACCCTCGCACTCTTTGCTGACGTATCGCTAACATCACGACCAACGACACGACACACACGACACACACGACACACACGACACACACGACACACACGACACGACACCAGAAATCATATTCAACATGATCAAACAGGGCCAGATCAACACGGCCCTGGACTACGTGAAACTCATGAAGTCCAGCGGGCTACAACCTACCCTCAACATCTACGCATCTCTCTTCAACGTACGTATTTTTATTTTTATATACTATTTATACTTCATAATGTAATACATCAGTTTATATATATATATAAGTTAATATATTTATTATTTATATATTATTGTTTAACATTTCAAATGGTGGTTTGTGGTGCTCAGGGCTTGCTGCATCACCCGGCGGATCCCTACTACACGAACAAGGGGTTCAGAATGGTCAAAGGGCCCAGGTCTGAGGACGACCCACCGAGCGACATGAGCGAGCACCATCATTATTCGTTCTCGCTCATGCTCAAGCTCTTCGACGATCTCAAGACGCTCCACAAGCCCAACAGCGAGATCTACTCTCAGCTCCTGCGGGTACCCAAACCAACCCTCCTTTTTTTCTTCTAGGTCGTCCCGCATCATCTCATCAATTGAACGTGTGCGGTGGTGCGTGTGTGTGTGGTGTGTGTTGCTGCGTGTGCGGTCGTGTGTCGTGTTAGGCGTGCGCGCAAATGGGCGAGTACGAGAAGGCGTTTGAGCTGTTTGAGGAGCTCAAGCAGACCTGCCCGGTCCACTTCTCGCACATCGGGAGCCTGATCGCCGCGTGCGGGACCAATTGGCAGGCCGACAGGGCGCTCGAGCTGTTCTGGACCATGAGGGACCGGCACCGGGTCGACCCGTCGCCCGCCTGCCTCAACGCGCTCCTCGTGGCGCTGGTGCGCTCGGGCCGCTACGACCTGCTCGAACCCACCATGGACCGAGCCTACGAGGCCTACCAGCTGTGCGTCTGGCCCAAGACCGTCGGCTACATCATCCGTAGCGCCGTCCAGCTTGAGGTACCATTTCACACGCGCACACCCTCGCACGCACACGCACACGCACCAACGCCTTGGTGCAGGATTTGGAGTTCAGCAGGGGGTTCCTGGAGATGGTGGCGGAGAAGTGGCCGCGGACGGTGGACACGAAGAAGGTGCAGGGGCCGGTCGCCGTACTCGAGGCCAAGCTGGCCGCCCGCCACGCCGCCAAAGAGCACCACCAGGTGGCCTGAAACAAGAAAACTCACAATAAATAAATAATAATATAAAGAAATAATTAAAAGAAACAAGAATTGAATGATCAGTTGGAGGGAAGTTGGGGTGAGTGATGGTTGGCTTGTGAGGGTACTTAATGGTTTGATTATGAGAAGTGGGAGATAGGCGCTCTGGTTCGGCCGGGAGACTGCAGATCCGCGGTTGGGAACTCGTCCAATGGCCTCTTTCAAAGTAGTAAACAGACCAATCGACGCAAGGCTTTGGCGCCTTTTCGTGGGTCTGCGGATTTAGAGGCGTGGTGGAGTGGGACTGTTGCCTTCTTGTGGCGACGGAGGAGAAAGGTGGGGTGTTTTCGGACTGGTCTTGGGACAGCCGCGAACTGCACTGCGCGCCGAATTCAAGAGAGAAGTGGACCGCGGCCAGTCTCCAACCCCAGCTCGCGCCGTACCAGCTACAACAATCAAGGTTGTCACCAGAGTACCGGCCGCAGCAGAAAGCAGAAGGCCAGAAGCTGGAAACACAAGGCGCAAGGCCATTCCTCTCAACTTCCTTCGTCACTCAAACATCAGGTCAAGCAAGCAGAGGCAAGATGATGATGCTCAAGCCCAACGCCACCTTCAAGGAGTTCGCGGAGGACAACTATTGCAAACAGAGCATTCGCGTGGCGGAAAGCTTCATTCTCAAAAACACAAAGAACATCATTTGGTACAGTGTTCTTCAGGATCTGTTGGGAGTGTGAGTGCAGTGTGAATGCCGCGCTCTGACTGATGTGTGCTTGTGTCGTGTGCGGTCGTGCGTGGTGTGTGCGGCGAGCAGGGTGAACAAGGACAAGCACACGGTGGACGAGATGCAGAAGCTACTCAAGGTGAACTGCCTGCACAAGGGCGACTTCGGGTCATGCAAGGGCAAGAAGTGGATGGTGGCGGTGGACGGATCCAATTCCTCCTACCTGGCCCTCGAAGAGACCCTCAAGCTGGCCGACCCCGTCAAGGACCATGTGTTCGTCATCACAGGTACGTACCATAGAACACAACACTTATGTGTGAAAAAAAATTATGGTCTAAATTTCGTTCAAATTCACGCTCAAAATCAATGCGCATGCAGTTCGGGAGAAGACGAAGGTGTCGAAGAGGGCCAAGACGCTGGAGGCCGACGTGCGGCTCAACTTTGAGATGTGGAAAGCGGCCCGCGACATCGCCACCTCATGTGACGATCGGATGAAGGAGTCCGAGGTAACACACCACTCGTCCCATCCATTGATTGGTCAAGCACGCACGTTCTGGGCGTATCGTGCTGACCCGGAGTTGCTTCTGGTGTTGTAGTACGAGTACACTGTTTTGTTCCCCGACGCGTACGATGCCCGAAGAATGCTCGTCAACCTGTGCCACCGATTCAAGGTGGACTACCTCTGCATTGGCAAACACAAGAAGGGCGAGAGAAAGACAAGGTACTCGCTATATAGATATCTACTTTTGCCGTGTGACCGATCCCTTAAAGGCGATTTTGGTTTTTCATCATTAGGCCATTCACCTTCAAGAAGTCCATGGCCGTATACGCCAACAAGAAGGCTTTGTGCCAAGTTCTCCTCTTCTGATGAGAAAGGCCAACCTCCCGCTCCTCCGGCAGCACACTTCCTTTTTCTACCTTCTGTGCATCGTCCATTACCCTGTCCATAAAACTCTTGTTCAACTCTTCTTCTTCTTCTAGCACTTCTTCACACCACTTCTTCTCCGTATTGTAATGTCCGAGGCCCAGATCAGACAACGTTCGCCTTTTAGAGGTCCCCCAACAAAAAAACTCAAGCTCCCAGCTTGTTCAAGTTCCGCTTTTTACGGCTTTGGTGTTGCACGATAAGACAATCACTTTCTGTAAGTGAACGCCACCAGCGGAACAGGCCGGCAGTACTTATGTATTTTTTAGTAAGGGTCACGTTGACAATCAGCTGATGCACGAGTTAGATAAACCGGCTGCTGGTGTTGGGTGTAGACACTTTCAAACCCCAACAGGTCTTGCCTTATTGGGTGCTGATGGGCAACGCAACTTCCATATGCGCACGCTTGCGCAATCTAAGGTCCTAGTATGAAAGGTAGGTGGTGGAGATCATCCCCTCGGAGATCCCTAACCGTCGTGTTCGCTGCACGTGCTGTGGCAGCAATGCAGCAAGCACACACCTGCACGGCTCGCATGAAAGCAGCGCCCAGTGCTCGCAAACCTTTGAACAAAAGTAACCCTTCTCACGCACATACATACACGAAGCAGTGTCATGAAGCCAGCCCCCACATCGGATCCCTGCCCAGTGCTCTGGCACAAGGTGAGCTTGCCTGCGCCTTCGAGACAAACCACGCACTAACCACCCTAGAACACTGTAGATGGGCGCAGCTGCGGTCGAAGTGTACAGCCTGTGCCTGCAAGCGGCGAGCAGCGAGGCCTTCACTCGGGAGGACTGGTGCGGCAAGCTGCAAGAGCGCCTGACACTCATGGACACCTACGCGACGCTCCTCAAGCTCTCGCCAACACTCAGCGGCAGCGACAACACGATCAACTCTTCGACTACAGCCACTGCGGGCATCTGCGTCATCCCTCGCTCGGTGAGCTCGGGCCATCTGTCCAGCCTCCCTCCCAGCCCGCAGCCTGGTCCCGCTGCCCGATCTTCGGACATGGCCTCCCCGCCGTGGTCCCCATCACTTTCCTCGCCACAACTGGTTGATATTAGGCCGCACCCACCATCATCTTCTCCTGCTTCCTCATCCTCTACGTCAACATCTTCCACTTCGTTCAGTTTTCGCAGTTCTTCTTGTTCTTTGTCATCTTCGGCGCAGCATCGGCGAAGTTCATCCCAACATGAACAGCAACCCGTCAGTGGGTACCTCGACCCAACACCGCGCACACCCCCAGTTCCGGCCGTGCTGCCGCCTCACAGGAAGCAGTTCAAACGAAAGAGGCGTGTACACGAGGACCGCACATGTTCCGAGTGTGGACGCACCCACACTTCCCAGTGGCGCAGCGGACCGGATGGTTTGGTGTACGCCCCCCCCCTCTCCGCGCTCCTTTCTTAGATAGTGATGGCCCTCGGCTCATGGACGTAACCTAGGTGGGTGGTTGGATCAATTGATTCAAACGTTGTTCTTTTCTGCGCTCGTTCGCACACAACCAGCAACACAGCGTGACATCCAAGCTGCTAATATACAACTCTCTATGTGGCTTTCTCAGATTGTGCAACGCTTGCGGGATGAGGTACTTCCGTAAGCAGAGGCGTGTGGAGCGGGAGGAGGGCGGGGCCTACTTGCCGCAGGAGGCCGGCGACGTGATGAGCTCGCCACTCCGGCTTATGGCCGAGCAGCCCGAACCGGTGCAGCAGCATCAGCCACAACGGCGACACGTCCCGCTCGCGCCAGCACGGCTCGCCCCTCAGCTCGGCTTCAACCACGACCTTTGCCACAACAAGCGCTCCAGCATCTACGGACTCCTCAACTGAGCGCTCAACATCGAGTGTTGGCCTCGAATCGTCGACGAGGAAAATACATGATAATTCCAAACCTGCACAAATGGTGCACAAAAGGGGGAGTGCCACACAGCAACAACAGGGAGGTCGAGTAAACTCAACACAATCCTCAATTTGATTGCCAATTGGACGTGAGGAGGAGGAAGAACGTTCCCTTTTCCTCCATCCAGGGCAGTACGCGCAAGTGGACGTCTGCCTGCCCCTCCCGGTGCGCCATTCACCATTCCCATCCGCACCAAATTGTGGGTGATTAGCCAAGCTGCATTGGAGTGAATTACTTGCCATTTTCAGTTCTAATTCTTGAAATAATTACACTATTTGATAATCACCACCTTGCATTTTATTTATTTTTATTTTTGCTTCGTTAGGGATGGATTGGATCAAATGGATGGGACACGCCATCGGCGTCTCGGAGGGGGCCGAAGCACAAATCTCAGAGCCGGTGGCCAAGCTGCGCTATCTCTACAAGGTCTACACCGAAACACGAGGCGAAGAGGTACCGTTGTTCATCTGCGTGTAGCTGGCGCGTGTGTGTCGTGTGCGTGTCGTGCAGTCTCTATCTCGTCATCAGTACTCCCGCCGGATAAAGGGCGAACGCTAACCATCATCACCACCACCGACAACAACGACAACGACAACGACACACAAAACAGAAAAAAGAGGTGGCGCTGAGCAGGGTGATCCAACTGTTCATCGCCATTTTCGGACACAAGACCGCCGAAGGCGATGATGAAATGGGCGAAGGCGACCGCACGCCCAAAGCCGGATCGGCGCTGGTCACCGACCCCGCCAAACCTGATCTCGAAAGGAGGTACGCACCATCGCACACGATGAAGCACAGCTGTCGCTCACCACCAACGTGTCCGATAGCTTTGGTCGGCAAGCGAGAGAGCTCTCGCTGGTGCTCTCCTTCATGTTCGTCAACCAGATCAAGGCAGTGTGGCCCTCCACTCTGCCACGGTACGTCGTCGCCGTCGTCTGACTCGAGTACAGCGTTGGCCTACACGTTTGTATTTCTCGCTCACATCCTTGCGGCGGCTGCAGCGATCAAGCCATAGCAGCAGTGTCACACGTTTTGGAGCCACCCAAGGCCGTCGACAACCATGGCGCGATAGCGGCCCCACCCGCGCGGGTCTACGCTTCGCTCATCCTGGATACCTTCGAGATCCTCGGCACTTCCGAGGTGCGTCCACACCCCGTGCCACGTCATCAGCAGCCACAAAACACACACACCACACACACCACACACACACACACACACACACAAAACCCGAACCTCACACCTCTACGATCGCCTCCACTACAGCACTGTGTGATCAATATGGCGTCGGCGGGTGCCTTCTCGATGATGGTGCGCATACTACACTTGTATCGCTACTATCACACCAAACACGCCAGCAAAGGTCTCTTCCTCGCACCCCCGTGTGGCAATATGCATAATAATTGCGTGCGTGCGTGCGTGCGTGTGTGCGGTGTGTTCTGATTACTGAACACTCTTCGCTTGGGTGGCGCAGAGTTGACCGAACGGGTGATCGCCAACATTCTGCTGCACAGCAGCCGGTATCGCACCGTGATCGACGACCTGAGCAATGCCGACGGGCTCAAGCTGGTCTTCGATATGTCGGCCATGCATGCCCGTTTCGTTCATCCGCAGCTTCGCATCAGGTAAGTCGTCGTCGACTACCTCATCAACGCCCAGCGTGTGTGCGGTGGTGTGTGCGGTCGCGCGAGTGCGCAGCAGTATGGAGTGGCTCATACATACCCCTCATCATCAGGTTGTTCAAGATGCTCAAATCGGTGCTCGCGGAGCACTTGGACGAGCAGCTGGTGACCTACATTCGCGACCAGAGCTGCATCATCCACCAGATCGATACGCTGCGCCATTTCGACAAGTACGAGAGCGCCGATGAGATGCTGGCGATCTGGGGCAACATGACCACCGTGTTGAAGGTGCGCCCACACCAGACACAACACCAACAACCGACACAAGATTTATTCAATTTGTGTGTGTGTGTGTGTGTGTGTGTGTTTACAGCGATCGTCCAAGGTCTCGAGCATCTTGATGGAGGAGTTCCTGGTAGGCGGCGGCTACACATTCCTCAACAAATTCCTACTTCACCTCGAAAGCCTGCGCGAGCCTTCTCAGGCCGTATGCCCGCCCTCCCCTCCTCTGCATCTGAATTGTTTTTGCTCGACCTGTGACCAAGCGGCCCACTTTGGTCTGTTTGTAGGTACGTTTACTGGATCTCGTGACTAGCCTCATCTACGTCGGGCATCTGCGCCTACAGCTGCCCGAGACGCCACCGCCGTTCAACGAAGACACGATGCCGGCCCCCTCCAGTGACACGTCCGGAGGTCCGGTTCCACGCACTCACGAGCCCAACCCTCCAAAACAACATTTCGCTCGCTCACGGACATGATTGCTGATACCACTTTTTGTTTCGCGTGTGTGCAGTCGCGTGTATTCGCAACATCGACGCACTGCTCGCGCTTCAGAACTATTTCATCGCCAGCAAGAACGATTCGCTGCGGGAGAAAGTACGAGCCCTCGCGGGCCTCCAGCAGTACACTTATTGGCTTTGGTGGGCTCACCGTCAACGCACGCACGCACGCACGCACGCACGCACGCACACACACACGATTATCTCGAGCGCAGGTGTTGCAGATAGTGTCCAGCGTGTTTACGAAGAGCAAGCTCAACATCTGGCTGATCTACGCGGTGGACTACATCTTCCTGCTGCGTTTCGTCGACGGCCTGGCGGACATGAGCGAGCATCTGCAAGAGCTGTTCATCGGCATGATCGCCTACCTCGCCATGGAGAACCACTTTGTGCCGTTCAAAGAACTTCAAGGGTACACACCACACCACACCACACCACACCACACCAGAGTGCTCCTCATCAGCTTAGGACCCAAAGCGTAGCGTTCAATTTATTGATTTGATTAAATTAACATTGTGAACCACAAACATTGCCTACCAGGCTGTTCGCCATGTTCGAGGCGCAGGTGTCGGCTGAGTTGATGCGACTCATCTTGGGCATCGCCAACAAGCTGTTGGTTCACGATCCGCCTCGATACAAGGCCGTATTTCGAGGTTCGTCAGTTCAGCCAGCCTAGGATGGTCATGGCATATATTAATCTCTGATGGCATCAAACCAACCTAATCACAACGCACACGCACGACGCACACGCACGCGCACACGCACACACTAGATGCGGGTCTGTTCGACCACGTCTTCGGCCTGCTCAAGAAGCACGACGACTATCCGAGCAGCCTCGTGTCTGCCGTCCTGGCATGCGTCAAGTCGCTTCTGCGCGACAGCCCCGACAACGTGGCCCTGTTCAGGAAACTGTACGCGCACACCCCACACCCCCCAGCCTCCTGCCAAGGCGTATGACGCTCACACATCCGTCGGCTCCCCCCCCCCAATCTTGCACCAAAGCAATGGGAAGGAAATCGTGTCTTCGTTCATCCAAGAGAACGACGCCGACCTCCGTTCGTGCGCCCTGCGCCTGGTCGAGATCCTGGTCCTCGACGACGTGCAACTGACCTACGGGTACGTCGAGCCACCCAATGAGAGTGCGAGCACGTGGTTCGGTGATTTGACACCGGTGGTGGTGGCGACTCGTTGCGTCGACGTCGACAGGGAGTTTGCGACGCTGGTCGATCTGCTCAACGGCGTGCACAAGCTGGCGCACGGGCCGGGCGTAGGGAAGGACATCCTGCGCAGCGTGTCTGCTATTCTGTTGGCCGAGCGCAAGTTCAAGGACATCTTCCGCAGCGTCGGCGGATTCAAAACGCTGTCGACCGCGTTGGCCGCCATGGGCGGAAGTACGTGACACAGTTCTGTGTGTCGTGTCATGTGTCGTGTCATGTGTCGTGTCGTGTCGTGTCGTGTCGTGCATGCGTTTACTGATCGTCATGCACTACGACGTTCAGGTTTCGCCAACAGCCAACAGCAGCCGGAGGACAGCGTCAAGCCGCGGCTGTCGATGCTGGCGAATCTCTTCCGCACCCTCACCATCGCACTCTCTCGGCACAAGGAGAACAAGCAGTTCTTCCTCGACGACCAGGGCTACGGGCGCATCCTGACGGGCGTGTGCCAGCTCAAGATCCTGGACTCGGCCCACGCGCTGCTGGTCTTCGGTTCGCTTCTCCAGATGTCCGCCGAGTCGACACAGAAACTCAAGGTTCCGATTGGCGAGCACTCAATTCATTGTTCTTCTTTTTAATGCTGGGCATACGGCGATTGGTCAATGCTGACCGCACACTGCACACAGGGTGACGAGCTGCCCAGTCGGCTGGAGCGGATCCGCAACCCCGAGGTGGCGCTCATCATTCTCGAGCTGCTCGGCGAGACCATCCCCGAGGTCCAGCGCGACGTCTTCCAAACGCTCAACAACACCCTGCGATTCTCGACTAAGTCCCTGCATGCCCTGTTTTCCTCTGGTAAACATTCACCTCTCCCGGAGGAATGGCCGTGCGCAGTGACTAACGCACATGACACACACACACACACACACACATGACACACACACCCCGCCGCACGCACGCACGCACGGCCGCAGGAGTGACGAGTTTTATTCTGTCCAAGTATGCGGCAAGCATCGCCGACCCGAAGGACAAGACGCACGGGCACATCCTCAAGTTCCTGTCGACCATGGCCAGCTACAAATTCACCATCGCCGAGTGGCAGCAGTTCCTGGGCATGTTCACGCGCGAGAACCAGAACAGCAGCCTGCTCAAGACCCTGCTCCGCATGGCACGCACCGGCAACGCGCCGACGTTCGTCGAATTCGATCGCACTCGCCACCGGTACTCAGCGTGTGTGTCGTGTGTCGTGTGGCCGTGGTACCCAACTGACACTCTCTTTTGCTACGACAGAGGATACGAGTGCGTGCGCGTGCCGTCGGTGATGGACGGACAGAAGTGGCCGGCCTCGAGCACCCTCATGCTGTGGGCCTGCGTCCGGAGCTTCCGCACCGACGCGCCGTCCGACTCGGCTGCCTCGACGGACGACGCCGGCAGTGACGCGTCATCACTCTCGGGGTCGTCGTCCTTCTCCCTCCCCACTCCGATCTCGTCCACCACCGCGTCGTCGGTCTCCTTCTCGTCGTCGTCGACCTCGACCAACCCCTTCGACATCCCGTCGCCCTCCGCCCTGCCGCGCTCGCGCTCGCAGAGCTCCGTCGCCAACCCGTTTGGCGCGTCGCCGTCGTCCGCCGGCGCCGAGCCACACGGCAACCCGTTCGACACGGCCTACAGTTCCGCGCCGTCGACGGCGAGCGACAACCCGTTCGACGCTCCGCCCGCGCCAGAGGAGGCCGCCGCCGAGGTCCAGCGACCTTGGAACGGCGTCCACCTGTTCAACCTCAAGAGCGACGACGGCGGCGAGACCCCTTCGCTCAACATCTCTGGTATGTGTGCACATTCCAGTGGTGAGTGGGTTGAATGGATGAAGGGATGATCGCTGACGTTGTGTGTGTGTGTGTGTGTTGTGTAGGCTGGGCGTGTCCGGACAAGCTGGTGCTGCAGGTGGGCAACAACCCATTCCTGTACGAGGTCGACTTCCCGTTCGAGGAGGATGTGTGGTACCACATTGGCATCGTGCAGGTCAAGCAGGTCTGGGTACGTACTCATAAGAGGAAGCGGCCACCACATAATGATCATTTTTCTGTCTTACCGCTCTACGATTGCTCACACTGCGACACCACCAACACAACAGGCCACCACTATCAAGGTCTACATCAACGGCGCACTGATACAAACCATGCAAGTGGCCTCGCCTCCGCCCATCCACGGCAACATCTCCCTCACCTTCGGTACGCACTCCTTTCCTGGTACAAGCATTATTATTTTTTAATTATTTATTTAAATGAATTAATAAATTAATATGTCACTTGTGCAGGAACGCTGAGGGAGGATGCGCGAGCGTGCGATGAGATTTGGCGCCTGTCCTCATTCCACATCATGGACGGCGAGGTGCCGTCGGTCATGCTGTTCATCATCTCGCTCCTGGGACCCACCTACAACGGCAACTTCCAGGCGCCGCTCTCGCAGTACCAGACCTACGGCATCATCACGCCGCGCAACTTGTCCATCGCTCGTACGGGCCTTTTCTCCCACTCTCGCATCCGCGGCCCAGTGCGTCCACTGATCGCACACGCACACGCACACGCACACGCACGACCGCGCAACTACAGAGAGGGTGGACAAGGGCGGCTCTGCGATTCTGGACTTTGAGAACACGTCCCAGTGGTTCCCTGTCCAGCGGAGGGCCATGATCTTCACCCTCACCGCGCGCGATCTCGTTCACATGGGTACGACCACTGCACTTCACTGCACCTGGCCAGTGCCGCCGCACAGGGTTTCCAGGCTTTTGCTCATGTGATGTGTTTCCGCAGTGGGCCGAGCGCACATCAACCTGTTGATCGAGGGCGCACACGTCTACCAGCCTCTGACGCTGGTCCATGCCATCCAAGCCCTCGGAAGTGTTAGCACACTCCTCCTCTTTGTCTACCACACCAAGGTACGCGCAGCCGCATATTACGATCATAATAAAATGTAAGAATATAGTATTATTATTATTATTATATTAAATATTATTTATTAATTATTCAATATGGTGCAGGATGCGCGCGAGCTTGAGATCGCCCTCAAGTTGGTGCAGGAGCTGGTGTCCAACAACTACATGCTCTCCAAGGCCATGGAGGAGGAGATCCCGACGGGCGAGGACGCGGACGGCCCGCGTTTCAACGGCTACCAGCTCCTGGCGCACCTGCTCCACGCCAAGCACGAATTCCTGACGGCCGACATTCTCGAGGTCGTGTTCGAGTGGGTCGGCATCGGGCTCTGGCAGCCGACCGCGACGCGTCGACAGACCCAAAATGTCGACGACAACAAAACCGCAAGCCCCACCACCAGCAGCGGCAAGACCAGGGCCGGCACTGGCGCCAAGAGCGGCGAGCAGCCGCCCAAGGCGAGCGAGCGCGAATGGAGCAACAAGGAGCGACGCGACGACAGGCGCGAACGGCGGGCGGCAGGCGATGGGCGGTCCGCCCTGGGCGGCGGCGTGCTGGCCAACCCGTTCGTGTTCCGGCACGTCCTGCTCGAGCTTCACCTGTGGAACAACTCCGTGGGCATGCTGCAGCTGGTGCTCCAACGCATCGCCAGCCTCGTGTCGCCAACAAACATTCACCACAAGTACAACCTGTACCGGTACGTGCTGAATCGCACACGCGCACGCGCACGCACACGACCGCACACACCGCAACACTCGTGCACAGACAAGAATGACCGGAATTCGTGTACAGGCTGAGGGAGCTGGACGTTCTGGCGACGCTGTTCGGCATCATGAGCGACGTGAGCACGCCGGAGGTCATCTTGCCATTCGCGGTGGACCTGGTGATGCAGCTCATTGCGATTGACGTGCGCTCGAGCGACCTCCAGCAGCTCTGCGACGTGCTGCTGCAGACGATAGTGAGCGTGGACGCGCGTCGGGCCCGGGTCAACTACGAGGCGACGATGGCCCGCGCCAAGCAGGCCTCGCAGCCCAACTCCCCGCGGGGATCCGACGGAAGCCAATCGAGCGAGAGCAACAGCCCCCGCGGAGCTTCCGCCACTGGGCGTCATCAATCATCCGCCACACCTACCCTGCTCGGTTCCGCAGGTACGAGTTTGCGTCGATTGCTGTGTGCGCGTGGCTCAAACAACTTCTGACTCGTCTTTGCCCACACACCACACACACACAACACACACACACAACACACACACACACAACACACACCGCATTCAGGGTCGCAAACGGGCGCTGCGGCGAGCCGCGGATTGATCGTCAGGAACCACCTGCTACAGATGCTGATCGACCTCATCGCCCAGAACTGGGCCGACACCAAGATCCGCGCCTTCACCGACGTACAGTCCACGTTCTCCCCAAATTTCTCCCCCAATTTCTGCCCCTGGAACTAACAATGCTTGGATGATATGCATCAGGTGCTGACGGTCGAGTGGCTGATGCACTTCATGAACGGCTACATGCACGGCTCGTCCATGGTGCTCGCGGTCAACCTGGTCTGCATCCTGTACCAGGCCTCGCTCGAGTTCCAGAGCTCCTTCCGATCACAGAACGGGTACGCATGTGTGTCGTGTGCCGTGTGTCGTGTGTCGTGTGTCGTGTGTCGTGCCATGAGCACCATGTTTTGTGTCGCACTGACGACGAACCCATGGTCTGGGTCAACAGGTTCCGGGTGATGCAGCAGGTGGTAGTGCACTACTGCACGTGCGTGGACATCTACTACGCTGCGTTCGCCCTGCTCGTGGGCTGCCCCATATCACGGCTCAAGAAATCGCCCAAGTTCGAACAGCAGGCCCTCGTCGACATCGTGCAGGTACACTACCGTCCCCTTCAATTCTAATGCATCGAGGCTCTTTGCTAACACGCACCCACTTCGCACCACGCACAGGCATCGAAACAGATGGTGGTGTGCGGCGAGGCCATGACCCTCATTCTCACCATGCTCAAATCCAACATCGAACTCTCAGGTACTCAAACTATTAGATGATTATTTAGTATTCATATTATTCAGCAATTAAATATTTACATTTTCTTCCCTACAAAGGTGGCCAAGCGGAGGAGCGGAAAGAGGGCGAGGACGATGTGGTGCGCTCGGCCGAGCTGAGCATTCTCGTCAACCGGGAGGAACCGTCCGAAGCCTTCCACGCGGCCATCCTGCAGTTCATCCTCTACCTCTTCGACTGCTGCATCAACTTCCAGCAGCTGTGCGCCTCGCCGCCGTTCCTGTATCGGCTGGTGGACCTCATGTTCCCGCAGGGCGTCCTGGCCGCCACCATCACCGACCAGCTTCTCTTGACACACGTACGCCCCACACGCCCTCTCTCACTTCCCACAGTCCGCTGACCACACACACACACACACACACAATCACACACACAACATGTTGTTGTATAGACGACGGCCTACATGGAGCCCATATTCACGTTGATCTCGCGCACCATGGACACGGCCCTGCGGTCGATGGCCGATGGCCACACCGTCATCATCAACATCTGCGAGGTACGGACAGACGGCGGTCGACTGGGCCTCACACGTCAGGCTGACGTGTAACTTTGTGTGTCGACCGACGCGCAGGCGGCTCCGGGCGCACGCGAGGAGCGAGAGATGATGGCCTACGAGAACCAGGCCCTGTGGACCATCCTGGAGTACCTCAACAAGGCTGTGACGCCCGACCAGCTGCTGGAGAACGCGCAGCTCGCGACAAACCTGGCCGGGTTCTGTTCAGCGCTGGTCGACCAGGTGGAGCTGCAGGCCTTCCCCGCCGGCAAGTACAAGGTGTTCCAGTTCGTCATGAAGTATCTGCGCCACGTCACCACCGCGCAGCCCAGCGGTATGCTCACGACACACACAGCACAAACGACGCGACACGACACACGACGCACGACGCACGAGTGACTTACCTCGTAACGGTGATAAGCAGCACGAGGCAACGCGAAGGTGATACGCGAGGCGCACAAGGCCGGGAATCGGATCACTGTCTACCTGCTCAAGGAGAGCCGGACCCACACGGACGACCTCCTCCGCATCCTCAAGAAGATCGTCAACCACCAAGCCGTCATCATATCCGGTACCATTTATTATATTACTTTATTACTTTATTATTGTTATTATGGTTATTATTATGCTAAACATTATATCCGGGACAGAGACGAACAACGACAAAGAATTCTTCAGCTACCTGTGCCTGGCCATCCTGCCGCTGCTGCTGCACGACAATCAGCAGATCACGCGCTTCTGCGCACAGATCTTCAAGCTGCTCCTGCTCGCCAAGGAGCAGTTCATGCGCGACGTGCTCGTCAGCCGTATCCAGGGCGAACTGGTGGACCTCAAGACCAACGGCTTCGAGCTTCTTCTCTCGGTATTTCATTGCATGCACACGCACACGCACACGCACACGCACCACCGCACACGCACATGCACACAGGGTTCACCACACACTAACACGTTCTATTGCCTTCTTGTGTGTGAATTCACGAAGGATGTGAATGGTTTCAATTTCTGGGTGGCCAGCGCGCACCCCACGGTGACGCGAATCTTCAAGCAGCTCCTGGGCAAGAGCGCCAAAGCCTTCACCCACGCCGAACAGCAACATGTCGACACAATCTCCAAGTACTGTTATCGCTTCTGCCCCCGCCCCTGCATGTTCATACTCATATTAGCCGGTAACAAATTGTCGTAACACATGTGTGAAATCGGTCGACAATATGACAACAGGCAATGGAAGAAGCGCCGAAGGTCGATCGTCGTTAAGTACGAGAAGGCCGTGCAGGCCGAAATCATTCACCTCTCCAAGGTCGACCTGTCGCGCCGCAATGCCGCGGACCGCTTGGTGGTGCGTGTCATCTCCCAAGTCTTTCGTTGTGTGTGTGTGTGTGTGGTGTGTGTGGTGTGTGTTGCTGCGTGTGCGTGCTTAGTGGCGGCACTAACAACGGGGGTCGTGTAACAGGCCAAGGGCTGTGGCAGCGTGTACTTGAGCGCCTGGCAACAGGCGCGGTACCAGGAGGTGATGGCCTACCACTGGATTCAGCTCTACCGGTCGCGCTACCTCTATGGGGAGACCTCCCTCTGGCTCCCTCTCGCTGCCTCGCCGCTCGACAAATGGCGCCTCGACGAAACCGAAGGGTACCATTTCCCTCAACCCATGTCCTGTGTGTGTCGTATGTCGTGCGTGTCGTGCCTCGTGTTGCGTCGTGTGTCGTGTGTCTTGTGTCGTGTGTTTAACTAACGTGTACCTTCCGCTGGCATAGCTCGAGTCGTATGCGGAGAAAGTTGCAAAGGAATGAAGATTTCTACCAGAACTATCCGCATTTGGAGCCCGGCAATAACCTGGTACGCCGCAAGAAGCGTTTTTGGTCCCCTCACCATTTGGCTGACGTCATCAACCGCGTTGATCTGCCTCAGCTGCCGACGAGCAAGGACACGCGTGAGTTCCTGGAGAAGCTGGCGCCGCTCCCCAACTACGCCCACACGCTGGCGGCGCTGCGCACTGCGGCCGTTCCGCCTTCGCCTCTTCTCGAGGCATCCGCGGCGCCGCCGCAGGAATCGGCCTGCGAGGACTCCCAGACCCTGACGAACGAAGACGAGAGTGGCGAGGGAGAGACGAGGGTGAATCGAGCCGACGACAGCGACAGCGCAGACTCGGACGACAGCGACCAGCAGAGCCTCGCCACGCGGCCACCCAGGCCACTATCTCGTACGTGTCGTGTGCCGTTTGTCGTGTGCCGTGTGTGCCGTGTGTGCCGTGTGTGCCGTGTGCCGTGTGCCGTGTGCCGTGTGTGTGGTGAAGAGTTCTGTAAATCGCTGAAATATTTGCGGGCGTCACGTAGTGCGAGGAAGCAAGAAGCAAGAGGTGATGGAGCTCGAGGAGGAGGATTGGGAGGAGGACCACGTGGATCCCGTGCAGGCCAGCATGGACGAGATCGACGTCGAATTCCAGCCCGTGCCCATCGAAGAGGTGCGGCCCGGTCGTGTTTATTTTTGATTTTTTATTGATTTTTTTAATATTGATTTTGACGGCTGCGTTGTTGGTGCAGGGCGGAGAGGACAAGAGCATTGACGGCATGATCGCGCGCCTGCTGGCCCCGGGAGACTGTCTGTCGCTGGCGCCCGAGGAGCTCTTCCTCTGCGCTCGCGTCTGTGTTGTGGGCCTCATCAGTACGCGCCATTTCCGTTTTTTCTCACTGACTTTCTGCTTGTCGGAGCTTATCGCTTTTCGCCACACACACGACACACACACAACAGAGGGTGTATTCTTGATCGCCAACAAGCACTGCTACATGATCGAGAACTGCACCATCGGCGTCAACCGCCACCTGTACATGCTACCCGACCGACGGTCCAAGAAGGAGCGCCTCCTTAAGGGACCCTTCATTCCCGTCCTGCACCGCTGGTACCCTCTTGCTCCCCCCCCCGGCCCAGGGCCTAGACTAGCGTGAATTAATGTCGACTACGAATGCGATTGCGGTGTGAGCGCAGGGCCTACGAGGAGATCAAGGAGGTGATCGGGCGCAAGTTCCTGCTGCAGCCGCTGGCGATGGAGTTCTTCTCGTCGAGCGGGGCCACCCAGTTCCTCATCTTGTCGCTCCACGAGCGGGACGCGGTGCTGCGACGGCTCAACACCATCGTCAACGCGCTCAAGCCGGCGAGCGAGGTCAAGAAGGTGCCCACGCCCATCGGTCTCGACTTGCCGCTGGTTCCGCTCCGCAGGGCTTCCATCGACGGTACGATACCGCACACGCACGCGCACTCGACTTTGCATCATGTTTCATTAATATTTCGGTGGTTCAGCTGGGGACCAGACGTGGGGTTCGATGGCCAAGGCTGCGGCGGGCCGGCTGAAGAGCTATGCCAGCGGCATCGACCCGCTCAACGAGGGCAACGTGCTCACCCTGTGGAAGAAGACCGCCATGCAAAAGTGGGTCGAGGGCGAGATCTCCAACTTCCAGTACCTCATGGTACACACGACACACACTATCGCTGTACACACACACACACACACGACACACACACACGCACACACGCAGCTAACATCGTCATGTGCAGCATTTGAACACGCTTGCCGGGCGGTCGTTCAACGACTTGTCGCAGTACCCGGTGCTGCCCTGGATTTTGGCCGACTACTCGTCTTCCGAGCTCGACTTGGACGAACCCCAGGTCCGCAGTCCCTCCCTCTCTAATTAAGGTGGCTGTCACGCGTGGCAGTCTCACTCACCGGCGATCGCTGTCGGTGTTGCTATTTATGCAACAACAGACCTACAGGGACCTCTCGCGGCCCATGGGCGCCCTGTCGTCGGCCCGGGCGGCCAAGTTCCAGGAGCGGTACGACGAGTGGGACGAGCAGGACAACGAGGGCGTGCCCAAGTGGCACTACGGCTCGCACTACTCGTCGGCCGGCATCGTGGCCCTCTTCCTCATTCGCCTGGAGCCGTTCACCCAGCACTACGTGCGGCTCCAGAGCGGGCGCTTCGATGTGCCCGACCGCATCTTCTGCAACATACAGTCCTCCTGGTGCGTGTCTGCGTCGTCGCATGTATTAAGTGTGTGCGTGTCGTGCGTGTCGTGCGCTGTGTGTGCCCTGTTGCTCATCAGTGCCTACAGGGAATCGGCATCGGGCTCGGCGGGCGATCTCAACTTGTCGGACGTGCGCGAGCTCATCCCCGAATTCTTGTACGTGGTCCTCCCTTGGTCAAGAAGATGAGCTCTGGCTCACGTAACGCGCTTTGTGTCGTGTGTGTCGTGTGTGTGTCGTGTGTGTCGTGTGTAGCTACCTCCCCGAGTTCCTGGCGAACAAGAACCGATTCAACTTCGGCCACAAGATCACGGGCGAGGAGATCGACGCCGTGGGCCTCCCGCCCTGGGCCAAGGGCGACCCGCAGCGCTTCATCTGCCTCCACCGCCAGGCGCTCGAGTCCGAATACGTCTCCAACCACCTCCACGAGTGGTACGCCGACCCACTCCTAATTATTTGAACTATGCGCGATTCTTTTGCCCATGCATTCCTCACACGTTCCATCAGGATCGACCTGATCTTCGGGCACAAGCAGCAGGGCCGCGTGGCCAAGGAGAGCCTGAACGTGTTCTACTACCTCACCTACGAAGGCACGGTGGACATCCGCAGCATCGAGGACGTCGACCGGCGCAAGGTGATGCTGTCGCAGATCAACAACTACGGCCAGACGCCCGCCCAGCTCTTCAAGAAGCCCCACCCGCGGCGCCGGGTGGTCGTGCCCCCGGCCTCGCCGCTCCAGCAGGCCCACAACTGGGAGCCGTTCGTGTTCGCCGAGGCGAGCGGCGCGATCGGGGCCATGTCCCTGGTCGACGGCCGCATGACCATCGTCCCGCCCTACAAGGCCTTCATCGCACGCGACGCCGCCAAGTGCATCGCCTGGACTCGATCCACCGCTACCCTTCGCCTCGTCTCCGCCTCCTCCTACACCAAGGTACACACGCAACCACTAATGTGCGTCGTGTGTGCGTCGTGTGCGTGCGTTGCAATTCAGTGACTAAATCGTCTTTTGCTCGCAAGACGTTTAAAACGTGGGAGAACATCGTGGGCTGGGGCGAGCTGCTGAGCGTGACCCTCACGGAAGACAGCAAATTCCTCATCACCGCCAGCTCCAACACGGTGCGGACACCCTTTGCCTTCCCTTTCTTCTCTCTTTTCTCTTTCTTTTTCGCTTTGCGGCGTCAGCTGACGCGTGCACCACCATCTGAACGCCGCGGCCAGGTGGTCTCCGTGTTCCGTTTGGACCGGAACGAGGGCGAGCAGCGACTGGGCAAGAGCAGAGAGAGCGCGCAGAGCTCTGCGCCCAAGTGTACGCTTTGCCCCACTACCCCCCGCCCGTTCTGTTTTTCTCTTTTTGATCTTTCTTTCCGTTCTCTCTCTGTGTGTGTGTCGTGTGTGTGTGGCCGCAGATGATGCGACGTTTGAGCTGAAGCACTTTGGAGACCTGTTTGGCCACCGCGAGGCGGTCACGCATGTCGTCGCGTCTCGACTCCACTCTCTGGTTGTGTCCGCTTCAACGGTACCTGGTCTCCGCGGCACACGACACATATGGTACCCGACGCGCGTGTCGAAGGGAAATACTGATGTTTTGTTATTTTGCTTCTTTGACAGGACAAGAAGGTGATGGTGTGGGACCTGCTGCGATTACGACATGTGCGCACGCTGCCCGAGCTTGCCCGACCCATCACGGCCCTCAAGATTCAGCCCTTGACGGTACACACAATACCAGCACGCACACACGCACACACGCACACACGCACACACGCACACACGCACACACGCACACACGCACACACACACACACACACACGCACACACGCACACACACACACACACACACACGACACACACGACACACACCACGAGCAATTTTTGGTTACTCAACACGCACACGACGTGCAGGGCAACATTGTGGTCTGTACAGACAGAGAGATCACTCTGTGGAGCGTCAATGGCGATCTGTTGGCCTCCAACGGGTCGCTCCGCCCGACGGAGCCCATCACGGCGGTGGAGTGCGGCCACGGCCAGGAGTGGGAGCCCCACAACATCGTCTACGTCACCGGCCACGCCGACGGCTCCATCGAGGTTCGTTCTCTCTTCTTCGTTGCTTGTGCTGCGACCGTGTGGAACTCATTTCTTTTCTTTCTCTTTCCTTTTCTTGTCTTTCTGTTACAGTTCTGGGGCGTGGTGGAGGACCAGCTGTGCCGACTGCAGCGCTTCGGCGCGCCCACCGCTCAATCCCCGGTCACTGCTCTCTACATGCGACCGTACGCCGTTTTACCCTCCAAACCCACCGCACTCGCGCACACGACACGAGACACGACACAACCAACTACACGCAGCGATCTCACTGCCACTGCTCCTGCTACTGCGTACGCAGAGACGACAAGGCGCTGTACAGCGGTAATGCGACGGGACAGGTCATCTTGTGGTCATCCCAGGAGGAGCTCGAGGCCGAACGAGCCCAGAGGAACAAGGAGATCTCCACCTCCCTCTCGAGGTACTGACGGATCAGCCGTCGCACACGACGCACACGACACGCGCACCGCACACGTGTGCGACGCAAGTGTTGGTACTCACGAACGCGGCCAAACAAAAAAATGAACTCTGCAGACCACCGTCGATGAGCGAAGCTGGCGTCGAGGGCAGTCCGCTGGCGGACGCCGCGCACGACCGGTCGGTGGCGCCACGGCGCGGGACGGGCGGCAACGGCGCGAGTGGTCTGGTGGACATCTCGCCGCTCCGCAACCTGGCCCGGACCACCACCTACCTGCCCAGCCTGCCGAGCTTCGGCGCCGGATGGCGTCACAACTGAGCGCTCAGCTTGGGTGCAGGGTCGGCTCGAGTGGGTGACAAAAACGAAAAGTTTTTTATTGTTTATTTTTGCCATTTTCGCTCTTTTTTGGTTTTATTTAGCATTTATTTTTGTGTGCGATTGGTGGGTTGGAAAAGCGCGTGAAAGTGAGAAAGCGGAAGTGAGCTTTGCTGCGGAGCACCAACGCGCGGTGGCGTAGCGACGAGTTGGACGCCGACGGACACGACACTGACGAGACAATACAAACGCAACACCATCACCACCGTCACTTGCCCCGCCCGCCCCGCAAGCTCACGACGTAGAAAGAGCGAAGGGAAGAAGAACGAAAGCGACAGCGGAAGAAGAGCGAAGAGAAGGTGAGCGACACAGAACAGATATCAAAATGTTGCGAAGCAAGAAGGTGAGGTCATCCAGGCGGCTGGATGAGGAGTGGGCAGCGAAGGAGGCCGAAGATGAAAAGTCGAAAAAGAAAATCAAAAAGACGCGATCTTCCATCTCCCTGGGGAAGATGAAGCCGGTCGACGGCATGATGGTGGAGGAGGACCCGAAGAAGTTGAAGGCCAGCGCCCCATCCAAGATCATCAAAGACAAGCATAGCTCTGAAAAAAATCTCGGCCAAAAAATCATCATCATCATCATCGAAATCGCAACACCAAAAGATCAAGGTCCAGTTCGAGATCGTATTCGTAGGCCTCCGCAATCTGCCGACCAAGATGCACGAAGATGGAAGCAGCGTGCTGGTGCGGTGGAAGAGTTCCACCAAGCGCAAGCAGAAGGAGAAGACGACGACGGCATCGGGCCAGAGCGTACGGAGCAAGGCCGAGACCCAGGCGGCGGTGGTCAAGCCCACGGGCCGCGCCGGCTGGGAGGGCGTGGGCTCGCCCGACGGCGAGACCTTCGTCTTCGAGGAGAATCTCAAGTACGAGGCCAACGCCAAGAAGTTCGACTCCAAGACCATCGAGCTCGTGCTCAAGGAGGTAAACTCCACCGCACACGCACTACCGCACACGCACACGCACTGCCGCACACGCACGTGGCGGAAGAAGCTGAAGGAATGTAAAAATTGTATGCGTGTTGTGTAGATCAAGGGCAAGAAGAAGAACCACCTGTACAAGCTGAAGGTGGACGTGGGCGAGTTTGCGCACAACGGGAGCACCACCAGGAAGGAGATCGCCTTTGGCGGCGGCGGCAAGTCCAAGGACGAGGGACCGATCCTCACCGTACCTCCTCCACTTCTCTGCTTTTCCTTCACATGCCCTGTCTTGATCCTTACACAACACGACACACGACGCACGCACGCACGCACGCACACGCACACGCACACGCACACGACACACGCACACGCACACGCACGCACACGCACGCACACGCTGTTCAGGTGATATTCAGGGCAAGGTGGCTGATGATCGACAACAAGGTCCTCGTCAAGAAGTGCGTGCACGCTCCCGGTCGTGTGTTGTGTTGTTGGCTGGTTATGCGCTGATGTTCGTTGTTGTCTTCATCATCGTCGTTGTTGCTGCTGCTGCAGGTACGGCGCTGGCGAGAATGGACAGCAACAGGAGGACTACGACCTGCTTACGGTACTGAGCCGGCCATGAGTCATCCTTTTTCTTCTTCCTTCTTCTTCTGATGAATCGTGTGTCGACTGACGCACCACAACGAACGAAGGTCGACGAGGGAGACATGTCCGAGAGCGAGGCCGAGACCGACACCGACTTCTCCGAAAGCGAGTCCGACATGTCCGTACGTGACACTCCCCCCCCCCCTCTTGTCGCCTTCGTTCTTCTCATTCGTTCTTTTTCCCGTAGGAGTCCGAGTCGGACCTGGGATCGGACTCAGAGTCGGACTCGGGCGGCAGCAGCCGACAACGGAAGAAGAGCCGAAGCGGCGGCGGCGGAAAGAAGGCGTCGTCGGCCGAGCTCGAGAAGGCGACGAAGGCGGCCAAGAAGCTGGAGGCCCGGTGCAAGCAGCTCGAGACGATTCTGCTCGAGACCAAGCGCGAGCTGGCCGAAAAGAAAGCCGACAACATTCAGCTCCAGCGCCAGCTCAAGGAAAAGGAGGACCAATTGCAGCAGCTCACTGCGTCGTCGACATCCGCCAAGTCCAGCTCGGGCTCGATCAGGCTTTCGGGCGGCGGCGGTGGTGATCTTAAGAAGGCGGTGGACGAGCGGGACCGCAAGATCGAGCGGCTGGAGGCGAGCCTCAAGGGCAAGGACGACGAGATCAAGGCGGTCAAGAGCCTGTTCCAGGCCGAGATCGAGGAGCTGAAGAAGAACAAGAAGCGGCGCGAAGCGGAGGATGACGACGATGACGACGATGACGATGGCGACGATCAGGAAGAGGAGTGGCAGATGAAGGTGGATCGCGCGGCGGCCCTCTTCGACTTCAAGGCCCGCAACGATCAAGAAATCTCCCTCACGTACGACACACACGACCGCACACACCACCGCACACGACACACAACGAACGCAGCGGCGACTCACACGACGTGCACACGGGTGCAGAAAGGACGAGGAGTTCTATGTGACGGACAGGGATCCGTTCGGGGTGGGCACCTTTGCGAGCGAGTGGTGGCGCGTTGTGCGACGAAACAAGGACGTGCGCACCTCGGACGCCTCCGATCCGGGCAGAGGCCGCCAGGTATCGTGCTTCCCTCATACAGTGACGCCTCGAGCTCTCCACTTGTTGACACAACACACCGCACACTCACACGCACACGACGACACACGACGACACACACGACATACGACACGCACCATCGCACACGCACACGCACACGCACACCCACATCATCCAGGAGGGCCTTGCTCCGATAACCTACTTCCGGATCACGCGACCGGCGCAGAAGGAGTTGAGCTTCAAGGTGTCCACTAAGAAGGCGTCCGCGATCGCCGAGCTGCAGCGACACTGCGGCTTTGCCGGGGCGGCGGCGGCGAACGGCGGCAGCCCGAAAGCAAAGAAGTCGAAGAAGGAAAAGAAAGCGGCTCAATCTCCGACGAAAAAGAACGAAAGCGAAGACGAAGACGACGGCGGGCAGGGGGAGGGGGACGACGACAGCGGCAGCAAGCTGAAGAGCCTGCAGAAGGACCGGCCCATGCAGTCCGGCAAGCGGCTCCCCTCGCGCTTCCTCTCACTGCGCAAGAAGACCAAGGACCGCGCCAAGCTGGGCGACCATCTCGGCGGCAACGGCGACAACGGTGGCGACAACAAGTCGTCCCCAGGCAAGAAGAAGAATGCCGACGACCATCACCAGCAGCAGCTCAGGGAGAGCGACGTGGTATCGGTCAAGGCGAAGGAGGTCTACATCACGTCCGACGCCGAGACCAACCGCGTGCTGGGCGACCTACAGAAGGAGCGCGAGTGGCGCGATGTGATCGAGAAGGCGGTCTACTGCGCGGACTTCACCCAGTTCGTGGCCATCGCGGCCGGCCCGAGCTTCTCGTCTTCGTCGGCCTCGACGCCAACCCGGGCCGGCGCCATGCGGCGCAGCAACGGCAACAAGTCACAGAAGCCGCGGAGCTATAACTCCTATTCGAGCGGCGACAGTGCCGAGAGCGACAGCGACAGCGACGATTCGACGTCGAGCAGTCGGTCGAGCAGGCGCGGCGGTGACGAAGACGACGACGAGCGCGAAGAGAAGGTGCGTCCAGCATTCCATACCAAACATGCCACACATACCTCAACTGGTCACTGTCGTGGTCGTTGAGCAGATGTTGGCCGGCGTGCACGAACTGGTGGCCTACATCAAAACGCGGAAGGTGTTCGAAGACCCGGAGACTTCGCTGTCCTTCGTCCGACCCTTGCGCACCGCCCTTCGCGCCACCGTGCAGGTAACCGCACACACCGCACACACCGCACGCACGCACACCGCACACGGTGGACTGACCATAACGATGGTGGCATTCTTCAGAGGAGCAAGGGCGATTTCCGTGGGCTGGCCTCGGTTTTGGCCTTCACGACGGCGCTGCTCCACTGCCTGAAGACGCAGAAGAACTATCTCCACCTGCCCCCGTTCTCCGATGACCGCGACAAGTTCTTCCAGGCCCTGTTTGTCGACCCCAAGGAGAAGGGCATCGCCACATTCACCGGTACACGCACACACCACACAAACACACGACACACGCACATGTGGCACGCACGCACGCAAGCGCACACACCCGCATACACGCACGCACGCACACACACCACACGTGTGTGACGGATCTCGATGTACATGTTCGCGATCTTAGCTCATGCCGTGGTTGTGTGCGTCGCAATAGAGGATGTGGCCAGGCGCAAGAAACTGTTCAAGCTGGCCAGGAAGAAGGTCGATGGGCTCACCGAGGCCGAAGAGCGGGGCCTCGGCAGCTACAAGCTCATCGTGCGCTCCCTGGTGGTGCTTGTTCTCGAGATCTACCTGGCACTGCTCAGAGCCGTGGAAAAGGTAAGCCCTACAAGATAAAAGACTGCAGCCCGTTATGCCGGCCTGTTGTGTCGCAATGCGACCCTTGAAACCGGTGTAGGTTTCGCAGGACTTCGCGATCGCGCACCACCGTACACGCACGACACGCACGCAAACGCGCACACACGGACGACTCACAAAAGTGTGTGCTAGGAAATTGGGCCGCAGATGGTGCCGGCGATGCTGGAGCAGCCGCCCGACTTCTTCCACCTGTTCATGAACAAGAGCAAGAACCACTTCACCTATACCCGGTACCCTCTCCATTTTTGCACATCCTTTTTCCTCCCAAACAGAAACACGTGTGTTGCGTGTGTGCGGCCTGGCTTTGGTTTTGGTCTGTGATCTGTGCTTTTCTCCACAGCAACCGATCCTTGGTTCATGGAGACACCTCACCCCAACCACTTTTTCAAATAATAAGAATAAATAAAAACAAAATAATAAATCAACAAACAAAAAAACAATCTAAAGTGACACAATACACCGGAAATGCAGGCCCGAGGAGGTGATGACGCAGCTGACGCGACTGCACTCAGCCATGGTCGCCGCCGGGGTGTGGGGCGCCATCATCCGCCAGTTCTTCGTCGACGTGTACCAGGCCATCAACGCCCGCCTCTTCAATGCCGTCATTGAGCGGAGTGACCTCTGCACCTCTGCCAATGGTACCTCCCACTTTCTCCCCCTCCCTCCCTCGCTTTGTATGGTGTGTGTGTGTGTGTGTGTGTGTGTGGCTGTGTGCGTTCGTGGTGTTTTGCGGTTGCAGTTGTTCATCTGTTGTTCATCGCAGGCTTCCAAATCAAGACGGCCATCTCTCACCTCACCCAGTGGGCCGACAACACGCGCTTCTTGGACCCCGTCGCCACCAAGTGCGTCGCTTTCCCTGCGTATATGTGTCGGTACGCGGTCGTGTACTCACTTTGCCTGCACAGGAAGCAACTGGCCCACATCACCGAGGTCACTTCGCTTCTGGTGCTCGACATGAGCGTCCTGTCCAACGAGTCCGATGTCCGCGACGCCTTCCCCACACTCTCGCCCAAGCAGCTGCTCCACCTCGCCTCCTCTTTCCAACCCGACTCGTACGCTCACTAGTGCTTTATTTTGTTATTTTCTCGTTTCGTTTCGTTTTTCGTTTCGTTTCTTTGACTGTGAGACCGGGTGGTGACCTAGGGCAGCGCAGCAGCTGGCGTTCCTTGGCAATTTACGTTTGTGTGTAACGTGACTCATCCACTCGTCTGCTCGTCGTGTGCTACACGGTCCGTGTCATGTTGTGTGCGTGTGTCGCATGGTGTGCGTTGTGTGGTCGATATTCAGCTCCTCATCGGGCGGAGTGCCGCGTGACGCGCTGGACGTACTCAAGAAGATGGCGGCCCGGGCTCGCCCGACAACATCCGCACCATCATCACCAAGCCTCAAGCTCGATCCCGACGTGCCGCCACTGGTGCCCACAAAAGACGAATACCGCCGAATACCAACCACCGCCGAGCACATTGTCTTTAGGGAAACCCTCTAGGCCTCCCACACACACGCTAAGCAACACGCATTAAGGCCCGCCAGGTGTTAGGTAAGGTGCATTGCACTCCGCACACTGCCACTTGGTGGTAGCGTCCCCCCCCCTTCGGGATGCAACCAACCATCAACGATGTAATGTAAGGGCTTAAAGGGAAATGTTTGCGTTGCTTGTTAGCGTATATCCTTATTAGGCACATTATTCCTATTCCACGCCACCTGCGCAACCACGGAAGGGCGGTGATACAGGAGTTCCGGAAGCCCCAGATCAAGGTGTCCCTTTACAGGACAACGCTTTTCAGGGCACAAAGCTAGGTAGGAACCCCACTTCTTCTGGGGGTGGTGTTCTATGCCAAGTGTATCAGTCGCAATTGATAGGCGCCCATTGTTACAACTACATCGAGCTCCAGACGGGCCCTTTCACAGACCATGACGCATCCAGCCCCCAGCGGCCAGGAGAATCGAATGACCCAGCTGCTGCTGGCCCAGGTACTACACCCCGCCAGCACAAGCCTTAAGGGGATCGAGTTGCTAAAACCTCCCTCCCTTGAAATGGTGGTGGTATGATAGATTTGCAGGCAGGCAGAGGCGATACGGGCGCTAAGCCAGGCAGCGTTGACCAGCCCGTCGACGGGCTCCGGCCGCGCCCCGGGGGAGCTCGAGCCGCTCCAGGACTGCCTCGCGCTGCTTCAGCTCTACGCCGGGATGCTGGACGACCGCAGGGTTTCTTCCGCTCTCACAGCCCCGGCTGCTCCTACTCCTCAGCTCCCCCAGTACCAGCATCAACTAGAAGCCTCAGCTCCAACTACGGCTCCGCCGCTCCAGCACCATCATAGCCCGGCGGTTCACACGTCGGTTGGACTGAAGATGCCCCGGGTGGTATTCGGCACCACGACTAGCTCGACCCCGCCTTTTTCTGAAGGAATGTCATCTTCGCCCTCCTCTCCTTCTACTTCTACTTCGGCTTCGGCCCGGTTCGACCTCTTCGCCGACGTGTGGGGCGTCCCAATGGGCGCCTATCAATTGCCCGTGGAATTGCCCGTCTCGCCCCCGCGACGGCTCGATCACCTCCACTCCACCGTCCCTCAACACCACCAGCAGCTGCCCCACAACCATTGCCTTCACCGTGTATGCAGGCCACCGCCTTCAATCCCTTCATCTTCGCCGCTGCTGCCCGCTGCAGCTTCTTCTTTCCCCCCGAGTGCCGAGGCGCCCAAGAAGCGGGCCAACAACGTGCCCATCGATCCGACGGGACGAGGGAAGTCAGCGACCAAGGCCCTCGTTCGGCGCTGCGGCGAGTGCCAGCGAACTAATACGAGCCAGTGGCGCAAGGGACCCCACGGGTTCATGTACGCGCCTCTACTAGCTCGACTCTTGTGCTTCTCCACCATCACCGGTGAGCTCACCTCGGTGTGTTCCACTTTGGTGCAGGCTGTGTAACGCCTGCGGCATTCGGGCGTTCAGGGCGAAGGACAAGGTGAGCGGCCAGGTGGTCGGGTACCACATCCACAACCACGAACCTGGACATTCAATCGAACATCATCTTGAGGTGCCGCTATCACCATCAGCGCGAGAAGAGGCCGAGCCCAAGCGATCAACTATTCACGGCCTGCTCAATTGAACAGCTTGGTACGCCCGAGGACTATAAATACATCACATTAAAACTTGGGCACAACCACCATTGCGGTGGACATGGTTGTTGTGGATGGAAAGAGTTGGTGATCTGGTTGGCTTTTGTAAGTTGGTTTTCTCTTCGTTTTTCTCTTCCCTCCACAAGGATATGCCATTTTTCGCCCAAGAGAAAACTCCCAAGAAATGGAAAATTTGATTAGTGCCTTTGTGCCGGGCGAAGAAGATGAAGGCGGGCAACTTGATAGGGGGCACCTTCATGAAGAAGATCACGCTGAAGCGGCAGCCGGTCTTCCGGCGCCAGCCCGAACAGGCGGTGGTGCGACCGGACCTCGTGCAGCGGCTGGACGCCGTCATCCAGTCCCTCCAGCCACCGGCTCAGCCGCGCGATTACCTGGTCGAGCTTCACCGATGCTTGCAATCGAAGCAATGGAAGGCCCAAACGCTCTCCATTAAGAAAATTGGTTTGCTTCCCCATTTACGGATTCTTAAGATTTTCGCGATTTTATGCAAAGGCGCCATTTTGTACATCTCTATTTTACCCTCTAATATTTTTAGATTTAAATCCTGTTAGATTAATGAAACAATCGAAAATATCCTTTTATTTGTTTTATTCATTTATCATTTAATTTAATTTAACATCATTTTCTCCCTGCGTATGCTGCAGCCACGCTGCTGGCCACCAAGGCCACGTCGCCGGAGGACGAGGCGCCGCAGGTGCGGGAGACGCTCTCCGTGCTGGTCCACCTGTTGCTGTCGCCCGACGGTGCCTCGCTCCACGGCGCCATCGTCAACCTTGGCAAGGTCATCACCAAGTCCGCCACCAGCACAACATCATCACCATCACCATCGTCATTGCCATTGCCATCAACCGCTACCACAACCATCACTTCTTCTTCCTCCTCTTCGTCGCCGTCTTCTTCTTCTTCTGCGTCGTCGGTCTGGGTCTATGCGGTATTGCTGGCGGTCCTCGGCGAACAGCTGACGCCGTGGCTCGCGGCGCTGCTGCAGCGCGAAGGCGAAGGCGACGAGGCGGAGGCGGAGAGGGATGAGTCGGCGGGACCCTCGTTCGGACTCGCGCCCAAGCTCCCCAGCGTCGCCGCGCTCCTCGAACTGGACGCCGCCATCACCGTGTTGGCCACCTCCACCGACTCCCTGTGCATTCTTCTCAAGGTACCTTGCGTGTCGTGCGTGTCGTGCTTATTGTGTGTGTGTCGTCGTGTGTGTGTTGTGTGTGCGTGCGTGCGTGCGTGTGCGCTAAATTACGCGCGGTCCAACAGTACTTCGCGCGCTACATGCAAGAGTGTCTGCCTCTGCTCGATCAGCCCATCGCCACGCCCGCGTCGAAGCAGGCCATCGAAGACGGCGAGGTGCTGCTCAAGGTCCTCATCATCGTCCTGACCCGCTTCACGCCTCAGCTCGTCGACCTCCACCTCAACGCGCCCTCGTCGCACATTGTCCTCCAGTCCCTCTTCCAGTGCTGGTGCGTTATTATTATTATTGTTTATTTGTTTATATATAAGAACGCATTATTTGTATTTATTCATTTGTTTATTTATTGCTGAATTATTGTTTATTCTGAATTTTATTTTTATTTTATGCAGCCTGCAGGTGCTGAAGGGACTCAACGAAAATCGGGACCTCATCGGCCCGTCTGGTCTGTGCCTGTGCGGATTCCTCAAGACCAAGCTCCTGAGCGATGCTACCCGCGCAGGTACACATGCGCTTGGTCGTACACAACGTTGTACATGTCGTGCGTGTCGTGCGTGTCGTGCGTGTCGTGTTGATTGTTCACCACATGTGTGTTGCATGCACCCAGGCTCGCCTGATGCGATTCCCAGCGAACTGTTGGCGGCCTTCCAGCGCGAGCTCTCGGCGACGGTCTTCGGCACGGAGTCGATGGAGGGCCAGAGCGGCGCGCTGTCGACCTTCCTCGTGCCCCTGGAGCGCACCGCGGCCAACAAGGACGACGTCCTGTTCCCGTTCAACCTCGCCCACTGCTCGCTGCGGGACCACTTCGTGCGGCTGTCGTCGCACGCCCGGCTGGCCATCTACCGCGGCATCATCATCTCGCTGCCGCGGGACGCCATCACCACCCCGTTCGCGATCGAGTAACCACCCGCGGCCTTCGCCCCACCCCACTCTTACCGCTGCCCCGACTGACTGTCATGTGTGTGTCGTGTGTGTCGTGTGTGTCGTGTGTGTGCGTGTGCGTGTGGTGCAGAGGGCGAGAGCGGAAGGTTACGATCTTGTGGGACTTCCTCTTCTCCGACTTGTGCCGCATCTGCGGCACCGGCGGCGAGATCCTCACGCGCCGCTTCGCCTTCCAAACGCTGGCCGACATCCTGCAGACCATGAAGGAGCTGCTCGCCGCCTCCGCCCCGTCGCTCTCCCCCGACACCGTGATGGGTCCCTTCCAGGCCACGCCCGACCTCTTCTTCGACGATCTCCAAGTGTGCGTGTCGTGTCGTGTCGTTGGTCGTGTCGTGTCCTGTAACTGACAGTGGTTTGGGGGGGGGCGACAGTGCGATCCTGGATTTGGTGTGGCTGAACTGGAACGACTCGAGCGAGTCGATCGTGCAGCAGGTGAGCAAGATCTTCGAGTACCTGCTCGACGTGTACGACATCCTTAAGTCGGTCCTGCTGGCCTCGGCCCGCAGGGAGCACTACGAGCACTTCTTCACGGCGCTCGTCGAGCGACTGCTCCACGTGGAGGACCACATCAAGGCCAAGTACACCACCATCCAGCTGCTGCTCAACCGCCTCGGCGCGCACCGCATCTTCATGATCAAGCAGGACTTCTTCATCAACATGCTGCGCTCCGTCAAGTACGCGAACACACGACACGACACGACCAACGACACGACACGACACACATAGCTTTAAGCTTAAGCGCGTGCGGTGTGCCTATATAGGGAACCGACCGCACGCAATGCTGCAAGCCGGGTCGTCGAGAGCTTCCTGGGTTCGCTCTTCGCCGAGCGCAAGAAGGCCCATGAACACGACGAAGGCTCCGCCGCGAATGAAGCCGCCCTTACCGAGTGTCGCCAGGTGTGCTTCTCTCTGAGCACACGACACGACACGACACGACACGACACGACACGACACGACACGACACAACACACGCACCGCCGCACACACACCGACCTGATTTGTGTGCACGCGGGGGTAGGTGTGGGTGGGTCCCACAGTGGAGCTGCTGTGCTCGGCCGAGAAGAGCGAGCGCCAGGGCATGGTCCTCTACGCACTGCCCTCCATTCTGGCCGTGTTTCCGCAGGAGACGCCCCACCTGCTCCACGCCATCGCCCAGTGGAGCGCCGCCAAGCTGCTGCGCGAGGAGGCCCGCGAGCGCACCCTGCGCGGCTCCGCTGCCGCTGCCGCCGCCTCTGCTGGCGTCGCCGCCGCCGCTTCGGCCGTTGGCACCACTGAGTCGGCGCCGAACAAGATCACCTCCGAGGGTCTGCGGGGCTTCATCTCGGTGCTCAAGACCGCGCGCAAGATGGGCCTGATCGACGCCAAGCACCTCGAGGCCAGCGACGACGAGTCCGCCCCGGCGCCCGATGCCGACGACAAATCGACTGAGCCGCCGCCGCCCAAGAAGGGCAAGACCAGCGCGGCCGCGACCGCTACGGCTTCGGCACCGGCGGTGGCGATGCTGAACCTGTCGTCGGCGCAGTCTGGCTTCCACCTGCCGATCCCGTCGCTGGTGCGGATCGCGCTGGGCCACAGCGACGAGGAGCTGCGCAACGATGCGCTGGAGCTGATCTGCCTGGGCAAGAAGACGATCGAGAGCCCGACCTACTTCGAGCTGGACATGATGAAGTACTACCTGTGGGTCAACATCAAGGCCTCGTCGCAGTCCCTCCGGCAGGGCGCCATCCCCAGGATCGGCAAATTCCTCCAGCGCCTCAAGGTAACACTCACGCGACACACACACACACACACATGTGCGCGCACTAACGTGTATCATGACACGAACGAATCGAAGGACTGCGTGTACCACGAGCAGAAGAAGAAGCACGAGCAGATCAAGCGGAAGCTCCCACCTATCGAAGACGAGGGCGAAAGGTAGGTGGCAACCGCGCTCACCGTGCGGGCGCCTGGCTCATATGTGTGCGTGTGCGCGTGTGTCGTGTGTGGCGCACAGTGTCGAGGTGCTCGTTACGGACTTCCTGAAGTGGTACCAGTCGTTCATCTCCTTCGCGCTCTACCCGAGCGGATCGTACCAGCGCAAGTCGACCGCCGTCGCCCTCTACCGCGAGCTTCTCAACGTGTTTGGCGCCGGTTCGTTACACTCACCTCCCTCCACCCCCTTTTCCCCGACTCCTCATACACCGCACGCACCTCACTCGCGCGTGTGATTATGCGTGTGCGGTGTGTGCGGTGTGCGTGTGATGAGCAGACAAGGAGGGCGACTACGGCAAGCTGTCGTCGTGGGATGCCTACGCGCCCGTGAGTACGGCGGCGCTGGTGCTGACCCTGTGGGACGACATCGACTCCATGCGCCACAGCGCCTCCACGGTGCTCGCCGCCTTCCCCTCGCCCCTGCCCGGCTTCTCCGACCCGGCCAAGGTGGCCTCGCTCATGCGCTGGGCGCTCTGGATGATGAACTCGCCCCGCGTACGCCTTACATTCCACGCATTCCTTTCCCATGGCCAGCTGCAGGCACTCACCGTGTGGCGCGTGTCGTGTCGTGTCGTGTCGTGTGTGTGTGGTGCGTGTCATGTGTGTCGCGTGTTCAGACCCGGGAGACGGATACGGGTTGTCTGGTGTTCAGGCTCATCCTCACCAAGTACGTGCTGCCCCTGGGCTGGTACATCCAGGTGAGCGAGGAGTCCGTCACGCCGCACCTGGCCCACTCGCCCTCCTTCAACCCGCACGAATGTACGTCACAGCAATCATTTATTAGTATTTTTTTATTGCCATTTCTATTATTATTTATTGGGTGGTTTAAGGTGGCGCTCACTGAGCCACGCGTACATCGCAGTCGCGCCGTCGCAGTTCTTCTTCAGCGAAACGATCAGTCAGCTGGAGCGCCACATCGCGTGCGCGTCGGTGGACCTGGTGGGCGCGTCGCAGCGCACGCCCATCCACGGCCCGCTGCTGGCCATCCGCTACATGATCCAGGACGTCAACTTCAAGGCCCTCAAGGCCAACGTCGACGCTTCGACCGACGGTGGTGGATCGAAGCAGATCGCCGACTGGCGCCTCCTGCTCGACCGCCTGCTGGCCTGCCTGCGCAAGGCCACCAACCTCGTGCTGCCCATCGTGTCCGCCATCAGCCCCGAGGGCCTCACCTCCGCCCAGACCATCCCCGAGGTCCGAACTCACCGCTCGCACCTCCACACCAGCGCACTGTCATATCTGACGCGTGTCGCGTTGTGTGTGTCGTGTGTGTGTCGTGTGTCGTGCGCCCAGGAGTATGAGGTGAGTGGCGTGATTGAGGGCGAGAGTGACATCGAGTACGGGACGCCGCAGGGTCAGTACCTGGCGGTCTGCGCATGGCTCTCCATCAAGGAGGTGGGCCTCCTGCTCGGCTCCCTCGTCAACGCCGTGCCCGTGCCCTCCCCCAATCAGAAAGAGGTAACAACCCTCCTCGCCGCCCCATTGGACGCGGCCCTAACGATCGAAAATGGAAAACACTCACGAGGTGGTGGTGGTGCAGGTGGTGATGGCCGAGGAGGGCATCAAGGAGGCCGGCGACCTGTTCATGCACATCATGCTGTCCTCGCGCCACAGGGGCGCCCTGGAGAAGTCGTACCTGGGCTTCCAGCTCCTCTCCGAGAACCTCCTGTCCTGCGCCCACCCCGGGCTCTACTCCCTCCCCGGCACCTGGATTCAAGTACCACTTTTCCACCGCACACACCGCACACACACACGACCGCACACGACCGCACACGCACACACAACACACGCTAATAGCATTACGTTGTGTGGCGTTGTGGTTGTGGCTGTGCAGCACTTGTTGAAGGTGATTGAGAACGACGACTTCAAGTCGATCACGAGGCGCAGCGCGGGTCTGCCCTACTGCTTCTGCGCCATCCTGCGGGCCGAGACGATCGTGCTCGGCCGCCGGCGGGGCGGCGTGAAGGTCCTCATCGCCCAGGCCATGCAGGCCCTGCTCCGCATCGCCTCCGGCGGCGACACCCGACAGCTCGAGACCCAAGACGTGCGCACCACCACCGCCACCTCACTCCTTAACAGCGCTTGCTGACGTGACGTGTGTGTGTCGTGTGTGCCGTGTGCGGTGGTGTGTGTCGTGCAGGCGAAATCGGAGGGCGTGGAGTCAGTCATCGGCGAGCAGGCCCAGGTCCACGCGCTGAACGTGCTCAAGGCGCTCTTCAGGGACTCCTGCCTGCGCCTGGACGTGATCCCCTACCTCAGCGACGCCATCATCATCGCCCTCAACGGCTACACCTCCACCAGGTAATCCCCGCGCGCTGCCGTGTGTCACGTTGCATTGTGTGCGATGTTGCTTGTCGTGTGTGTCGTGTGTGTCGTGTGTGTCGTGTGTGTCGTGTGTGTCGTGTGTGTCGTGTGTGTCGTGTGTGTCGTGTGTGTGGCGTGTGTCGTGTGCGGGGTCAGTGGTCTGACGTGATCGGCGTGACCGACGGACAGCTGGGGAATCCGTAACTCGTCGACGATGAACTTCAGCACGATCGTGGAGCGCGTCGTGGCCCCGAAGCTGGTGCGCGACGAGCAGTCGAAGAAGAACGCCGCCACCTTCCCCCAGTTCTTCTCCCGCTTCCCTCGGCTCTACCCGTTCCTCCTCCAAAAGTTCCAAGAACAGATCACCCTCAGCGAAAAGGTACTTATTTCATTTTAATTTTTAATTTAAATATTTAGTATTCAATAATTAGATAATTACCTTCTATTCTATTTATTGCGCTTATTTTTCTTATCAATTCTATTTTTTAAAAAATAATTACTTTGTTTATTAGGGCTGAATTTAACATTCAATATTTACTCTTTGTTGGCGCAGCGGGACAATGCGATCATGTACAGCAGCATCTACCCGATGCTTGTGCTGCTGTCGCGGTTGATGCCGTTCATGCTCAAGACCAACAAGGCCAACAAGAAGGTGAAGCCCGGGGAGGGCAGCCGGCCTCAGCTTTCGCCCGAGGCCTTCATCCCACTGGTCGCCAAGTGCAGCGCCAACTCCAACTTCAAGGTGCGCGAGATGGCGGCCCGGGCGCTGGTGCCTCTCGTCCCTCCCGAGCACGTCGCCGCCTTCATCACCTCCCTCTTCGCCTCCATCCCCGACCACGCCGGTACCACCTTCTTTTATTTATTATTTATGATTCATCATTTCTTTTATTGTGCGTGTAAGGTGGCGATCGAGGTGTAGAGACACTACTGACCCTGTGTGTGTGTGTGTGTGTGCGTGTGTGCGCGTGTGCGCGTGTGCGTGTGTGTGTGTGTGCGCGCGCGCGCGCGCGCGTTTGTGTGATGGTGTGTGCGTGTGTGTGTGGTCACCAGCGGGCATCGACCACAACCTGGCGCACGGCACGCTGCTCCAGATCCGACACATCCTCGAGGCCCACCTGACCTCCAACAACGCGGCCCTCAAGGCCGCGATAGTGGAGGCGGCGGTGGCGAGCGTGCAGGCCAAGGAAGTGCTCCTGCTGGGCGTCGTCTGCCCGCCCGTCCAGAGCGAATTCTTGTCCATCGTCGCCTCGCTCGTCCCCTTTTCGTCCGGCCTCAAGGAGCGCTCCACCCGCTGGGTCTCATCTCTCCTCATGAAGCCCGGTACGCCCCCCCCCGTGTGCGGCGTGTGCGGTGTGTGCGGTGTGTGCGGTGTGTGTCGTGTTGTGCTGACGTGTGATGGCGTAGAAACGACGGAGCCGCTGGTGAACACGATGCGCCACATCATGTCGGCCACGCTGCGCCGGAAGGCGGCCACGCTCGAGCTCGCGGCCCTGGTTGAGGGCGGCGAGCGGGAGAAGGCCACAACGCGCCTCCTCGAGCTGATCGAGGACCTGGACTACGAAGTGCGTGCGCTCGCCATCAAGTTTGCCCTCAAGGCCCTCCAGTCCGACACCTCGCTCCTGTACGCACCATCACACACACACACACACACACACACAACACACCATCACACACACACACGACACAGGGAAAGCAGTGCTGACGTCATCATCATTGTGTGCCGGCGCAGGTTCGATTGGCAGCGCGTGCAG